TGCATGCTTTTATTGCTACCACTTTTCGTAGAATCTTCTACAGAAGCGGAAATTGCCAAGTGACTCTTTCCTCGAGGCTTCTTTACTCGCGAGGGATCCGAGTCAACGGCTTCGGTAAGAGTCGGCAATTTCCGGACGTTGTATTTGAAATTCGTTGTTTTTGAATTTTCAAACATCAATTTCATCACCACTAATACATCGAATACGTATCAGATAGAACGATAATAAAGGGATTTTGAAAAATTATAAGAAAGAAATATAGTCCTTTCATCTCGATAACAATCGTTTGCGTGCTGAAGTATCGAGAAGTTAAAAATTCAAGTGTATCATGCTATCATCATGGCACACCTGTTCTGCGTGATATCGAGTCTTTAAATTTTTTTTCTATTGGACGACCTACTCCTATTTCTTTGGCCTCTACCCTACACTCAAGTTGATACGTTTAAACGAGTCACCACTACTGCTCTACAAAGCTGTGTTCAGCGAATATACAAGCAGTTGGAGAAGATGAACTCTGAAAGCTATACGAGAAGCAAAATTAGCTCAGGGACGTGTAAAATAAAAAGATATATTTTTCAAACCTTTTTACAGCTATGAAAATCCTATGAGAAACTGGGGAGTGGTTTGCGATCGCGATCGAATAAAGAAAAAGAGGACGAACGGAACGTGAGGTCAACGTGGTTGATCTTCATGTAAAGGCAGCACCTGGTACGTAAGGTACTCGGGGGGCCCATCCCCTCGGGCAGGGACTCGGCCACCGATCGCGTGTTACGTCTGCTGTGGCGGATAACCAGCTATTTTCGAATTCCTTTGGAAATAATCAGCAGGTTCGTGCCACGTACACTTGGCTAGATGTTAACAGTCGGAATATCTAAAAAAATCGTTAAAACGCAGTAGCTACCTTAGCGATGACACTTTTTACTTGCAGATATGCGCAGGGAATTATGGGACACAGAATAACCATTAAAATTTAATAAGAATTTCTTAACTGTTATTTTCCTTTTCTTTAGGAAGACCTTCGGTTGGTTATTCTTCTTCGATCTGACACTTATACTAATATCTATCCGGTTACAGGTCATGCTTTTGGTTTGTTAAGGGGTCTGCCTGTGGTTATTAAGGTTTCACGATGGCGTCGACTTACCCGGGATCGCGTGATTTTGTCGCGAGGGTCAAGAAAAATAAATGAGCCACCAGAAAAGAATAGAGAGAAAAATATTTTGTACGATACCTCGGTCGAAATTGACGAAATTCGTAGAGTATCGTTCATACGGAAGCAGCTGGACTTATCCAAATGGTGGTACGTAAATAGACCAGACATTTGTAATTTTCTGTCGACAGTGACAACGCCCGATTTCTCATTTCGCCGAAAACGCCCGGTCGGTCTATGCATAAATTACAATAAACACCGAGCAGTGTCTGAGTGGCTTGTAAATAATTTTTCTTATTTTCCCTCTAAATTCTGGATGCTACCAAACAGACACACTAACCAAACCTCAACCGAACTAGAATCACTGACGCACGTGGCATATTACAATACACAATGCTCTATTTCCACGACGTCTGCACTATTCACATTCTACAGAAGCGGCGGCCATGACAGTCTCTGTCTGCTAGCAGCCGATGACGTATTTCAAAACGATATTTTTCACGCATAACATAAACGGTCGACAGAAAGTATCGAGTAACCGTGAAATATTAATAAAAGATGGACGCATGCTGGAGACTCTATTATTCGTGAAGAATGTAAATAACTACCGATCGTAAGAATCCTTTGATAATACGCACCGAAAGTCTAGCGCATACCGCCAGAGCTTTGTATATCACCAAATCGCAAACATCTGCCACCAGGACGCGCCACCTACTTCCTCCTTGAAGTCCTCCTTTTACATACTTCCCAAGTAAAAGAAAAGAAATCGAAAAGGCGTATATACATTATAAAGGAACGCGCGCGCGACATGAAACCTGGATCAAGGAGGCACCTGGGTACAACAAGAGCGTCCCCTGGCACAAGATGTTTTCTGGTGACTAACAATGAATCACGATTATATACGCGATACGACTATGATCGGAATCATAATGGTTTTGACTCCCCACGTGGCCCGAAGGTATTCACAACAGCCCACGACATTCCCTCGTATAAACCATAAACCTAAAGGGTTCTCGAGACAGCATTGTGTACAAGGTACAAGATCCTAACCTGCAACAGAAATTCCTGGAGCATCAAGGACAATCAAACATTAAAAAAAAGGAATTTTCAACAGGACATTTCACCAAATAAAAAAAAACAGGTACGACGAATAAATCCCTAGGAGGTAGTCAAAGCTTTAATCCCTAGAACGGCAGTGATAAACGAAGCTGCCACAAAGGTTAACGCAACTCGATTTCCTGCATCTATATATAACACCAGCAGGAGAATGATCCAATCGAGTCTCGAGGACGAAAAAGCAAGTAGCCAGGAACGTATTCGCTCCTTAAACGACGTAGGTCCTCATATCGATTATTCGGCAGGGCCTCGCAGAGAGAAGAACGAAAGAGAGTGGGGCTGATTTAGTGCACCCTACGGGGGAGCCGTAACGGTATTAAAGTTTGACGCCGAAACCAGGGGTTCGTTCCTGGTCTGTATAGCTGCAAGTGTTTAGGGGTTGGATGCATATAATATCCAGCACCCCAAAAAGCATTAGCTCAGATGAATGCGTCTGCCTCGTTGCAGTCCCTAGTAAACGATTGCTGGGTCGTCGAGATGGATCTTAAGATTGAATTATTCAATAACCTTAAGTAAGATACATTTATTTATTTTTTTTTTTTTACAAAAAAATAATCCACCCTTCTGACAACTCGCGTTCACTTACAGTATCCTGCAAAAGAAAAATACAAAGGATGGACGCTCAAAAACGAAGTAACGGTACGCATCAGCAACCTTTCCAAACGATCGAGCATTTGCTCGTACTTCGGAACCGCGACCATCATGGAATAAAACTCTTGTGTAACTATAGCCATGGCTCCGCCTAGTAAATAACCATCAATATTTTCCATGCTATAGTTTCGTTCAAGGAAGATCTTGCTAACGATTGATATTACAAGGAGGAGAGACGAGGACGGCTGGCACGCTCCAGCGAAATCAAATCCTCGCATGAGTCATCCAAGTGGCACGAGAGAAAAAGAGAAAGAGAGAGAATGTCATGAAATGAGCACTAGTATTATTCTGCAGGTTCCAACTTGTCCAAGACTGTTTGGTCAGTTTCGTTTATTAGCTGTTATCGCGAGCAACCTATATGAAATTAAATAAGGATACTGGATAGGGAGTCAGGATTGAATTAACCTGCAATACTCTTGGCGCAAGGGTGTATAAATCTTAGGCTTTTATTACACGTGGGAATGTGGTGAAAGGTACGTATGCACTGGAGAGGAACTGGATGAGATAAAGGTGGTTCCTCTTGGATGAATCTAGTCTTGGACTAGCCGTGTATCCACAGACGCTATACAAGACCCGAAGAAAGAAATAATTCTCTGTTGGTACTTATATGGACCGGTTCCTCCTAAAACAATAATGCAGGTTTTACAAGATTCATTAGCATATCAATGCTCCACTACCCACGTTCCTCGGCTAACATCGTACTTTGATCGTCAACCCAATTCTGATCTAACTACTTGCCACCTACGCTCCTTCTGAGTAAACTAAACGTTATCAAACGTCCAGTCGATACTCTATGACTGTACATGAATTGAGGCAGGATTTGGGATCTGGTGATCAAAGTCAGTAAAAGTAATTAACCGGCTGCCCTTGTATACTGATATCATTAAAAAATAATTGACGCGTTAATTGATGTAAGATTTCTTCCTACAGATATTATTTTATATGGATTAATGTGGGAGACCCATTGTGAACTTATGCTCAGTGTCAGGTTCAATGCCTACGGAGTTCACTGTATGAATTGAAGCCAAAATAAAAAGAGAATGAAACTCACGTTCGAGTTTTATACTTGGTAAAACCAATGAAACCTTGCCATCCAGGAAATAAGGTGTATGGTTACCTAGAGGATGGAAGTTACGATCGGTAGGAATGCCAGTACCTTTTTTTTTCGCTTGAAAACCTATTCTGGATTAATGAGAACTCCTTCAAGAGGTTTTACCTGCATCCTGATGCTGGCTGATATTTGTGTACACGGCAATAAGGTTCGTAGAATGTAGCATCTGTGAATCTAACTTCACGTATATACTATATATACCGGTGTGTATCTACGCAAGTTGAAAACTCGTTTTGGTAGCACGCGCGATAAAGACCTTAGCAGTTTGCGCGACAGGAGCGGCTATGGTAAATTACACGTGATTATCGAATCTTTCTATAGGATATACTAGGTGGTAGGGTAGGTGGATAAGTGCAGTTCCATGGTCAGTAAGGTAAATGTAAATAAATACGACATGAAAATGGCACGCAGCCTTCGGATTACGTAGTTTCCTGCGTGCGTAAGATCGAAAGTAGAGGAGTAGAGAGGATTGGAAGAGTCCATATTCTTCCGAGTGTTATAGATAGCAATTATCGTAGGTGGCTTAGAAGATTGAGATACGGATACACACGGATCTATTATTAGATCTCGGTATTAGGGCTTGTTTTCACTGGACACCTTCAATTACACTACTGAGAATTCGCGCTGGCAAATATTTCTTGGCGGTCATTTACAAAGTTTTTTTGCCACCCACGAGGAAATAACATATTCCTGCATTACCATTGGATTGGCTCAAATATTTCTTAATATTACTGGAATTTCAAGGTAACTCGATATAATTCTTTTTTTCCTCCATTTTTTAGCTCATCCTGTAAGGATTCGTCGACGGGACTAGAATGGCCTGTAGGTTAGATTACCAGTGAGCCAATTAGGGAGACGTCGGAGAAATCTACAGAGAAGGGACCTCCCGTGTGACACACTTCAGCAGGGCTCGAGGGGCCAATTCTTCCAAGGGAAGATCCTGGCTACGATCCCCACTTCAGAAGTACATGTACCCCCTTAACAATGTGGAATCGGGCCCGCCCACGTTTTAAACCCGACACTTCCTACCGCAGTCCGCACGACGTCTTCCAAGAGTGTTACCAACTGTACCGCTTCGCCCTGGGAAACATTGAATTCTTTAGACCAGGTGGAAATACGTTTAAGAGTATCTATAGAGGGATGACTAAGTCCGTACTACCAGGAACACGTTGCTAGCGTACAGCTACTTACTGGAACCATGAACATAAGGACCCGTGCAAAAGAGTGGAGGAGCGTATGGAGTCTGAAAAAAGTATTTCCGGTAACCGGATCCTGATCAGGATCCAGCTTGAGCAGACGATGCCCGCAGAGCCTGATGGTATATACGTATATACTTTATTGCACCTTTGGACTTCCCTGGAGGAAGTCACGCTAGACTAGTCACCGCGTTCCATGAGAATGTAACCTAAAAGTATAACAATGATTTTATTACTCTTATAGACTTCAATTGGGTATAGGATCAGGATCACGTGCGGATGCTGTGCCTGGTGGGGTACTGAATCACAAAAGTACATCGTGGCACACCTGCCCCCAGGGTGATCCTATTCAACTTCCAGAATCGTATCTACAATCAGTAAGGTATCCCATGAGGCTCTTGAAAAGGATCTCCACTAGCTGATGCACATCCAGGTCGCGTGTCCACCAGGTGATTCCTTGCGATAAAACTAGTGAACTGCTCGAAGCTAAGGAATCTTTGGTATCCTTGCGTCGGGTGGAATTGCGTGAGAGCTTCCTGAGCTTGTTGCTGGTGCCAGGACCGAATGTGATGGGAATGGAATCATCCATCATCAGGGTTGGATGATGCGCTGAGATCAAAGGGTCCAGGGCCAAGGATTGCTATGGTCTCTGTCTGTTAAAGGCCGAAAACAAAATGCACCCGCGAGACGATCCATTAGGACGGATGCCAAGGGGAAGGGAGAGAAGCGCATTAAGAAAGAAGGTCGTCTCTCAGCTTCTTCTTGGGACGGAGCCCCGGCCAAAGCAACTTCCTCACGATCTTCTTTTTCCCAGCAAATAGACCGGCTCTTCCTCTTTTTCTCTCTTCTTTTGTCACTCTCCTCAAACTGATTCCAACACCTTTCAAAGAAGCCCGCGATCACGCGTTCTCGCCTTTGCAGAATCTAACGCATAAGCACTTCTCGCTATGTAGGCTACTCCGGAATCTTCATTCTTAAATTGCTCTTTATTAGACTCTCGTAGTGAATGAATAGAGTCAAAACTGAATTTCCACTTAGACCTCAATTTACACTCGTGTACCCCTTAGCTAGGTAGTACGACACTAAAAAAAAAAAACTACAGTATTCCATTACAATGGATTTATAAATAGTCTCCACGTCGCGAACCCACCTTCCCTCTGCTATGTTTAATATTTATGTCGGTCTGCTACATTGGTTGAAATATGCATGTTCCAAGTGAATTATTTTGACATTATTATTCTGTCAATTTAACTATCGTAAGACTATTGTCAGTTTCTTACTTTTTTTTTAAGATCGTCTAATGAACTCCAGTACCATCCAGTGATCGGATCTTGTTCTTCTTGTCTATAAAAAGCCATGGCAAGCTGTCTAAATTTATTCAAAGGATCTATTCGAGGTTGTCCTACCGAGCACGCGAAGACTTCCTGACCCGAGTTGCACACGTGCACCAGATAGAATACGTACAGACTGTCTAAGAGTTGCTGACGAATCGTAGGCACGCGGTGAGTTTATTTATCGGTCTCTTAGCGTTCGGGCGTGTACGGCCAATTTCTTTTATTTGCAGGTTACAGGAACGTCGAATTCGTTTGAGCTCATGGTTGTCAGCACGAAGTTTCTTGGCACTTCCGGTTCATAAGTCACGTTTACGAACACTTGTACGTTCACCTGTGCAATCGGATTTTAAATGGAATTAAAGATAGAGCACGGATTACAAGTGATTACAAAGATCTATCCAGAGATGATTGATATAAAATTTTTTAAATTGTACAATATTTCCCTGGATCATTAGTAATAATTTTTGAAATCATAAATTTAGTTACTCCTCACCTTGTACAGGCTGAGTGAAATTTATAATAGCTCGTAGACACTGATGGAAAAGTGAAGAAAAAGAGACGTTGGTGACCTTAAAACTTTTGGTGAGTCCATGAGTAAGGAGTCATTGGTAAAGATTGCGAATGATTCAGAATTCGCCTGAGGCCAGTGGATTTCAAATAGACTCTTAACCGTAAACATTGCAATTGATTTGACCAGTCCAGCTAAAACGATTAATTAATTAAATTCCTTTAGAAAGTAATCGGTTGTTATGCTCACGAGTGTTCCGGGAGACCGAATAAAAATTATTTTTATTCGTTATCACGCTATAGAACCCCTTCAGGATAAAATCGCAACCACTCCGAAGCGCGGGAGATATGAAACTTGTTCAAAAATATGCCTAATGCATTCTATCTGATTGAATCAAATAGTAACTGTATTGAAAGCAGCTATTACAACGCCAACCTAAGAGAACTATTTTGTCATCGAACTCTCGTAGCAAGAATTACCTGTTCCCACTGTAACAGTAACGAGTAACAAAGCAAAAGAGGCTAACAGAATTTTCTGCAGAAATTCGATTTCAGAAAGACAGCACACAAATGTTGTAACCTCACCAATCTCTTTCCCTAGGGAACGTAACAGAATATGAGCAGCGGTTCCGCAGTAGTTATCCTCTTGGAAGACTCAAACATACAGTCCTTAGAAATTCCAGAAGCATACGCCCTCACGACATCGTCCATATCCAGGACTATGACCATGGATCATCGAGGTTAGGAAAGAGGAGGTCTAGTCTAAGGACTCCTTTTGGCTCGTTATAGAAGTCAGGTAGAAAATACACCTGACCGGTCGCTTTCTTCCTTCCTCGAAACCGGCGAAAATCTCTAAAACGGTATGCGACTAAAGCGGATACTTTTTCAAGGAGAAAAAGAGAAAGAAAGAAAAGAACAGACGAGGAACGAGCTACACTTTTATCTTGGATCCTCGTCCACTTTTACTCACTCTAGAAAATTTGTCGGCCACTTCCTGTCCCCCGAGGTACAATTTAGTTTCCACATAATTTTCTTTTTTTTTTCCACCAGGTACCTACACCGCGTTCTTCTATACGGTAGCCATCTTTCTTTTATTCTTCTACCAACAGTCATAGATCGTTCAGCGTCTCTTCAATGACTCAATCTACTTGGCTTTCGATACTCGATTGCTTATTTTCTATTATTTCTTCGTAAACTTGTAAAAATTTACTACCGAAAATTACTTTCTCCGATAAAATTACGCATGCGACTTCTTTAATGAGACTGTCATAAGCTCCAAGGATACTCTGACGTTGGCAAATTCATGCGGCACAGACGTAATACGTACATATAATGCATCTACGGATCTGGCATTTAGAATGAGTGCGTCTACATACGTATTCAGAATCGTGGAACGATTAAATCTCATGTCCTGAAAACGGAATTCCTTAGCCGTCGTCACGCGCCGGGAACAACTCACTCTATTCTCGGAAAGTACAAGCTACGCGATATGAATTTTCTAGTCGTTGAATTACACTCTACTCTTTTACATTGAAACGCCACGATGCTCCTTTCACAAGAAATGGTACACGAAAATATTCAAAACGTACACACAACATTTTACAGGCACCCATATACTGCATACCGGTGACTTTTACTATATAACCTCAAAGCCAAAAGGGATAAATCTCGACGTACGACAGGGTTGGGAGTGTCGCGTGTTCTATAAATAAAAATTGTTTGATCAATGTTAAATATGTATGCTTTAGCTTATTCAGGCGTCCAAAAGAAAATCTTTCACGTTTCTTCGTTCATGCACGATTCAGCATGGAAAAAATTTAATACATACGCAAAATAATTGATAAGTATTGATTATTTACGTGTTTGTGATTTATCGAAATCTTGACATATACACTGAAATACCCATGCCATTAACACTGTCTAGTTTCTACAATACACTTCCTTTTGATCTGCCACTAGATTTATCGCCCGAGGTACACTTTATGCTGTTTCTTGTTTGTACTGAAGGCGCCGGGAGATCCTGGAGATTAGCGAAGGTCGCGAGGGTAACGCGTGTAAGTAAAGCTTCTACGGGAATAAGCTTTTTTTGTGGGATAGGAGCACAGATAAAATGACTTCAGTCACACTAACATTGTAATACTTCGGATGATAAAGAATAGGATAAGAACTCGTTACGCAGTCGAAGTACCGGTAATGCAGTGTTTCAGTTGATACACGTTACGAGCTAAAATCACTGGATTTTGGACTTTAATGATCATAGATATTTGTCACATCGAAATTGACATCCTTTCTCTCCATTATGACTGTATCCTTTAGAAGGACATCCATCGGATGAAAATTTATATGAAATTCTTGTACTTACTTTGTGCGCAGACCATTGCCATGAAGAGAAACAATAACAGGGTCATCTTGTTCTTTGTAATGTCCACAAGTCACTAGGAATTTTTCTTTTATCACTTATTTGCACTGACTTGAAACTTTTATTTTTTTTTAACACGTGCCACCAAAGTACCGATTTAACTCGAATGACAGGAACAACAAGATGTTAGATCTTCTTTTGAATTAGAGTCCTAAGTTGGCACAACTGGAACCTTGCAATAGTCAAGTCTAGTCCACATTTAATCTAGGGTATTTGTCTGTCAAAATTTAGATCCAATAACTACACACTGCTCTTCATAGGAACTCTTTCACTTTTCTCAAGAGGAATATTCGCGACTTGCTCGACAACCAATAGAAATCGAAATAAATAGACAGATGGCAATTTTCAACGAGATTTACGAGTCTGTCACGTAATACGAAGTTGTTCCTGGGTACAAATAACGTTGCCGCCACAAGAGTAAAAGAGTATACCGTGAAGCGTTCCGCACTTTTCCACGAGAATAATATACTGTCTTCTCGAGTGCCGTAGTAGACAGTGAGTAGCGCCGGAGTCAAAACAGAGTGCCAAGTTTTGGTTATTACGAAGCCAGCGATAGTACCCTTCCTTTTCTCTCTCTCTCTCTCTCTCTCTATATATATATATATATATATATGTGTGTATATATATATTTCTTTTTTCTTCTACAAAGCAGCACGTGCTTCTTCTCTCTCTCTCTCTCTCTCTCCGCCGGAGTCAAAACAGAGTGCCAAGTTTTGGTTATTACGAAGCCAGCGATAGTACCCTTCCTTTTCTCTCTCTCTCTCTCTCTCTCTATATATATATATATATATATATGTGTGTATATATATATTTCTTTTTTCTTCTACAAAGCAGCACGTGCTTCTCTCAAGAGCCAAATCCCTGGGGGCTTTCTCGGCTCGCAAGTTCAGACTCCGTTAGAAATGGTCCAGGAATCGGTAGCGGATTAATTTCGCCATGTGATCGATTATTCGTGTGACAGGCAAGGAGCCAAGCGCACTGTCCACGCATCCACACGATGCAACGGCCCGCGAGCGAATGCCGAAGAGTGCCGCGAGCTACGTTCTTCCGAGTTCCGAGTCCGGTAGGTGCATGCTGCGCCGCTCTAGGGATCCCCACCATTGAATCATGCTCATCCCCACCATAGGGACGTAGCGCGTGTGCGGCCCGACACATCAATTAAAAGGGAAATCGAACTGTCCGTGTCTCTCCATAATAACTGGATATGATTAATGTATTCGATGATAGATTCCTTAAAGAAATGTTGCGTCGATTTACGAAATTATTATTTTCTTAACAAGCTAAAGAGAGATAATTTTATTATATTGTTTCAATTAAAATTACATTGTATGCTTCTTGTAATGATCATGATGTAAATGAGGATGTGAAGAATTTCCTGCGCCATTCTAATTAGTCACTAGTATGCAGTATTGGGCTATGTGGCAATTACGGATTTTTATATATATAGAAGCTGAGGGTACTCTCGTGGGATTACTCTAGGAGGGTAGGATAACTGGTACAGTGACCAGACATTATTGTTAATCGTTATCCCTAGGGGAGAACTGGTAGATTATCAAGGGTGAGTAGATAAGTCTCTGCCGGGATGGGAAGAGCTGGATAAATTCGACTACCCGGGCGATGACTTCCTTGCATGTTAACCGAAGGCAAAGATTCACAGTTAAAATATTTCTCTCTCTCAAGCAGAAGCATACCGCGAGATGAGAAAGAACCTGGCAATGGTCCAGAGAATTGGCAGCTGCTGGTAAACAAGTAGGTTGCCCTTTTCCGTCCTCTAATGAAAATCAAAGGATGCCGTTCAGGTTTGAGTTTTTAAATAAATTTTCTTCACCTGCAACAACTTTCTAATGCTATCATCAATCTTTACTGTAACGAGGAATTGGTGTGGTCGCGTACAAGTAGGTTGTGGCGTAGGGTTTCCTGAACGAATGAATGGATCTGTGAATGAATGAACCTCGCGCATGCGCAGCAACCTCCTACATTCCATTCCTCTCCAGTCCCTTCCTACACGGCGTCGAGACTCGAGATGTCCAGGTTTCTTATATACGTTTCAAAAAAAAACTCACCCTATAGTAAAGTACTACCCAAGTGCGTCTGCACTTACAAGGAAGTTACCTCAGGTGCCCCCCGCCCCCCTCCAATTTCGTTCGTTTCAAAATATGTTATTCTCCATAAAAATCTAAGAAACATATGTTTTTTTATTGGCCAAAAAACTGTTCTAAGGGGTGAAATCAGTCACCAAAATTGGGCTACTCGAGATATTTAAATGGGACCCATTGGAGAATAATTTTCACGATGAATAATGAAAAATGCAGTTTGGTTGGTTCTGGTCGTAAGTTCATCCGCTTACTCATCATTGACAGATACGGTCTGATTACTCATTCTGAAAATAGCTTGATATCAAAGAATTGCGGTAAGGAGATGAACTTACAGCCGTTTTTCGGCCGATACAGAAAAACGTGTCTCTTAGATGTTAATGGAGAATAAGATATTTAAAAACGAACGAAATCGGAGAGAGACACCTTCCTTGTTATAATTATACCATTGAAAAATAATTTTTCTCTCCTTTCTCTTTAAAAATGTGGAATCATCAGTCTGGAAGAATATTTCCTGTTAATCCAAGAACCTGCTGGTTACGAGCTGCTGAAAAAGTAGGTACAGTATGTAGGACCTGGATCGAATGTCTTTCCAATTGGCAGCTGACTGCCACGATACCATAGAATGCTACTGAAGATTTAACGTACAACCCTCGAGCCGCCATTCTGCGTGTTTGACCAACACAGTGCCATTCAAGACATTTGCCAGCCCTCGACCTTCCTCAATGCCATTGTCAGGAGGAATACTCGCGTCCAATGAAATTCCACAATTTTTAACGTCCATTCGTGCCCCTCTCTATAGAATTCGGTCCAAAGAGTACGCACCTCGAGTTAATATGAAAAAGAAAATGGAAAAACGTACAAAATGACCGTAACACACCCTTGCGGAGAATCGGCCCACCAACCAAGCATACGGTTTGCGGATCTCCACGCTCCAAGTGAAACTTGCTAGTAATGCTAATAAATTAGGTTGGCTCGGTCCCACTTACCATTTCGTAATGAAGTACCAAATCATGATTACCTCCATTTTCAAAAAAATGGCAATGCTACATCAGGGTCTGTCCCCGCGATGACCATTCGTTTGTGAACAGATGCCAAACGTATTTATGGTTGATCGAAAAATTGTATCACTCTAAAACCATATCCGTATATACACATAGATATCTGAGTAGAAGAAGGTAAGTATATCGGCCGACAGGATCCCGACGCAAGTATGCCGTGCCTACCGCCGCGTGCACCTGCCACTTATTTTTCTCCTCCTTTCCTCTTTGCTCCGTCGTCTCTTGCTTTGTGCGTCGTTCGTCCCGTCGTTTCACCGGCAGAGGAAAGCTACACAAGAGTATCGTTCAGGAACGCTGTGTAATCTGTATAACGTCAAGTTCACTCTCTGTGGAGGAATCATCCTCTTGGATAGTAACTATGTGTGTGTGTATATATATATATATATATATATAATGCAACCATATCCTGTAGCATCCTCAATAGAAGTTATTTTTCGGCGCACGTCCATTAAATAGAATTCAAGAAACGAATCCTTGCCACACGTGGTTGAAGCTGGTTATACACATCTGACTCTGTGAAAACGTTAAGGATCGGTTTGAGAGTTGATCAAATAAAAAGGGTGGCTTCTGTGTGTCCAGGTTAAACTTACCGCTGAGAGTCACAATGGGTTTTCAATCGGTAGCTTTTTTGGTTGATCCCATTCAAAGTGGAAGCACACGAACCGACTGTACATATACTTTTCATTTTAGCCTTAAGGTGTATATAGGTTTGGTATGTCTGCGAATTATTGAATGTAGCAGGGCCTTTTTTCATTTTTCTAAATCCTTTTTCAAAATTTGTCCCTTGGTACTGCGACACTGTGTATTGTGTTCTTGGGTCAGGGTCAGGTTTTCCTTGGGCCCATTCTGAAAAGTAGGATGTATGTATAGTGCTTGTAAAGTGGATCTTTTAAGAAAGTTTTATTTCTACATAACGAAAACTCGGGTTGAGACTTAGTCACAAATCTTGCAAGGTACTCTTTTAATTTAAATTAAGATACTATACTAATTATGACATTTAAAGGATGTTCAAGGGACTTATCTCATGAAAGTCCCACAGGTCCCGTAGTCGGCATGGATAATCTAGTATGCTTTGGGTCTTATCTTAATTGTTTTGGCGCCCTCTAGGACCCATTAAGTCTATGGGATTTAAATAATCAGATTGGACGAGTTTGGGCCCAATTATACGCGCGCCAGAGCAAGCGTGGAGGGTCTCGAAGGTTAAAAGTGGATGTAGGCGGACCCAAAGCTGTCCCAGGGGACCAGTGTAGACCCCTGTGCCCCACCTGGCCACATTTTCTTATTATCCTTCCTATCCGTGTACCCCTCCTGGTGTACAGGGACCCCTTGGAATTTCTTCCTCAACCCAAACCGAGACACTTCCGAACGCTTCTTTAGATTCCACCATGATTATTTGCGATGGAAGAGATAAAAAAAATGACCACCACCTTCCTCACCGAATCACTGTATTCCAGGAAAACTAACACATCCCAAATTATTTTCTCCTTCAATTCCTTCCCCTTTTTCATTATTCACGCAATGTGTCATCACACTGCTCTGAAATTGACCTTTTTCAAAAATTAAGGACGATCCTTTTTAATTAAAGGATCAGACGTAAGGTCGTGCGACTCTTTTTCCAATTCGCACGCGTTCTCCGAATAAATATAATTCTCTGGTAAAAAACAAGTTAGTAATACGATACCAGTACTTTATATTATCACCAGAGCCAACAGTGGAACCCTAACAATTTGCGTTGCACTTTACTGTTAATTGGGAAGTTGCACTCGAGCCTTTCCGCCATTATTTCCACTGAAATATTTCTAGGAGTTTAAATGCTATTGTTAAAGTCAATATGGTAGCGTCGATAGTTAAAAATACTATAACTATATATACTTCTAAAGCCAAGTGTTACCTGGAACGATATGCTACTGATTACTGGCTGCATATCTTTCTGATACAAAGCCGGTTCCATCTTAGATATTTAATAAATAAACAGGTATAACCATATACATCCCACACTGATACATAACACAGGTATAATAACACTTGAATCATCCTGTAGAAATGACGTTTACGCCTACAGTCTAATCTTTATCCAGTGTACTACCGGTATACCGTGTAAGTCAAGTACGAAGCTACGAACTAAGATTAAACCGCCAGTAATATTTCAAGGATTATGGCGCAAGTTGCCATTGTAGATAAAATGAAAAATAATTGTAGAAGTGATATTACTCTTCAGCATTTTTACAAGTCTTGTGTTCCAAGCAGATGTCGTAGCAGCATTTCTTCTCGTCCTGACAAACAGAGTCATCCTCACAGAATATTGGCGGATCGTACCAGTTGTAGCTTCTTGGACAGGAAGATCTGACCGGTGGACATTTTCTCACTTTCTTCGTCATAGGCCCATTTGGTACTTCATACATCCACTGCGAGTTTGAATTACTTTCCATGGCAGACATAATACTCGACCAAAATATTATCCATGGGAAGCAGAAAGACGTTGAACCTATTTCACTTGCTGTAGACATTCCACTAGGGCAACAGTAATAATGATTTTTATCTGTTTTACACCAGTACTTGCAATTCTTTGTGAACGACGCCAGAGTCAGTGTTAATAAAAATAGGAGAATAGTAAGACGCATTTTTAACTAGCTTCTTGATTAAGAATATTCGATACTGGAAATCAAGAGGAAACTGTATATCGACTTTCGGTACGGATGAGAATTTTCAACGGCGAATATTAAAAACTGCTATGGTAATGTGTCGCGTTTACCCACCGTTGGAAATCTGCCTGTTCTCATGGTACGGCACTTGCTTTATACACTCACTTGGATTTTGAAAATTTTCCAGTAACACAATTTGCATTAGAATAATTGTCATAAATAACTGTGATCGATTGGCAGATATATTCATTTCTCTTTGGACTTGACTTCGTTCCGTATTGTGTGTCACTGCTGAGGATTCGTTTACACGTTCGTACCTGGTGGAGATAATTGTTCTGAGTCATATTTCATTTTTGACTTTTCTTTAACGTACGACATGCGAACAGGTCGCTGATGGAGTTTTAATTTATGCGAGAAAAAATATACAGCGACTTGTGTTTCGCGACATCCGGAATTGTAAGTGGTTGGTAGAACGTACATAACCTGACGTGCAGAAAGTACATGTTATAATTGAAATACAGTTTAATTTTGTTATGAGAAAAAAGTTTTTCTTGTGTTCATAACGAAAAGTACAAAGATTCAATTAACTTTTAAATTACTTTATTTCTAGTTTCTGTGGGCAAATATGAACACTCTAATATTCACCATCGATGATCCGCCAAATAGTACTGGATAAGGAATCACCTAAAGTTTTATTAGTTATTAAATGACCGTTAAATCGTAATTAAGTATGAGAAGCAGCAGTAATATAAAAGAAAAGACATTATAGAATGTTATACGTTTTTATATATTCTTGTTTATTCCCTATACTCGTATTCCTTTCTTATTTCTTAACTTATTATATACTTTCCTTATTTCGCTCTTTTTGCCTTCTTCTTTCTGTTCTGTTCTCGTTCATTTTCCATTGTGCCCTACTTTTTCTTTTTTTTTTTGGTTGGTTTAAGCATATTTCTTCGAGTAATCATAAAAGGGTAGCTCATTCTATTAGAGAAACGCACGTTGACTATGGTGACGGGGATTGCCCTCATCCGCTGAGCTTGCTCAGTAGCTCGGGTCCAGGTTGTGGTCGCAACAAGACCTTATGGGTCTTCTGAGGGGGCCTTGAGCAATCTGGGCAAAGTAGCTGCCTCTGCTCGTATTCCTGGGTTAGCTTCACTTGAAGTAGTATGGTTTCTTTTGATTAAAGTCTCTGCCGGATACGAGAAACTTTCGCGTCTTTCTTCTCGCCCGATCCAGCTTCCTTTTGTTCCTGAGGTTTTTTCCCGGGTCTTGAACGCACGAGTCTCAGTACTCGCGGTTCTCTTTCCTCAATCCCCAAAACACGGTCCTCTGGTGAACCTCGGAGGGGTCGTAGCTCTTTCGTGGAGAGGACTGCTCAATTGAGATATGCAACAATGTAACAGAGTACTATAGTTGCGACACATCGGCACTTCAGGAGAATAACCATTCGGGGGAATTTCATTTCAATGGTATGGTAAATTTGGGTTTCTGAGGATTAGGTGAAATCAGTGGTGACTCGTCAATGCCAAAATAAAATTAGGACCATGAAAATCAGGACATTAGCAATTTCCCTACTCATCTCTGTATGCACTAATATACGAGAAAGAATATCGAAATTGAATTTATTCATTTCTTTTCCAACAATATCATTACAAAGTAAGATTTTCTCGTGCTTTCTAAAATGTCTTTATACTGACAGCGGATAGAATTAAATACTTAAGTTCAATTTCAAAATGGTTCTTATCACTTAAAAGTTTAGACATTAATGCTATTGTAATAATAAGTAGAACTCGCAAAAAGAAAAGAAGAAACATTACCATTTACTCCTGGCTGTATATTCCTGACCAAGGGTTTGTCTATATCGATGGGTTTGTGATCTTGATTATATAGATTTTGATCAATTATACAAAAATATATCCTAAAAGTTACTAATACACACATGCACTAGAATGGAACATCATCCCCAGAAGAAACGAAACTACCGCAGCACTAGTTAGAACAGTCAATAACCATTAATTCATCAGCAATAATAATCTTACTAATATAAACTCTATTCCTTGTGTTGTTACAAGGTCCAAGGGATAAAATATCCAATGAATATCATTACCCAATTAACAAAATACAATCAACTGTGATCCAAGGCGTTCATCAATATTCATAGTAATTAAAATAATAATTGTGCTTATTGTCAGCTTCGATAAATGCATTGCTAACCGACAAACCAAACAATCCATATTGTGTATTCCTTTTATGTGTGTTACCAAACACCATAGGATCTCTTATCACTTGTGTAAAAGCACTTTCAAATTTCATCTAGTAGTAATGCACTCACATCTAATATACAAAAATGTATCATGTGACATTATTTGACATACGAAGGAGAGGTTTCACTCGTCGCATATCAGAACACTGTGTTGCAATTCCCGATATGTACAAAAATTCTACTATGTGAATCTAATCATCACTTTCCATCAATGTCTAGAACTTTGTGTTTATCAACATGTTGTTTCTATCAAACCAGTTGCGCAAAAACCAATTCAATTATTACTCTTCATGCGATTTAATTGATAAAACATTCCTGTTTAGGATATCAGGCTCATGATCTAATGCAAGAATCCATTAGACTGTGAATGCGAATTTACCGCGCTTTTCTAATGAAATATTTTACCTCACTCTTAACAGTCAATTGGGCAACGTACACGTGGTGCAAGTTCTAGTGTGGGTCTACATAGCTCCAGCACAATTAAAAATAATTATTTTCATATAAATATTTATAACCACTAATGTCTAAAATGATGTATATGAGCATCCATTGAACTACTGGACATAATTTCTTAATCATACTCAGCCTCAGTCAGAACTTTCATTAAAAAATATACAATTTGTAACCTCACTATTAATTCATTATCAATTCATTAGCTTTTCTCGTTTTTATATATCGAATACAGGGCAACAACAGGCTTCATCGTAGTATATTATGTACATACGAAATATATATATATATATATATATTGTTTATGCTAATTTAATTCAACTAGCGATACCATCTCTATGCTGCATTAGATGCGTATTAAAATTCGGTTATGTGACTAAAATCAAGTAAACTTTAACGCGCTTACGGTGAACTTGGACGGTTTACAGAATATTAAATTGATAATTTATATATAGATATATATGTAAGGCAATTACTATTCGATATCTTTCTACTTGCTACAAATGCATGTCAAATAGAAAAGCGAATTCAGTTGAGCTACTAATTGACTGTCGATGACTCTCAATGAAATACAGGAACAGGCTCGTAAGGAATCTCATTTTCGATTTTAGTCACATTACTGTTTGGATCTTCACTACATAATATCTTTAAAGAACGGATTGTTAAAGGTCACTCTTATACACCAAAAGGCCTTGAAATCCAGTCCGTAAATATATAATATAAATGAACTCCGATGGAATCAATAAACTCACAATTGTTCGATATCCAGCACCTCCTATGTACTGCTACAGCTTTGTTAGATTCTGCTGTCCATCTCGTACCATTATACTCTTGCTTCTGTCTAACAAAATATCAATTTCTGATACTTTATCTGTATAGCCACCAAACATCCAGCTAGTGCTCTAGTGCCCACTTTGCTTACTTCTCACTTCGAAAGGAACTCCGATCCACAATCTACTGTACTGCTTACATCCCCCTTAAAATAATTCTAGCTTGTAAGCTGTCCCTGTTTGTAAGACGTAACCGTCAAAAGACTATTCTCACAGTAAACAAGCTATACGTAATACATCTGCGCAAAAAGATATTCCAATTACGATTGTGCCTCAAGATAGGGACGTCATCCTAGGATGCAGGCGTAGGATTGGCGGCTGGCGTCGGTACAGCAGTCGCCTGTTTCGCTCGTCTACGTTTATTAAGAAGAGGATTGTTCGTGTGATCCAGTTGCTTAAGACCAGCTGTATCGTAATCGACGCGCATCGTCGCCAGAGAACGAGTCATTTCCTCCTGAACTTCCGGCCAGAGTTCCTCGCCCTCGCGTAAGACGCGCCTAGTGTGCAATGGCGTAGCGGGCACTTCGGTGTGCTTCTATATAATAAAAAGAAACAATATATATTCAGTTTCCACATTCCTAAAGAGAGTTTAAAAATTTACTTCACTATTTTATAATAATTTTATATCTTCAAAATCAATATCGATAATTACATTAATCCATTTGTTACGCATCACTTGATCGATCTGCAACCTTAGACCAGGATCAGTGCACAGCATCCCTTTAATCAAATCTCGAGCCTCGGTGCTGACGTTCGCCCACTCTGGCGATGGAAAATCGTATTGTCCTAATCGAATCCTCTTTTTCATACCTGGCGAGATAGCCAAGCCGTGATTACTGTAAAACGGTGGGAAGCCGCACAGTCTGAAACGGAAGTCATATATCTTTTATATTTTTTTTACTCCAGAGTGATTAGAGTAAACTACATGATTCACGTGGTCGTACTACAACTACCGATCCCTTCTATACTATAAAAACAATGCATTGAAAACCAAACAGGATAAAAGAAAAGAGATCAAGCAAATAGTGCATAGCCACTCGATTAGATAAGTTTGAAGGTTAAGTAATTATCGCCAAGTATATCGACTTTAGTTTTCTCTATTAATTTACCCTGTTAGATATATTTTATGTGATCAACGACTTACAGTATGTACATTATCACTCCAAGTGACCAGATGTCACAACTCTTGTCGTATTTTTCAGGTCCCAGAACTTCTGGCGCTAAAATGACAAAGTAACTGCGGTAAATTAATCTGTAGATTATTAATTAATTTATTAGATAATTAATTAATTTAATGTAATTAATTCCACGGTATTAATTCCAATGGAAAAATTATTCATATACATTACAAGACATTACTCAATGGACATGATCAATTTGAGTAAATTAATTCTCTTCTGCTTACCGACATAATAAGGCGTATAGCAGGGCGTCTGCAACGTGTCTTTCAAGTGCGTTTCCTTGGCGAAACCAAAGTCCGTAAGCTTCAGGATCCCAGTGCTGTCTGAAATAGTTGCGCAACTCGTTAACACATTAACGCTTCGTGTTCGTCGACACTCGATAGGCACATGCTAATCAACCGCTGAGCCACTCCTATTTAAAGATGTCCCATACTTATCGACAAGAACATATAAGTATCATTCGTCCCTGTTCTAGTACGATGTCGATGACACCGTGCATACTGAACAATGACTTACTGTCTTCAAAAGATTATTACGAATTAAAATAAGCAATAAGTCCAAGAGCAATACCCTGACTGTTTTACAAATTCTGATTAAATCCAAGAAATCATAAGACAAAAATGTCTCACCGGTTAAGTAATAAAGATCATATAGTTTGGATAGAAACTAAGCTCGATGATTCCTGATAAGAATGCCAGAGCAGCAATGACGAGTTCTCTAGGAAGCCTTCAATTACTTTCTTATCATGCTCTTGTCGTTCATACAAAAAAAAATCTAATGGGCATTGAGTGATAGTAACAAAATAATAAATTCCTGTTACCAAACACAAACTCTATTACGTAGCTATTTTATTACAGAGCAGTGTATCGTCCCCTGCTGAGAAACAAACTAGTAAATTGACTTGGGACCTGTAGCAATCTCTTTTAATGAAATTCTATTTCTAACAGAGTGACTATAAGTACTTCTCAAATTCTCACCAGGCTTAGAGTAGAGAAGGTTTTCAGGCTTGAGATCCCTGTGAGCAATATTCATGTCGTGGAGATGTTTAACCGCCACGCAAATCTCGTACATTATTTGTGCGGCCTCTGTAACGCAAAGAAGAACATGATGGCTCAATAAAATATAACTGCTGGTACGTTGTAACTTTATTATTGACTGAATGAGATGATTGTTTTACCTCTCTCCGTGAAGGCACCGTCCTGTCGGTCTTGTATCCTCTGGAACAGTTCTCCTCCCTCCATACTACGACAATTGGGTCATAAGAAATTTGTATCTTTAATCATATCGTGAAGTACCGTACAAATTTTTTTCATATTATTTGGAAGCTCATTATTTTTATTCAAAGTTTTTCCTTACCATTCCATTACCACCAATAAACACTTGTTTCCGCTGTACGAATTCTCATAGACATCTCGAACTTGTACGATGTGCCGGCAGTTCGATGCTCTCCAGTGTAATTCGACTTCTCTTCTAGCTTTTACGCAATCGTGTAAAACCTGAAATAGAAAGGAAAAAGATTTCAGAATGCAATAAAAGACAAAAGAAACAAAATTTTATTGATCTAATCGTGAATCTTGACTCGCCGATATTAAAGATTCGAGCGATATTAAAAATTTGTGCCCCTCTTGGTACTACTTGTGATAAGACAAAATACACTTATAAACGTTTACCGTTTCCAGATATTATAATACATTTGTATATTAGCATCGTACTAATCTTGTATTATTTTTAAAAAGGTAGGCCATGCCTAAGTATCAATCGTTGTATCAAAAGAGAAGAGTTTCGATTTTCCTTCATTAAAAAAAAAAAGATCATTAATCACCCTTTCGCTTTTTCAATCCTCATTCATTTATAGATAACAAAAAAACACAGAGTGATCATTCGGAAGACAAATGTTCCTTTCACACGAAGGATACTAAAAAATTGGAGAGAAAAGAATCTAGATCAAATCATCCATAAGCGTAAATTAAGAAATTGCCATCTGCCACATTACTGCCAATAAATCCTGAACACAATCGCCAATTTCAAAATGAATCGAACGCCTCGTATAATAATATAATAAAAGTTGAATAAATAATCCCTGACTCGTCGTCTTTCAACCGTCACGACGTCAATCCTGCGACATATTCGTATACGGTGCGTGTACAGTCAACGCATTAATTTTTATTGAATTACGCAAAAGCACGATCACGGAATGCCTTCGCCTTTAATCGGCTGATCATTTAAACACGCATACAAGAGAGTCATACGCCTACCTACAAATAACAGTCAGACCATATAAAGGGGAGACGTCTGAACACGTTCGTTTACTTGGACAGTGAATGTCGTCACTAAAAAATCACGCTAACTAACTTCAAGGAAGTCATTGAGAAAGATAACGCAGTCGGTAGGTCTACGTAAATAAAATTAATGAATTTTACGCAGTACCTATAGTAAACTGTACTTATCAAACGTATCGGTTGTTCATCTATCCGAATGCGTATATAAGAAATACATATGGAATTGGCTATTAATAGCTACTGTGCGATTCCTATTACGTATAAGATAACGGTTAACATCATTATAAATCCTTGGACAAGTGTTCATTCGGTTCTTAAGCAGGATCCAAATGGCTGCCAATAAACTAGCACGACTCTCCTGTTCCAAAGACTTCTTACTTGGAGTAAATTTGTCAGACATTGGTTACACGATCTTTGGTCCAGATTGAATTGTTCCATTGGGTAAGAAAACGTGTCTGGGTCTTCTGGAATGTATAAGTGTATTTTAACGTGGAGAAATATTTTAAATCTTGTACCTTTCAACGTATTACGAAATGTTTACATGTATAGAAATATTATTATCCTCTGTCTATTTGCACTCAGTGCCACGAGTAAATAACCATAGTGCAGTTTCTGGCGTCGCAAGTGAATCTGGTAGTTTCTCAATCTTACAGCGAACTTCCGTTCTCCAAATTAGCAACGTGACTAGGTCTTCCAAGAAAAGCAAGCTGCAGGGAAAAAAAAAGAGAGAATCAACATAAATTGCCAACGTTCATTGGCCAGTAACGTTTGGCTGAGGTAATTCAAAAATGTGTGTCACGCTGACGCTGACCATAGCTCGTGCGTAATTTTAACTGTATTACAAAGAAACTTCAAACTTAATAAGCATTCTGTCTTATGTTTAAGGACTGTACATTTTTTTTTGTCTTCCACGCAGTGGCTATACTGGATTATCAATCTGTGACAAGTAAGGATTTCACAGGTCGCTGTACTTGAGTCAGAACGATTCATGCATAAGTTATTTGTATATCTTTTTACAGCCGTCAAAATTCTTAAGATATCACGTAACTGGAAGACCAATACAGATACGTACACGAAATAAATTATTATAGGGCCATTAAGGCCAAAATGAAACAAGCTATTTATTTATTACTCCGTTAATTCAAACCGTTCAGAATCATCAAAATCCAATGACCGTAGCTCCACGCGTATTTATGCTTTTAATAATATTCAAACGGTCTACCGTGTAAAGTAACGTTCAAGAAAGACTGCATTGACTCCTATACACAGCAAATACTTTTCCGCTTACGTCGACGAGACTTTCGTCAAAAATAGCCTCTGCACTCATGCGACGACGTTCCTTAAGTACATATCAGGAAGCAACGGGATTCCATTTCCATCTTGGTATACACAAAAGTCGAAGCTTCGTAAAGTAAATGTCTTTGACAATAATTCTCCAGAATCGTTAAAAGAAAAATCACACTGGACCGCTATACATATAAAACGTGAATTCAACGTCGACCCAAGAAGAGCGTATGGTACATCTTAATCCAGGAACGGAATGACGTCACAGCCAGTGACGTAGACTCGATAGCGTCGTCCTGGGCTTTAATTATTTTCACAGCTGATTCCGCGCGTTAACGTGCTTTTCCGCTTACAGTTGTTTATATTCACGTAACGTGGCTAAAGCTATCAGGAAGCACTGTTTCCCCATATTATTGTCAATTCTGAAAACTGGCAATGTTTCCATGACGGTTAGGATAATTTGAAAATTTTCAGGCTCTTTGTACGCTAATTTTATAGTGGCCGCTGCCATATAGCGCTACTGACAATTTTGTTTTGAATATTCTAAAATACTAGTCGCTCTTTTGATATATTTCTATTGTATATACACGTTTATTGCCACGTATCCGTTTCATCCATTCACGTACGATACGTGGACGTTAACTATTATGACAAACTTTGACTACGCGTTATTCGAAGGTCGGCAATAAACCGTCATGGAGAGTCAAGAAAGCCACTTCCTATTTGTATCTTGATAACTATTGGTAAAATCTCCATTAAACCTATTTATTAATCGTACACCAGTTTTTTTTTAGAGTCATAACCAGCGCCCTTGACACTTGGAAATTCTCTCAGCAAATTTCAAATCTTCTGGGACTGAAAAGTTTTTGCAATGGAATTCCCAATCAGTCTCTGCCAATGCTTGGTTCGCACACTGGAAATATATATATATATACTTAATCGGTAAGCCTCGTTCGTCCCATTGATCTTCGTTGATGATTGAATCTTTAATTTGTGCCATAAATCTCTATCCATGAGACATTAAAATTCCTGCACTGATGATTCCGCGACAACTAAAATACTGTGTTTCTGCATTCTCCGTATTTGGATGAAAAAAATTGAATTTTCAGGTGGACGACTGGGAGCTGCACAAAGAAGAGGAAAGAGAGATAACAGGAAGAAAGAAAGAAGGATAAGGAATGCGTTAAAGTTAAACTTACAGGAGTGGAATCGTTGAATGGGATATCACCGGATATAAATAGAGGATGACTCGAGCAGTCGGTTACGCTTGGACATCGCTACCCGATCATCGTCCAACCCCAGGTCGATAGATATATGGTAATGAAGAAGGTATGCATACAAAAGGTACTCGCAATCCCACGCTTAAAATCAAATAAGGATTATACAATTTTTTTTCTAAAATGGGTTTCTAACAGACTGACTACCCATTAACGACAATCGAACTGATCCTTGACTGTCACTGTTGTCAGCAATGAATTTCAACTATAAAAAAGTAATGCTCGAGGTCAATGCATCCTGTTTGGTTTTGACCTTATAGAATTTTCAAGACACGAGACAGCATGGAAAATATATATTAAACAGGATTTCTAATCGCGGCTAATGGCGGTTAAAGAGGATTACGATATAATTGAATTTCGCGACTCTGAAATAATTAAACGCTAATAAACTTTGTACCTTGTACACTAGGCAAACAATGAAGAACCTGTGCCAAGCTTCTTTAATTCGAGGTATCTCGTGGCTTCTCGGTAGAGTGTATAGCTCCAGAGACAAAACCAATGAGATACGTGATAAAAATACATCGCGGGCTAGATTATCGGAAACTTACACGTGGACGAGGCGTCAGGGATGAATGACTGACACATCTTTACAAGCGTCCATATTTCTAATCAGCTATCACATAAGTGATCAGTACAAATATATTCTGGATACATTGATTATTCGCTACGAGTATGATATTTTATGATAATCAAATATCACGCTAATCTGCCGTTTTCTAATGAACAAATTTTCGGTTATATTCGTAGTGAAAGATACATTTTTTTAAAAGTCCTACACTGCTACCACATAAATCATGCTTTTTTAATGCTCTGTTATACAGACACTAGTGTAAATATAACAGAGAAATACAGCGAAGCGGAATAATGTGTTCCATGAAATTTGTGTCTTTTTTTGTTTCAAAAAAGCACAACTGATACCGAAGATATTTATAGAGTTTTCTCAACGAAATTCTCGACTTAAGTACGGCCCTGCCATCTTAGGCAGCAGGCCCATCCTGTGTAACAAGCGCAAGGAAATAACCATAGCAAGCTACATATGCATTTGTTGTCGAAGGTTAAACTGTGCAATTAATCCAGACCGTTTGGCATTGAATTAATAAGCGATTCGTTAAACTATAAGATTGTATAATCGCAGTAGCTCTGCGCAGCCTGAAAATGCTTTACCGTGCACTAGTGCCAATATAGTTGCATATAGAAAGTGCGCTCTTCCGCAGTCACAATTACTTCAAGACCAATCGATTCAATCCTCATAAATTATTTCATCAAACTGTCGCCTAAGATTGATTTTCTCGCAGGCGCAATCTCAGTAAATAATATCTGGACGTATATAGGTATACAACAGTGAACATGCATTGGTTACGTGAACTATATATCGCTTTACACTTTTTCTTTCCTTTCGGACACTAGATTAATCATCAAGGACACATGATACGACACTCATCGACACGAAGGATATGCTATACATAATTTCATTAATTGGAAATACCCTGTTTACGAAGTTGATTCAAAGCACTGTAGCAATTAAAAGGTTAAAAGTGTAGTGAAAAAATATTGTAACTCTCATCAGTTTCCAGAAATGTCCACCAGACAATAATTTTTAGAATTTTGAAAATGGTTAAAATAAATTTCCATTGAAAAAGAAAGTAGCTCCTACTAATGCACGTTAATGTCGGGGCTACGGAGTAATGGATTATATGTCAGACAGTCTTGAAATCTTCCTAGGACTTTCTCCATCGCACACTGCCACTTGCTGAGCAGATAGTAAGCGTCATTGCTTAATACGTAATTCCCCACGAGTCAGCACCGTCGCATGCGACGTCACCGGTAGTCAAGGAGACATTAATTTTTTTAATATAATGAAGATTTAACTGAGACAATTCTAGTGCACAGCATCCATAAGATTAATTATCGAGCACAAGGGACTTACCTTCAGAGCGTATTTCTCGCGGGTGTTCCTGTCGTAGCATTGGACCACCTTGCCGTTTATACCGAGACCCAATACGTGGTTACTGATCTCATAGTCGTCGGTGATAGGTGTCACTTTTGGTACACGTGCGTCACCTTTTGGCACTATTGGATACTCCATGGTTTTGCGTTTGCTATCTTGCTGGAAGTCCTCCTCTCCCTCTGGGATTGTATCCTTGACTATTGCGGTACTTCGCTTCCGCTTCCCTTTCTCGTCTTCCTTCTTAGCTTCACGGACGGCCGACCTGTCCGTCTTCCTGCAAAGGAATTTCTGGGCCTTAGAGAGTGTCTTGTTGATTGCTCTCATTGCTGCTCGATACACAGGAATCATGTACTGGGGGACACATGTAAATACATAACCGCGATTACACTCTGAATGGATTAATGAATGAATCTATTGACTCAATGATTCTTATATATTGATTTGGCGCAATTCGTTGATAACGTTCGCAACGCGATGGCAGTGTCAACTTTTGTCAAGTGTTCAGAACTGATCGTGCCTTTTACGATTGTCTGATAACTCCCAGCTCCTCCATTAGGTATACACGGCTTTACCACAGTTTGTCTCCACTTTGCACTGATCTCGTTCATTTTATCATAGAGATAATTCAACAGTGTATCCTTATCCGAAGGACATGTAGAGAATGGGACTCCGATGGCAACTTGAAGCTTCGTTCTGGATTTTAATGAGATTTCATAAGTCACTATAAGAAATCTCTTAATATTCATTTACTTGTGAGACTTCTTGGAGAACTCATAATTTTTAACATTACCTAGAACACATATATGACACGTATAATACCACAAGACATGTTGTTTGAGGTGTATCAAATATTTACCTTATCTAAGTAAACCATAAATAGACAGTTGTAAATGTCATTTGTAATTAGGCTAATACGATGGACTTGGTTGCCATGCAAAATTGTGTGAGTAGTTCGATGACTGTTAAATTAACAGAGTCCAAATTGAGACATCTGTCGTAGGCAATTCTCTTTATAGATTGATAAATTGTAAAACCATGGATATTATTCAAGGTAATTTAATTGTGCCTTCCAGACATGATTGAAAAAATGGAAAGGTAAAAAAAATTAAACATTTCTACTGGCATTACTTCAATTAATTTTTTCCTCTTTCTTATCTTTGAAAAATTATATTCTCTCTCTTCTGTAACACCTATGGTGTTAATATATACATTATTAATCCAACCACTTCCTTCGTGGGTACTAAGGTCGTTTAATTTTTTATTTATGCTGACAAGCAGAAAAGAGAAATGAACAAGTATAAGGATACTACCGACTCCCATCATCATCATCATCATCATCATCATCATCATCGTCGTCGTCGTCGTCGTCGTCGTCGTGAAATACTATATGCCCTGGAGTCTTGGTCTCTTTACAGGTGGGTATCAATATTTTATCTTAACGGTTGCTATATTTTTCCTACGTCAGTAAACATTCATCCTTTCCATCAGGTATATGATTACGTTACGTATTGCGCGAATACGCCGCCAACAACTTACGGGTATAGTGGTTACCTTGTGTGTATCGTCTTACCAAATATTTGCACTGTCGTATTATTCGCACACGACGTTCTAATAATGGGTATCAGTATGTACATGTTTTAGCATCATTCATCAACTCTCAGGATTTCATCTTATAACGCACTGACTTATAAACAAGGAAAAGTTAATAACTATGCACTCATCCAATATTCGTAACTTAGAGTGATAGCCATATTGAAAAATGTCAACTAAGGATCAGAATGTCAATTCACACTAAATCAAGAGAACGATTGTAGAAACTTTCATTTCGTGTATTAAATCTGAAGAAAAAGAAGGAATGTTCAGCCTCGATTAAATTTGGTAAAATCAGCCCTGAAAAACAACTTTTAGACAGTATGTGTTGTCGAGAGAGGAAAAGTACGCGACACTAAGAATACAGATAGTCCTCGTCTCGGAGGAATTGTGAATTATTAGAGTCACTAAGCATGAAGCGATAAGAGTTTTTTGAAATGTTAAACAGTCATGCGGATAATCATATTCAAATTTTATAAAAATGGTGATACGTCTGTTAAAAAATTGCGCCAAATCTTCGTGGTATTCTAGCGTATCGATTGAAAGATGACTGAGTGATATGGTTATTGATGACACCGAGAAGATACTAGTAAAGAGAGCCAGAGCCTTATGGAACTTTATATCTGACGGCTAGTGAATACAATATGCACGGGAGATATACTGGAACCAGCATAGATGTTCCTGAAAGAGATTGAAATGCTATAAAATTTGTTTAGGACACAGAATATATAGGGCCTGGACCTCCTTACAAAATTTCCTCAGTGCTGATAATGAATTTGATAAAGAAGACGAAAATTATTATCATCCAAAAGATGAGCAATGTATCATTGACGATGCAACAGTCAGATACAAGCAGACTGTGCAGGTAAAGCGAGATAAAAGGACAAGAGTTAGCTGGATTATAAGCGTTCAGTATTAAACTATTGACAGAGACCTCCAAAATGTCCACTTAGCGGAGGACTTCGGCATTGGTGAGCTCAATATTCGAAAGTACTTTTCTCAAATCGTGGTGCACGGCAGCGAGGAAGCGTCATCCCTCTGAATATCCAACAAGAAGAAGTAGAAGACACCGTGGTACGAGTGATCATTTACGTAAAAAAAGAACCAATAGAGGACTCGACAGGTAAACTTTTCCCTTCCTTCCCAACGACCATTCTGTTAAATCACATTAAAATTCAGTTAAAAATCCAACGTGAGTTCACTGAAGGAACCAAGTAAAAGTTACGCAACGAATTGTTTCGTTGAAAAAAAAATTCCTCGTATTATTTCGTGAGTCTTATCAAAGCGAAACTGACTGACGCCACCGGGCTCTTGAGATAAAGATAAATTTAACGTGGTAAAATCTAACGGAATATATGTATAATGATAATACACGAGAATCGATACTTTCTCAATAATCAATATCCCTGTGCTGCTTGTATTTATAATTCAAAGATGCTAGGTTATGATAAACAAATTTGTGAGAGGATAAAAAAACAAGAGCAGCTGCAATTATTAGACAGGGTTGCAAAAGTAAGCGTGTCTTATTATGTCCCATTCTACTCAGTGTCTACCTGTCTCCTGATATCCTCAGGTTACTTTACGTGTACGAGATAACCTCTTGTAGTTGCATTCTTTTATGCATCATACATACAGCAGAATTAAACTCATACGTGACACTTATTTCTCACAGTTTTTCTCTCCGAGTTGATATTTATTAAATATCGTCAATTCTACTGCATGTATTTCGTACGACAATCTTATATGTCCAGTCAATTTGAAGATTGATATTTCCACGCACTTTAGGTTCTTGGAGTAATGTAAGAAGCGACCGAAACTCGTCTCCTAGGTGTGTCACTTCTGGTCGAGTGGTCGGGCAGGTTTACCTGGCGTCCAGAAAGTATACCTGGTGCTGGATGCAGTGATTACTTCTCGGATTATCTTGAACACCTTCCACTTGCTGATGGACACTAACAGGTTTAATATTTCTTTTGAAGTACAGTACGTGGAATTAAGAAAAAAGATTTATTTTAACTACGCGAACTCTTGTCTTCCTGAGGCCATGACACGCGGTACGAAGATGCCTCAAGGTTTACCCGAGTACGACTAAACGCTTCCCATCCGAGAAGCCACTCTCGAACACACTGACGACCCTATCTGTAATGTGACTACGTTTGTGAGGCGCCTCTGTAGGCAGTCTTCTTAGGATGTGACTCATTCGCAGGGACGGCTCTGATATCCAGAGTGCCCTGGGTATTCTGTGAACGTCAACTGATTTTCTTAAGGATACTGTAGAATGGTGATCACTGTGTCAATGAATGATGACAACGATTTTTCATATTCTCAGACTTTATTTACTTGTCGATACTAGTATAATAATAATTATAAAATTATTATCAATATAAATATTTTGTTTTTATATAGGCACATTTTGTTATGTACATTGCAGTTTTCCCTTGGATAAATACCTGTCATTAGGTATTTCGTACTTAATTCATATTTCTATTTATATCTGTCGGTGTCAATTGACAATGACAATATCAAACGTCGACACGAGCACATTGAATAGTGAACTGTTAGATTGTTGGAGTCTGAATTGTTTGTTTGTATCCTTGAGGAGAATCAGTTCTTTTTCCAAGCAACAATCATTAGCTATGATATACAAGAGTAAATATTGGAACTAGAATTTTCCATTGGCACAGCTGTAACTAAGGTCACGCAGCCATTTTGATTTGACATACATGTTTTTTTCTTCTATTATTCAATGATATCTAAGAGCTCATATAAATGTGCGTGTGAGATTGTCTCGGTTTTTTTTTGAAGGCTTAAGCGTAAATACCTTACAATCGCGTCTCTAAATTTGAAATTTGGCCAACAAATTCTTTAACAACAGCTCAAAAATAGAGGATATATTCATTTCGCGATACTCATGAGAAACTATCTTCGTTATTTTTACATTATGCGTTGTTATCTCGATAGAAATCTTTTCTCTGCTTTAAACAGATTTTATTGTGATTCGGTGACCGATTGATTATCTCTTTCGCTTTTATCAGGTTACACTTAATTAACAAATTTAAAGAAACTTTTTTTTAGTAATAACGCGCAGGTGGCAGATACATTTTGTTGGTTCGCGAAATTAAAAAAAATTTATTAAGTAGCTTGCATTTCAGATACGTTGATTCAGAATTGTGAAAATATATTGTACAGAGATCAACCATCGTAATTCGACATGAAACATTGTATCCCAAAAAAAAAGAAACAGAAATTCTGCGCACCGGATAAAATAATATCTTCCACTTAGCTATCCAGAAATTATCCTTTTCAAAGTATACCTATACAAAGTACCAGAGTGTACAGTTGACGCCATTTCGCAACAATTATTATCGTATAATTATTAATAACTACAATTAACAATAAAATATGAAATATACATTTAGTTAAGTATACGCATGTACAACGATTAAAATCTTCTAATCTACATTAAGTATTCACGCTTCTCACAGAAAAATACATTTTATATTGTCACGTCCGAACAAGTTGAAAACCAGCGGGTGTCCGACAAAACAAAAAAAAATACTTGTCGCACCGTTCACATTTAAGTAATACCAAATATCAAAGAGAGAAAGAGAAGAAAGAAAGAAAGAAAGAAAGAAAAGGAAAAGTTACACAAAAACTTCTCGCTAATTTCGTGAAAAGTCAATACCACCACGTCAACCACCCGTACTCGACGCTTCATAGATAACTAGAATCTTTGACGCGACACTTTACTGTCCCAAAGAAAAGAAAAGAAGTGTTTGACACCCTTACATGTATATATCAAGGCTTCCCGAATAACAAGTTTAAAAGTTTACAACGATTTATCACAAGTATTACCCTTTTTGCGTATATTGTATTTCCTAAGAATACATTCCCCTTTCGACCTTCGGGATAACTCGTGGCTACGTCCATTCTCGAGAAGCACTGTAATATAAGTCCTAAGAGAGTAACAGAGAAGAGAGTTGGATAGTCGTAAGAATGAAAACTCCATTCAGCGCAACTTCTGTCACAAGAAAATGAAATACCAACGAACATTCTAGATCATCGCGTAACAGTCAATGATATCTCAATGAAAATATTAATCAACATCCAACGCTGTTCTTCATACATTGCACTCTTAGGTTATAACTTGCAATGTACGTATAGCATTTGTCACCCCATCTGAGTCTCAGGTTCGGTTTTGCAGTCTTGCATGGTAAGAATGTAAGGCACGACACTCCCTACGCTTACCCTGCCGATAAGGCCTGCGAAGAAGAGGTCCTCCAGGACACGAGGATTGATCGAACGCAATGGCGCAAGCCTTAGCAAAAGACGCGGAAGTCTGTCAGAGCCGACACGCTGCTGCAATTCATTCCACGCCGCGTCTTGTAGAACTTCAACCTTTTTCCGCCACACTCCGGCCAGTACATTATCTGTCGGTATAGAAAAATCTTGCTAATAAGACAAAACAATGCAAATCGATCTCGACACACGAAGTTCATGAAAGCAAAGACCAATTGTCAATGGATCTATATAAAGAAATATCGAACCTGCACTGAAGAGAGTCAAAGCCTTGAGGTATGCATACTCGGCAGCATCGACTTGAAGTTTATGAAGTGAACTAACGCAGTCCTGTAATCGGCATATGTGTTCCGTGACCGATTTGACTTTGCTAGCAGTGATCTTTTCCTGTGCGATACTGGCTTGAAGGTGATTTATTATCGAAGTTAAAATACTAGGTAGTGACAAGGTGTACGCGCACTGCGCGAGACCTAATGTAAAAAGCTGACCCCAGGAACTACGAACTAGGGTGGTTTGCACTTCTGAACTGCAAACACAAAATGACGAGTATTGTTTCTATTAATGAAAATAATATCCAAAGATAGTCGAGCGATCTGCAGTCTCGTTATTGATCTACTTACGGCAATGCCTGGAACGCAGGAATTCCTCGGGCCCAATGTACGGATAAGAACAAGAGCCTGGCGGCACTTTCACAAATATAATGTATAGACAAGTATGCAGGTGCTGGACTAGGCGCCCTCAACTCGAACAACGTGTGCCTTTCGAATAGCAATTGACCAGTCCATTCTTCCTCCGGTTCTCCGGAGCCGTTGACGCTCTAGTAAAGAAACATAAATAATCCATAGACTCAATTGTCCCGATCATGCAAATACTTCTTTACTGTGCTATACGCATTAATCAGTTAACAACGTACATCACCAATGAGTTTAGCCATACTGTCCAAAGCATGTGAGATGAGCAAACGTTCTCTTGCTAGGGTCAAAGGGTCACTTAGGTCGCTGTCGCTACTTTGGTCCTCCATACTGGGACTCTCAGGTTGTTCCCAGGCTGGCGGTATCTCCGGCGTGGACTGCTGTGGCTCTGGCTTGACTCTGGTGCCACGACTTCCAACCTTGGTACCACCTGAATCCCCCAGGACTGGTTTACGCTCGTGCTGAACCGCTGCAACACCCCAAGCTTGCTTATGTTTATTACAACCCACAAACTATGGGATGCAATAGCTCTCTTTGTTAATACATAAGGTCTCGGTATGTCCTCGCTTACCGAGAACCCTTTTACCATGAATTCAGTGAACTTACAGTCACTGCGCATACCCATCGCCAGGCACTTCTGAAGTCGACAGTACTGGCAACGATTGCGATGATGCTTGGTAACCTCGCAGGTCTTGCTACCCCTGCACTGATATCCCAGCTGCTTCCGGATACTACGTTTGAAGAAGCCTTTACATCCCTCGCAGCTAATTGCACCATAATGCCTTCCACTGGCACGATCACCGCAGACCACACATAATTCCAAGGACAGACCCAGTCCCAGTGAGCCACGTACGTCCCTGCCTAGTTTAACCTGAATGAATATAAGAAAAAGAATCTCAAGACAACGAGCCAAACGATCAGAGAAGATGTTCAGTAGATACTCTAAATAATTAATTAACCATCTAACGGACTACTGTGCATTACCTCGACGTCAACATCGCTAAGATGCTCTATACCGCTGTGCAGATGAACCATTCCTGGAAAGTTTGCCAAATTTCGAAAATCACGACCAAGCTGATGCTCCGTCTTGACGTCGTGAAGACTGTCCACGTGATCATTTTGGTCTCTATCCATGTCTCTCTGAAATCAATACACCAGATTGCATAATGCAACAGATATTCTCGGTAATGGCTAATAAATAATTCTTGAGCCAAGCCTTCTCGTCCTCTCCTGCTTGCTTCTCTATGCTACAGCCGGATCACACCCTGAGCGATAATCACTCTCGAATATCGTGCCAGCCAAGGTCCTTGAAATACGTCTTTGCGCTCACTAAAAGCTGTGTCACGACACGTAAAATACGTTTTGCAGAAGAAAGAAAAAGTAAGGGACAAAACTAAGAAGCATATATGACTATTTGAACGACGCCAAGTCAATTCAATTTATGTCCAATCTAAATAACCTTGATGAAGCGTGACCTTGATCCCTTGTATCATCTTCCAATAAAATTTGTTCTGCATAAAACGTAGTGCTGCACTATTGTGACGGGACGGCAGACGAGTAAACCTTAATGCACAAGAAATGCAATTTACCTCTATCTCCGCATCTCCACTGTGATCCATGCCAGGATGATGTGGCAAACCGCGAAAATCCATTCCCACCGTGTGATCTCCCTCGTTCTCATTCAAATTTTCGTGATCGCGCTGCTCTCTATGATCTTTGTCCATGTCTCTGAAAGTCACAAAAGAAAAGTATGTAATACACACAAATTAATCGTACTCGATGTCAAGATCTATAAAGATTCTGTAAGGTAAATCAAATTCATACAGTAAAAATTGTATCACGGTGGATATTTAATACAGATTCAATTATGAGCTTTAATTAAATATCTCAAGAGATATCAGACGTCAATCTGATAAAAATAATCGACGCGCCAGTCTTAAAAAGTAACTCGGATCATAAAGTGCCTCCTTGTATTTTCCTCTAGATGAAATTTTCATTGATCACGTTTCATTTACCACAGTCGACAAAAACCATTGAAGGCTAATCGCTAAGACCCATTAAAAATAACGAGACGAATATAATGACCTATAGAAAATGACAAACGCCAGAGTTAACAATGACGTAATACTTGTTAAATGACTCGACTGACATCTAAATGTTATCCAGATATAAACTATACCTGGTCACTATAACAGTGTCATAGATCATGCATGGGATTGTTCGGTGTTACAATTAACGTCAAAAACTCCACAATAATTGTCAATCTTAATAATAATAGTAAAAGTCTCATCCATGAACAAGTAAACGCGACAGTTCACTAAATTCTTGTAGAAAGCATTAAAAAATATTTTTCACAGAGATGAGAGAAGAATTTAATGTTGACGTCGTTGCGCTTCCTGTTATCCTAGATCCCGAACGACTTAACACGGCGACGCAGGTTTTACTGGTGGCTTTAAGAATTTTTCTAATAAGTCACAAGGCAAATTTCTCTTTCGACGATCGATACGTTATTACGCTCGAGCTTCTGCGTGCTGAACTTTCTTGGTTATAGCTGTAATATTACACGAGCGACGTATTCTTTCCAGAGTACTGAAGCGTGTTACGTGAATGAAGTCTCTGGTATAAGATCTCGACGATATCATTTTGTAGCACTAAACGATTGCGAACACACGAAAGAAACTGATGATAAGCTTGAGAACCAGCAGGGTCTATGATAAAAGTACGATGCTCGAACGGTCACTCGGTTGTAGCTGATGCTGCTGAGCAAGTGGTGTCCTAAGAATGAAAACTAGAGCGTTTGCCCTCATCCTGCTGCCCTGTCTTTCCCTCCTACCGGCATTTTAAGAAGTGAAAGAGATGCTCCCGTAGTCGGAGGCTCTTCTGTTCCTATGCGGTATGTGTGCCTCTGCATGCCGATACCCCATGCTCCTCGCTATATTCTACCTGTCATAGAGCGTGTGGTCCATTTACCTGTGCCCGGACTCCATCAGTTCAACTACCAACAGCCACTCTACTGGGCCAGTAACGTATCGAGATACTTTGGAGCCACCTTGAACGGATGCCCCTATTACAATTCAGTTACAGTTAAGAAAAGATACTGACAGTGAGCTTAAAGAATTTTATTGTCAAAATTTGTCTACTCCTCACAACTTAGGTCCTTACCTTGTTAAAGAAATATCCAAAGAGTCGTGTCACCTGATGCTTTATCGATTGTGGAGAAATTCTGTCTAGTAGTAAGGCACCTCACTGGATTGGAGCAACAGTGTAGTAAGATAATGCCAGTGGTGGTTGATCAAAAAAAAAACTTCTAACGCACTCAACTGTATCCAGACGCGTTGTGATGCAAGAGGAAAAATTTGATAAATTATTTCAAGCATTGCTTCAAAAGAAAGTATTGTGTCCCATGATCTGTTACTGGTTTGATATCTCAGAATGACTTGAAAATGAAAAATGAAAAAAGAAAAAAGCACCTGGCGGTCACTTCCACCGTCCAGTGTAGACGGGCCGACCGCTTACCGGCGACTGTACGGCGTAGCCAGGAAAGGTCACCGTGAGTTGAAAGTGTACCGAGGTAGCCATTTCGTGCGACGTTTTCGATCGGCCGGGAGTGTAACTTCGAAAAGCGTCCCTCTCACTTTCGTGGAACAGACGAATCTGCGCCTCGTCAATTTCCGTGTGTCTTACAATACGGAAGAGATTGTGTGAAAGATTATTATCCACGAGCATCAAGTTCACAGTGAATTCCACAGCGCGTTATCGCATACAGCTACGAAAGAGAAATAAAATAGAGCATGAAAAAGAAAAAGAAAAATGAAAATATTAATAAACTAGAAAATTCGTACCATTGTTCTATTTTTTTTTAAGGATCCTATGATTTTATTCCTATTTTCACATCAATCCACTAAACAGTAGAGGAAAACATTGAGAATTTCAATGAGTTAAAAAAATTCTGTAGTTGACATTCAGCTTCCTCGAGGACACTATTCTATCAGAGGTAGAATCAATCTTCTTGTAGATATATATGTGTGTGTCGTAGACGCGTCCTAATGGTAGCAGACTACCAGTCGGTTACGTATTTGAACTCGACCGAAAGCTGAGAGTTTAAAAGCAACCTTGCACAGGTGAACACAGAGACAGTAACAACCGAGCCAATCCGATTGGCCGTTCTCTGCACTGGCAGGTTGGCAGGTCACTCTCTTAGTGCTACGAGAACGACCAGGTGCATTCTCGCGCCGCTTGCCTGCTCTTCCTATACCTGAGTTCTTCACGCTAGCGCAGGCCGGAGTGGTGGCCCTAAGACGTTTGTAGGTTATGTCACGAGATGGTTTACGACTTATGGCTCGTTGGCCTCCCGCCTCGTGGATTTACTGAAGAGACGGGATATTAGTTTTGAAGAATTTCGTAACCTTAATCATTAAGTTTATAATACTTTTAATATTCTACAACGTACCAGTCCCTTGGAGATTTTAGATAGACAAACATTTCATGCCAACGCCTGATTTGCATTCTTTGGTACGTGAGCGCTTGTGCCTATCGCCAGGTACACGAAGATTCTTACTCGTGAAAAGAAGAAGCCTGTGTCCTCCAAAGAGTTATGACTCGGCAAATGAAGACTGTGGGACGCGTGGGGTCCTCCGGCAGGGATGTGGTTAATAAGTACCTTCGCTCGATTTAAAGTGTGATATATCTTCAATGATTTTCATTTAGTCCAAGTGAACGTCGAGAAGGCCTAGGTTTAATTGGGAGTTTGTGTCTTTCTGAATATAGACGCCAACGCCGATATAGGCTCTCTATATATATAATTGCAGATAAACCCTCGTAAATATTGATATTAATTATACGCTCGACTGTCCCAGGGCATCGTAAATACCATGAGTAACCGCCACGTGTTACGATTCTTGCTTCTCGGCAATCAGTGCGACGCCATTAATCGACATTCTGTTCGACCTTTGACGTCGAATTAGTCATCGAACTTCAACAAGGATTTCGAGCACGCGTTCACTTCTTTTTACGTATGCATTTTGCGGTACGCGATAGACAACAATCGGCGCGAATTCTTATCGATAAAGAGCGAGGACATCGATATCGTGGCAAGAATTTATTTTCATTTTAACGACAATGTTTCGCTGTTTTTGAAGACAAGTGCGCAATGCGCATGCGCAACCGTTTGATCCTATACGCGGATATCAATGCGAACGACTAAATCGTAAAACTGATTAAGTTTTTTACAGAAAAAAAAAAAAAAAAAAAAAAAAAAAAAAAAAAAAAAAAAAAAAAAAAAAAAAACCTATTATACCTACCATTTACAAAATAAATTTCAACTGAGATTCAATGTCTAGAAGAACCATGTATTCTTGTGAACCGTAACCTTTAACTCAGCCTATATAACGTCTCAATAATTCTTGTAACTGCGGCATCCACTAAAAATCGTCATAGAAAAAGTAATTATGCGTAACTATTATATGGTGATGCTAGCAAAGAAACCTGCCAGGTAAAGATCACTGCTGAGTTTGAAGGTTATTCCCGTGTTCATTTGTCTGAGAAACCAGCAAGTATTTTTTTTATCTTTGTGCCACCCGATGCACCAAAGACCGGCAGGGATTTGTCATCTTTTTTTTTTATGCACCCGTTGCATGGCACCATAGCAGGTGACACGTATTTCAAGATATTCTTTTACGTATGATGAATATATACACTCAAAGAGTATTAAACAGGAATTCGCTTGTACTTGTTTTCAAATATGCTTAACTGTCCATTTTTTTCTATTCACTCGTAAAATCAACAACGATGCTAACCGATGATAGCCGATCGTGTCTGGCGAAACAAATTGATGTCAGACTGGACGCACGAGACGCTTGTAAATGATATATATATATAGAGAGAGAGAGCTACAGTGCGTTTAAATATTACGTATACATTGACTTACAAAGCATTCGTCGCGGCTTTTTCATCGATACCAGAGACGCTGCACGTATTTTTAACAGAGACACGTTTATATTCCCGATAAGAAAACGCCTTCCGTGAAGTCCGTGCTAATAATGTGATAAATCGTGTTTTTCAGATTGAATAAAACAAAAGAATGTCGGATATACTCGTACATGTACGTGGATGAAAATACTAAGGAGCCTATGAATTGAGACGTAGATGTAAAATAGGTTAAGAAAACATGAGAGGGCCGCTGAGATTTCGTCAGGTTGTAAACAAACGTGTGCAAATTACATGGAGCTCTTTTTTTTTTCACTGCTGAGATTTGACAATGATGAATATTATTCTCGAGTTTAAGACCATCCCGAGTGTACTAGAGTTTTGTATTGTTTTATAGGTTCTCGGCCATTTACGGAGACGAAGATATGACGCACCGAGCAGGGCGTGCACGCAGATCGCTTCTCTGTGAGCGAACCTTGGCCCCAAGAGGTTCGCAGCAAGCAACGACTTCGTAACGTTTAAGCCACGAAAACAAAAAGGTCTTGAGTTCGCGATAAGCACGATGACAGGCGAGCTCTTACCTTTATCACTGGATGCGACGATGAATCCAAGCGCGCATCATTTGGCCAGTTGACAGCTGCTACCAGACTTCGCCACCCATCTACGGGTTAGAGTTCATAACCTCTTCTAACCTTTACTTTACCTTTCCATTGCCCCCTACCCCCCTGGCTGACCGCCCAGCCCCACCGTTCCCACCGTTCACCTTCTTGCCCACTCGACATTGCATCTACGAGCATGAAGTAACCTAATGTATATAGATTAACCACGTCGAGCGAGTCGTTCGATTTCGACTGTGGCGCCAACTTGAATGGACGATCGAGGAACTAAACTGTTTAAACTGTACTTGATTTCACATAGAAATATAAAAAGCATACAAGAATGAAAAAACAATTAACTGAAACTTGACCTCTGGAAATATCAATTAATATTTTGGTTAAAGTAATATCGTCAGAGGTAATATCTTTCAAACAGGTCCGAAGAGAGCGACCTCTATCATTGGAAGAGATGGGGGAATCTGAATTAAAATAAATTATAAGCCTAACAATTTTTAATTACAGGGCTAATGAGATGGACGTGAAGATCTTAAAAGTTTCAATTTATTGTAAATAATATTGTTATATCTGTAGAACACAGCCGATCTGGTATATACCTATTGAGAAAGTATATCTAGTCTACTATACCCTTTTTCTTTTCCAAAAATGCATTTGAAAACCCACATTTCAATATTTCAATTACATAGCCTGCATTAGCGTTACATTAATTATTCTAGAAGAATTTTAAAGAAACTAATTTATGATGCAGGACATTGTGTAACTGTTAAATGTGAAATGGATTATTCAGTTAACAAAGGCTCTCGCCAGCATGTCATTCAGATGGCAATAAACATTCTTTACCTAATTTACGCATGGTAATGATTTTCCAGCTACTAACAAAAATTCGGCATTTGTTCATTCGTTCCTTGCGAGAAGAAAGTTTCATATAAACGTAACGTGTTTAAAACATGTATCATAATCCTAATCTTTTAACACTATTAATAATTTCAATGCTAGTTCTTGTCAAACAATCTCTGATATTATCAGTATCTCTATAATAAGCGCAGCAAGTATAATGTCAAGGCTGAAAATTGCCGAAAAACTATTTGACTCCGTCACATTCTAATCAATACAAAATACGTAAATATAATTTCATTAATTATAATACATCGCGTTATTGGCTATCTAGATTATTAATGCGGAGATGTCATGTGATATCACAATGTTATAATTTAGTCGACTGAGATTGTCTTTCTAAAGTATTACAAGTGCAATTAGATTACCTTTGATTAGTATATCCAGTTCCACATAAAATGTTCAATTATTTGTTGTGACATATTGCCGTTAAAGTTTAGGAATTTTTTATAAATATTTGATCTATATACTTTTGCAAATTTGAAGTTTTTATTCCAATAAATGTGAGAATCCTTGGATATTTTTAGAAAGACATTCTACGCTCCTCTTAATACCATGAGCATTAATAGAATACAAATTTAAAGTTGAATTGTGCATTTTGTAACAATTTCTTTTCAACATATCTACCAAGCAGTAACACAAGGCACTATCACTGTGATTAATATTATGTAGCGAAGTTCCACGTTCAACTTTTGAAAAAAAAAATCATAAATGATCACACGATTGTTAGTCTAAAAAAGATCATATTGATAGACACGTATCGATTTTTGTTATTACATCAATCCTATCTACTACAATTGAATTTGAAGTACTTTCGATAGGTACGCTCACGAATATATACATGAACACTTTTGCTAAATACTTATGTGAAGATTGGAAATAATTTAGAGTTGTTTTTTACGATTTGATAATTATTGTTCAGAGAATGCGCGTGTTTCATTAAATTGTCAGGCGATTATGACTGCAGAGACCGATTTATAGAAGAAAGCTTTTGTACATTGCACTTTGTGATCTTGAGTTTTATTGTACACTTTAATAATTTTTTATGAAACTATTTAATAATGTATCCTGCATCCTCATGAAGGCTCGTAGATAGATATGAAAACAATAAAGAAACATTGTTAACAATAAGACAAAAAGTTCAAGAATGCATTCCAAGATCAATCAGCCTTCTAATATTGTGCTATATCATCAAGATAATTTTTAATATTCATAAAAATAAGAAAACTGCACTTGTTTTCATCATTATAAAAAATGTCATCTCCAGTCAAACAGTTTATCAATAAGATCAATAATACAAGTTAATAGTACTTGTGAATTAATATGAATGCTATCTCTAGTAAACATACCCATCTTTTTATGTAACTTATACTAAGATATATATGTTACATACATTGAATATCGAAAACACCACAAGGATTTTATGCATAACAGTTTTTTCTTGTTCATTCGTCGATTATTTTGGTATTACTATATATTCATAGTATACTAAAGTTATATACGATTAATTAATGGTAGATAGACATTAATGGTCGTATCTACAATTCATGTATTAGCAAATCCATGATGTTACTAAGATTCAATAGTATGTCCGGCGTAGAGTAGTATTTGATCGTAACTGTATCACACATATCTGAAAGTAACAGTGCCCCTTAAGTGTTTCTTATCCTTGTAACTTTGTCGTTCACTGGAAAATCTCTAACATTCATTTAACTTGACACTCACCTATAGCAAAAAATCTATGCACTCTGATGGCCAAACACTTCTTGACTAGCAAACACAATGTAGAGAAAACCATCAGGATCTTTTTCCCTTTGATACAATTGTGACATAGTCATACTACCACTAGCCATACTTCTTTGGTTCACCAACAGAAAAAAGGCCTGGGTCGGATGAAGCTGTAGCCTGCGTCTGAATTATTAAGAGTAAACAAATACATTGTTATTACTGCATAGTTGTTATTACTAAATCTATCTCACCTAATGATTTTGATCAGTTCCGCAACTGTCAAGTGATCAGGTATCAGAAACTTAGACTTGTCCATCAGTGGCAATTGTTTCTCCCCATAATATCGTTCAACTATTACAGGAATCTTATTTGGATATTGTTCTCTTATTAATTCCACATCTGCCATGCGCTGTGCTGAATTTTTAAAAGCATGAAACAAATAAGGAGTATCCATTGACTAAATTAAAACTTTATTCCCTCGATAGTACTGCTCGCAAATATAAGAAAATTCAATAATAATTCTGAAGTAGTAGACTATTCGTCATCAAATGAATCTCAATCCACTATAGATAATATAATCTTCATCGAAGGTCAAAGTGGAACTAAAAATAAAAATCCACACGTAATAAACTAATAGACAGAACTAAGAGATCTTCCAACGAGCAACAATAATTTTATTACGAGAACAAGATTAGAAAGAATAGAAGATATTATTAATCAGGTTTCACTAACCCCTCCAGAACCTTTTAAACTTATTATTTCGCATCCCTCATATATGTCAAGTAATAACTCAAAATAAATATGATATTTCGTTATTATTACCCACCAAGGGGACGCTTTTCCTTAAAAGTCTTCGGTGTTAAACTCATTCTCGAATTTACTGTTTCACACGACTATCAACTACTACGACTTATTTCAATGATGACAAATGATGAATATCAACTGTGAGACTTTCTGAATAATCCCGACGGCTCAAAATAATGGCAACGTGACGCTTCCCCAGCGTCAGGTTGTACTGCGTTAGCTTGGACTATGCACAATCGATAAACATATGTTTCACACAAACGTAGCCGATCGGTGCTGCCTACACAAAATAATGCGGCCTTTCTTCAAACCAAGTAAAGCCATCTTTATTTATTTTTTTTATACAAAAGCATGTAATCAACCGTGCAAAGTAACGGGGCGTGGGGGAAGTCTACCATAAACCAAGAGTAAAGTAACATAGCCAGAAAACCATACGGCTAAAATCAGTATCAGTGAAAGCCAGAAGCATAAATTTTGTAAATATTCTAAAATATCTGCAATCATTGAAACCAATATATCGTAACTCCAAAAATCTCGTAATCTCTCTCTAAATTTGATATTACTTTCTTCGTATATTCTGGCGATCGATTAAAAATATCTCTAAAATAAGATCCACGAGTTGTCAATAATATCCGCTACGTGTCGCAGCATGCGTTTCCCACAAGTAGATCATAGCTATATCCGTTATGTTCTATGGGGGGCTCCGTCCAGCAACTTCCTCGGCGATTGGATATCGCAAGTGTGTATGTAAGCGTGCGTGGGTGAGCACCAGGCGTTTTCTTTATGGACGGAGGGAGAACACGCTCCCCGAGTGTTCCGCGTTGGCCGACGGTTCTCTCTATGAAAACTCGTGTGAAAGCGCGAAAAACCGCAACCGGAGAGCCGTGGCCGTAGCGTGCGCGTGTTAGCATAGATAAGAAGGATGTAAGAGTGTTGAAAGAATCGAACGCACCTTCTCCACGAGCAACGACTCCTGGATAGAAGAGAGAGAAAGAGAGAGAGAGAGAGAGAGAGAGAGAGAGAGAGAGAGAGAGAGAAAGAGGGAGAGTAAGAAAAACTAAAGAAGAAGTGACTATCCAAGAAGGAATAAGTGAAACATCGTCGCGATCCTGGCCTTCGTCGTCGCGAGTCGTAATAGAGAAAAGTATCTCGAAGCACCTGTGCCGGATGTACAGTTATACGAGTTACTTCGGAAGTCAAATAATTCTGACGTTTCATCAGGACGCTACGAGAGACTGACATTGTTCTTAATAAATTCTCATATTATTCGTATAATAGTTTCAACTAAGTGGAATTCCTGCAAAACGATAATCCAAATTTCTTCTGAAATTTATTCAGAATTACACAGGCTTCTATTTCCTTCGTACGGTACGTCTCTACGTCTGGCTGTCCTGTTCGTCTGACTGTCTGGCTCCCTCCTCTTATTCCACTCACCCGGCACAACAGCCTAACGGGGGTACAAAAAGAATAAACATGGTGGTGAGCGTGCGAGAGAGGTAGCGACTGAGTAATCCCAGTGTGTCAGAAGCTAGCGAACGGACCCCGACGTGGGTTCTTTGTCTCACACGGGAGCAAAAGGATTGTACGTGAAAAGAAGGATAAAGAGAGAGAGAGAGAGAGACAAATTTTCATTGCAACTTGAAGAACAATTTTCTCTGAGCCAACTGTCGACGAAACACCCTTGTTCATCTCCAGGGACAGAGCATCAGCTGTACTTAAAGTCAGTTCATCCTGGGAGCCACAGTTTTAGGAGAGATCCTGCTTATGGACCTCTACTTTCATCACGCGGATGACCACGAATCTTTCGTTACTTGTATCAAGATATTGTAACTTGACCGTTTATCATCCTGGAAAAATATGCGAGTTAAATCTCGTGGCGATTTATTCGTCATACTCGTGATACTAGTTGGCAAGATACGTTAGAGATTTGGATGCTTGTGAACGGTGATAAAATCTGAGAACCTCGTGCGACCTGTGTTTGTTGTATATGGAAAACGAAATCTTTGTGAATATTCAGATGGGATTATCTTTGATGGATTAAACAATCAAGGAAGCCAGTGACTGCTGTTCTATGATTCTTTATATACTGGAAGTGAAGGTATGAATTAGTGAGAAGTTAATAAGAAGCAGTCAGTGATTGTTTGCCTTCTTTTTAATAGTATTATTTTCTCTGTAACTTTAAGGTAATCTTGTGAGAGGGACTGCAACGTATGAGATCCTGCAGGAATCATCAAGAGTGTCTATTGTGTACAGTGTTTGGTGTGTCGAAGAAGGGAGAGTAAGTGAAGGAAGTAAAGAAAGTGAAAATAATATTGTGAGACAATATTAGAGTTGTTTTGTGCACTAATTATAATTCAACAGCATTGCAACACCATTGGAAATCGAAATAGAGTAAAGATTAAGATGAAGTTTTAAAGCTCATCTTCGTCATCGTTATCCTCGATGTATTAGTCGGTTGTGTGTTGGGCTTCTGATAGTTCGTGATATCGATTGACACGAAAGAAAAATCGAGCGAGGGTGGAAAGCACGGAAGTGGACGCAAAGGTCACGCTCTGTTCAGGACACGAGGAAATTTCTCGGTGTATTTTCGGCTGTGGAAAAAGTTGAATGGAGCGGAGTCATCAAACTTGCCCGGCCCGGTGCCAACAACCTCTGAGCTAGACAGCTCATGATGCGTTTGCCCTCGTGCACGATAGATTATAAAATTAGACGTTCGAAACCACACTCGAAGGTAAAAGGGATACGACGGACAAAGCAAAGAAGACACGGTGAAGTGAACGAGGAGGAGAGCGACGCGGAATATCGGTGAATGAAGAGACTTTCGAAGTCTGTTCGGAAGTGACGTCAGGAAGTGACATCATAGTTCCTTATTTACTTTTACTTTACTTTTTTAAATTTTCATCGCCATCAACGTAAACGTCGCCCTGACCCTAACATCATTTTGTAACATCCTACTGTTTATACGTACATCCTGTTCAATCAGTGTTTGTGTCTGGGAAATTTGAAGCAACACGGTCTTCTTATTTTAACTACGACGTGTCGTGAACGATGTATTATTTTGCAAGGCGAATGTGAATCTTGCAAGGCCGTGAAGAGAGTTCAACTTCTAGTCTACTGCATTTAGACGAGTGTATTTCTCGAATGATATTTTTTAAACTCATGACGATATCAAACTGCACGGATTTTGAGAAAGGTGCATGCAGGAAACAGTTTTGATAGTCTTCGACTTGGGAAGGATCTCTTGGGATTTTCTGGAAACGTACCTCTGCTAAGTCACCGATAGCAGTTTGAGGATTTTTAGAGACTGTTATTTTAAATGTATATCACTTGCATCTTGCGAAGAGTAGAATTCAAACTACTCATCCATTTGAATACCCATAAGAGTGAGACTGAACACATAACAAATCACTTAGACGACTAATTTATTTAACAAAACTAGAAAAGAGGAAAGTTACGGTGTGGAATCTATAGAAGAAATTATGTACCAACGACAATTGTCACAGGAAGATCAGCAGCAGTGTCCGACCAAGATTCACAAAGATATAGCTTCCAGTATGGTGACAAATACAGAATAAAGTATTCTCAACTACGCTGAACAATAACACTGTCTCTAGGTAGCATTAAATTAAATCAAGAAGAATGGACTGTACTAGAACAGCGTTTACGTTTTAAAGATAAGTTTCATAGAGAAGATGCGTCGCAATTGCAGAAGGAGAAGACGCTGACACCAGTGCTTTCAAACTGTGCCCCAATACATTAAGAAGACAAGAAATGCAGCACCCTGGAGGAGCTAGAGCATAATATCAAGACTTCTCTGTTAAATGGGCACAAATGACTAGCTTAACTTTAGCAGCCAATGCGATCGAGATGCCCCTGTCAAGACCAAATCCGTTTGCACCCGCGAACGCAATCTCTACGCAAACGTATATCTCGACGAACGAGAACAGCTACCTTCCTCCGCTGAAGGGAGGCAGTCTAGTTCTTAAGCAAGGCGAGTCTCCACCAAGCCACCTGACTCACGCAAGTCACGTCGTAGGGACACACTTGCCAAGCCTGGGATCGAGCGCTAACAACAGCCTACAGAACTTAACTAGCAACTCCGATAGCTTAAACCTGAGTCTGAGTTCGCACACAAGTCACACGAGCCATAATAGCCACAACTCCAGTCACAATTCTCATTCTCAACCGAACAGCCAATCGAGCAGCCCTATGGTGAAAAATGGACGATCAGACGGGAACTCGAGTGGTGGAAAGCCCAAGACTATGACAGTCACTCCGGAGATAGTTTTAAAGCTGTACATGAACAAATTAACGCCATACGAGTATCATGAAATCTTTAACTATAAGCAAATTTACTTTATAGGAGCTAATGCCAAGAAGAGGCCAGGGCTCATAGGCTATCCTAACAATCATGATTACGATAACGATCAGGGCTCCTACATCCATATACCTCATGATCATGTAGCGTACAGGTACGAGGTACTCAAGGTTATCGGCAAAGGTTCCTTCGGCCAGGTCGTCAAGGCATATGACCACAAGACCCACGAGCACGTAGCCTTGAAGATGGTCAGGAACGAGAAGAGATTTCACCGGCAGGCCCAGGAGGAAATCAGAATACTGAGGAACCTCAGGGAACAAGATAAGGATAACACGATGAACATCATTCACATGTTCGACTCGTTCACCTTCCGGAATCACATGTGCATTACCTTTGAACTTCTTAGCATTAATCTCTACGAACTCATCAAGAAGAACAAATTCCAGGGCTTCAGCTTACAGCTTGTTAGGAAGTTCTCCCATTCTTTACTTCAGTGTCTCGATGCACTTCACAAGAACAAAATTATACACTGTGACATGAAGCCTGAGAACGTTCTTCTGAAGCAGCAGGGTCGCAGTGGCATTAAGGTGAGCAATTCACATTTATTCTTCGTTGCGACACTTGACTGACCAATCGTCCAATCAACCGATCCAATTCTTTTGTTTCCTTAGTAACCTGCCTCCATGAAAAAGTTGAAGTCTCAAGCGTTATCAACCATCACTCATTTTCACTGACTGCTGAATAAAACATGAGTGTATGCCAATAATTAATCTTATGATAGAAAGGAATAAAATATTCCACAGGCAATACTTGCATGGATAAATCCAATCAAACGGTACATTTATCCAGGTTGCAATGTTAAGACCTACAAGAGTTTTCATTGTCTGGTTCAATATCGTCACGCCACTATTTCGTTTCCAAAAATCCGTTATAATTTGCCATTCGGAGTCAGCCTCGTTCTGAGGCGCGTATCGTGCAGAATCAGGTTTCAAAAATTCACTGTACTGAATATCACTGGTAAACATCAGGAACTGTAGAAAATATACGTGAGATTCTTCGCATGAGAATTGACGTGTCATTAGTACAGGTGTTTTTAATGTTTTGAGAATTTTGAAAATCGATCTAATAATTTTCATTATATCTGTCTGATCATCGTAATCTTCATCGGATGATTCGCCTAATGTTCATCAGTATGAAATTTTGTAATGATTCTTAAAATTTTTAAATATTCTCTTCGATCTATTACATTATTCTTCATGTATATGATAATTCAGTACTAATAAATCATTCCGGACGTAGAGTACAGCGTGTTAGGCTCTTTGTTTACCTAAAACATAGCAAATAATATTATGCAGCGAGGGAAACTCGAAGGTAGAACTATGTAAATGGTAATTCATTTATGCTCCGATACCTCGAGCGAAGTAATTAACTAACTATCCATCGAAAGTCGTTAAAACTATTTAGATAACGGGTGTTCATAAAGTACAGAGGAGATTGTCAACGTTAACGTACATAACTAACAATGAGTAAGTAGCTAATTGTGATCGTTCGATACGGACTAGTAGTTAATGCCATATCACTTTTCCTCCTTTACAGTACTACTATATCTATACGTCAATCCATACGACCAGATACTGTAAAAGTATTTAGCAAGGATACAATCGTACGGACGGGTTCGTTCTACCAGCCAGAGATGATTACCGTTATCAGGAAACATTGCTGCCACTGAAATAAATATTGGAACCGCTGTCCGATTCGCCTAGTCGAGTTAGAGCAATGACTTTATATTTTAAACTTTGCTTAGAAATTGATTGGCATCATATACATAACCTACAATTCTCGTTGCGTGTATAACGATAGTAAATTGCACTTAAAGAGGTGATTAAGCGTGACGTGATTTGCTATTGTTAAGACTAAGAAAATGATACTTGAGTAATTAGTTGCTTTGTAGGAATTCGGCATTCGTTTATGTAAGAATTCGTATTTTATATAGGACACAGGCATATATATATATATATACACTATGATTTGTGGAATGATATAAAAAAATGAGGTATCTAGGGATATAGTGACTTGTATGGGATTCACGTAGTAACCATGTATGACACGCATTACGTATTGTCTAGGGATATTCGTGTTGCTGTCTCTGACAATAAATCACTTTAGGATTTGCGCTCAGGAACACTAGGGAATTACGAACTGTTCCATTCACTCTTATAAATCTTCTTTCTTTTTACCGTTGCGGCTATCGATTTGCTTCTGGTAATTGCACGATTTTTTTTCTTATGGGATTTCGAGGTTATCAGAGAAAGTTCAATACGATTCTCTAGGTGTTGTGTTGAGAGATATAAGAAATTATGAACGAGGAGGGTCTTGTGTTTGACTTTTTCTTTTTCTTTTCTTTTCTTTTTTTTCTACACTTTGTTTCAATCTATCTCTTCTACTCGTCCTTTAGAGCTTGCTTAATCCAATCTGCAGCTTCTCTTTTCCCCAGGGAACTTTTTCCCTATACCAAAGACGCGTCCTGTCCTCAGGCTAAATATAAACCACTTAGTCCTTATTCACGGGTTATTTTTAAAAGCCATATTTCGTCGTCCCTCTGTATTGCTGTTGTTGTAGTATCAGTCCTGGCTATGGTACTTGGATGGCGCAGTCCCTTTACTCGGTTGCCAAGGGAGTCGGGCTTATACTTGCCGTGGAGTCAGGTTTTCTTGTTGATCATTTTCTTCTTTTTTTTTTCAAATCGGAACTTGACCCTCGCCACTGGTTACTGTCGGAGGAACAACCAAGACACGAGGTACGATAATGAAACGTATTCTCGACACTGCAAAGGTCGTTGAGAGTTCATAGACTCGAGTGGAATTTACGAGGAAGGAATTATATAGTCACCCGGGTAGCTTACGTTCACGGAATTCGAACAAGTCAAGGTAATAAAGGAGACTACCTGGAGTATGGCCCTAATGGAATTTGGGAGAGTTGTCAATCTTACATGGTGAATATTGCTTCTGGCTGTTGTATGAACTGAATTTTGTCTTTTCTTCTTTCTCCTCTCGTATTTCCTCGTATTTTCTTGTGACAGGGTATTCCGTTCTGTCGTATCATCACTGGCTCACCTAATAAAATAGATGGCTCACGAGCACGTTACTTCTTAAAGAGTAATTACGGCTGACGTTAGGGTTTTTTTTTTCCTTCCCGAATATCCCTTAAATAAGTCTTGGGACTCGCGTTAACCGACACGTCGTTGGAAAAGGCAGAGATGTAAAAATAGGGCGGAAATAGGTTCACGGTTTTTCTATAAATAGACTCTGACTACGATACCGCCATTTTAACGTATCGCCTACCGTCAGATTTATGCGATAATTTTATAATCGATTCGTTACGAATTTATTGCGTACCTACGTTCAGAGCAGCTGGAGGTCGAGAATCGAACGGACGATGATTTGACTTTATTCTTGTGTTCAAATGCTGCGCATATCGCCTCGCTAGAAACGAAAGGACGTATAATAGTTGAACTTTTAGCCCTTTGCTTTTAGTCACCCGATGCCAGGTAAACATTTGATCTCTAACAATTATATAATCGATAATGGATGTAATTAGATTTTTTACTGTACTTTGTTTACGTACACGCTTCGCTTGACCTTCGCAGTGAAATTATTTCCAATCTCTTTGTTGTCCAAGTGCCACGTGTAACCGAGTCAATGAAACTTCCTGTCATTGTGCGATCGTTCCGTCTCTCAGAAATACTTGACTCTCTTTTTTGTCAACCTAATTTAACCCATAGAAAGATACTTATCCAAAGGACGAGCAATGGTTACATCCCAGGTAGTCAGTCAACTTCAGAGGGAATAAATCCATACACAAGGATATCTTAACTTTCCTTTCGTGACCGGAAGTTATATCAGTAATGGCGGGTTCTGTTTTCAGTGCACTTTCCTATGATAACAATTCTTAAGAGGAATAAACATTTTTTGGTCGAAAACAACTTTGCAACGGTCACCCAGATTTCGTGGCTCCGTCAAAGCTGCGACGCGTAGATGGACGAATATTTAAAAATAAAACGGTTATCGAGCGCGGTTCTCGAAGCGTTTCAGTCGCCGGGATCGAAATGACGTCTGAATTATTAAATAATTTAAGTTCAATATCACTGAGCAATTGGCACCGCTTGATTTCGATAATTCAATCTCCAAAAAGATTGAGATTCAATCTTTTCTATAATTATCCCGCACAGTCTCCTAGTAATGTTAATACCAACCTAACCTTCAAATATCAAGCGGAAAAATTGCACGGATAAATTTATACTACCGCATAACGAAAACCGATCAACTAAATTCTTAAAGGGCCTTTATATCAACTATTGACGTATTGTTTTAATACCCAATGACACGTACCAATAAATTATTACTTTCCAGGCATTGTAAATCGCTTCGATTCTTCTATAAACGTTCCTCGGGTATACTCGTAGTATTCGTATTCTCCACGGGGTCTAGGATGGAGGCTACTTTCGTTGGACAGGAGGAACGATGGACTTCCGTTTAAGAATGAATCGCACTCTAGGGCCGTCGTTACTTCTATGAATATCTACGCTCTGCTTCGATCGCTCGAGTTACGTAACAATCAATACTCCAACCGTAGTTCGATCCAAGTATCACGAGTCTTGCAAGTAGTCTCCACCAAAGCCATTCGAAAGGACAGAAGTTCTTTTATAAGTTTCAAATATTCGATTCTCTTTAGTACGACATTAAATATCAAATTCACTAAAACGAGGTTAAAACCTTGTCAAGTTACCACCTGAATTTTTACTGTTTCGATTATTTATTGATTTCTTGATTTTTTTTTTCAAACTTATACACACCGTTACGGATAACGTCTTTTAACGGTTTCACTCCTAAAATTCTTAGCTACGCCGAATACTCGCGCGCTGTTTAAACTTTGCTGGAAATCTAAGTAAACCTTTTTCCCTCGGCCTTTCAATGCTTATCGTACCTTTTGTTATACACAGAGAGATAGGCAAGCATTCGTTTGTCTTTTGTCGTCCCTTCTCTACCATTACAGCACGGTTTCAAAGATCACGTATAACAGTACTGGCAAACGGTATCACGTATACACGTTATCGTTATCGTATCCCTTGCTGAGCCTTGTGAAGCATGCCTGCATGCAGTGGACATTACGTATTTAGATATGAGAATTGTATAATATCAGGGATTTGTCAATAGAACGTGAAAGGTAAAGATATGACATTTATTTAATTATTATGTATACGCGTCAACAGCTTCATTATTGATAGCTAAATCCGAGTCTATAGCTATGAATAATATATAGATAACGTAGAGAATCGTTAAATTTATATATCTATCTATAGCTTAGCCTTGTAATGGTTTGTATATATGTATATACGACATCTGTAAAAAAGCTTTTTATTCTCATACCGCGTTTCTGGTCCGGATTCGAATTCGACATTTTCCCAACTGATCCTCCCAGTGAGCTTTTATCTCCGTCCAGTGGCTCCTCCTGTGTTACTTCTGTACTGTGTTTTCACATGAGAATCGATACTTGAAATTTTTGAAAAATAAATTCGCAAAATCCTCTCGCGTTAGTACGCAGAGTCAAATCGTTGGTGAGGACAACAATTTTTTTCGACAAAAGTTTGCGATGTATATTGTATATTGAATATCGAAATGGAAAGTTTTACTGTGCGTCATCGAGAAGTATATTCTTTGCTGCGTCTTGCGACATACGTATAGACGTAATAATACAGAAACGGTTACTGCGTCGTCGTTGACAATTTCGTCATGAATTTCCAGTATATGTATGTATATATACACACATACACATATATATTCTGTAGACGACGGTCTATAAATTTTACAGTTTTGACCAGTGAAATCCAGCGGGACGGGTACTGTAGATTGGGGTCTTTTGGTAAACAAGTGACAAAAAGGAAGAGGAAGGATGGAAAAGGTCTTGAAAATGGAAAAGAGGCTTTCATTGTTAGGCGGATGGAGATACGAGGAAGGATTTGTAGGGCGGCGGAGGGGGGGGGGGAGCGGGGAGAGTTTTCTTTTAGGGGATGCTAAGGGTCTCTCGTGGGAATGGACCATTCGATTGAGATGAGGGTCTTGCGATATTTTGGCGAGTCTTTATAGCCGTGGATTATAATGTCTTAGCGTTATTAATTCTCAATTGGGTGGCGTCGAGGCGCTTTTGAAGCGGCGGCTGTTAACAGGAGATTTTATATTTTGACTTTTACATATACGACCCTATATATATATGTGGACTTTTATGTGACTCGAAGTGAAGTTCAGTTTTGAGATTAGTGCAGTGTGGAAAATATTAATATTTATTGTTTGGGGCATGCGTGAGTTATCTTTATTTTCAAAAGTGGGCTCGAGGTTGAGATGGAGCCTTTAGCAATCGATAGATTTGTCGCATGTGCGAAAATTACGTGAGAATGGGATATATTGAAATTCGCTAGGGCGAGGTCGCTGGGGAATTCGACGTTAGAAAAGTCTGGGGTGTTTGCTCTTGTTAAGAAATGTATTTTGAGAAAAAATAATGAAAAAAAAATTGTATAGGTCATCGGGTTGGTTTTTGGATAAGGGGGCGGGTTCGAAATCTGGCTGTTGCATATTTTCAAAGCACTCGATCAGCTCTTAAATCCTCTTTTGTTTGTTTCATTTTTTCATTCTTTGTTTTCGTGGTTTCACCTTTTTTTTTTTGAGCTAGCACCGCTACCGATTTTAACTAAAAAGGGCGGAACTCTAAAATTTAAATCAGGGCACTCAATTATCTCTCAAATAGCTCCTGATTTTGCAATAGATTTTATTTTCATTTTTCACTGTGACGGTTCCAGCTTTATTAACGTAATAAACTTTATTTTTCATTAATCTTCGACAACGGGTTACGTAAGGGGTTCACGATGGTAACGAAGACTTGAGGTTGCTTGCGTGTTCTTATTGGGATCAATAAAGATTGAAAATAGCTCTGGTTCAATTTTAGGTTATAATTCGTCAGAGAGAGAGAGAGAGAGAGAGAGAGAGAGAGAGAGAGAGAGAGAGAGAGAGAGGATCACGGTCGTTGGTACAGACTGTATTGAGTCCATTGTTATTATTTTATTCGATTTACTCGTCTAAAGTATCGACTGTACAAATGATACCTAAAGTCATTGCCAGAAGTTATTCAAAAAGTAATTTCGTCGTATGGCGTCAGTCTTGTTAAAAATAAATCGAGGACGCACCGTTTGCAGTCGATGATAGTGCATCGAAGCACGTGAAAGCTTTTCCATGTATTTACTGATATTAATATGTGGAATTTGGGGATCTTAAGATTTTTGTACGAGGAAATACCATGACCATTGTCGAAGTACCGATATATTTATAGATATAAAAAAGTTTTGAACGGGACTGCAGCCGAAAAAATATATCAAGACCAGATCAAAGGCGTGCAGAAGAAAATTCTCGAGTCCCAATGGAATACACGTAAATACACCTGGAGTGTTGCATCCCTTGGGAAATCTCGAAAGATCCTTAAGGAAGACAGTGTTTCCTCTGATTCTTCAAACCTAGTGACACCGGGTCAATGAAATAATTGTTGGAACGAGATTTTTCAACTGTTAACGCGGGCGCATATAAATCGGCGAAAATTATCAACGAATTCAAGGAATCACTGTGTGGTCAATTTTACTTTGACTTGGACTGCATTGGCGGGGAGGATGAAAAAAAAATCTGTCATTGTCAACACTAGGAATTATGGTCTATAAAACTGCCAGAAACGTGTTTCTAGTATTATCCTTCTCGTAGGTGGTCGACTTGGATTCTCTTGCCAAGCGTTAAAACGGTCTGCGTCAGTCTAGCGGATACTCTATCAAAGTCTTTATTACACAAGTCAAATGACAGAAACGCTAACTGGCAATGAGATTTTCATGTCAGTTCGACGCAACATAAACGCACGTAGGCGGGTACGTACGTAGAGACTCTCGATGGTACGATAATAGGTTCTTGCTAGCCAGAAATAAAAGTATACGCTGGTAACTTTGATCTGGCAAAAATATCCTTTGAACTAGTTCTCTATATTACTAGGCGCACGTGTCTCTAGACGTGCCGGCAGACAGCACGTTGTTCTAGTTACTTTTTCACATTGTGTGCGCCTCACGGTTACAGTCACTTTCTTGACCAATGTATTTCCTACTGGTGTCTTATTCGTTACTTCGTGAAAAGAGGTTATGGGGCTACATACTTTATATTGTATATATGTACATATATTGTACTTGTGCTAATATGTATATCTATATAATGCTGCTAATATATGTATATCCTGTAACTATATTCGACTACCGACTACTTCTTTTGCAAATACTAATAGATTTGAACGCAGTACTATAGAGTGCGATTTTATTTCTGTTACCTCGTGCTTGTTCTGCCTCGGGTGGTCGTGCCGCACGTGGATTTCAATACGAGCTGGTAAATAGCACGTTTTGTCGTCTCTCGACAAATTTCACTTGGCTCTACGTATTTTCAAACGTTCGCACGGACTCGGTTCTTTATGCATTATCACTGGAGCTGTTGTCAATATTTTCTTGTCACGTACACAAAGACTGCCTCTGCTCTAAAGTGGCCTGTGGGTAAATTAATTATTGGTTTGACTCATGAATCAGTGTAATTATCTAAAGTAATATTTATTTATTTTAATCGGAGATTTATTCATGAGTTAATGTTAAAACAAAATTTTTTTTACCTGATCCAAGACATTTGTGAGTTTGGCGGGACTCTTTAATTTATCAAAGACGTGTGGGTAGGGAAGAAGCAGGTGCTGTAAATATTGGCGGGATTATTTTTGTATTTTGAACGAAATCGCGTCCTCCAAGTCGACGACCGTCTTGCAGCACCCAAGGTACTGAAAAATAAGTACGATAAATTAACTTGATCTTCGAAATCGAAACGGTATCGTCCACCCGTGAAATTATACGAACCATTTTACTTTATTTATTGTTATTTCCTTTTCTTTTACAAATTTCCTCAAGTTTTGCCATGTTCTGGTTAAATGTCTCGACGACTAGCGTGGTAGTTAAAAAAAAGAAAAGAATAGGAGAGAGTCGCGTCGGTGAAACCTACTTGTAAAATAGTATTTTATTATAAATCCTTATTGATGCAGTAATTGAATAATTTTCACTTCCGTTCAAAGTGGACGAGTTTCCAGTAGATTTCCCGAGGGAGCAACGAAACTCGCTGTTAACGTGACGCATCGCAGAAACCGGCCAAGCGTGCTGTGGCTGCTCGAAAAAGAGTAATAATAATAAAACAAAAGTTGATTCTCCCCCATTGCTGTGTGTTCCAGGTGATAGACTTCGGTTCCAGCTGCTATGAGAATCAGCGTGTGTATACGTATATACAGAGCCGCTTCTACAGGGCACCGGAAGTGATACTGGGTGCCAGGTACGGGATGCCCATCGACATGTGGAGCCTGGGATGCATCCTGGCAGAACTGTTGACAGGATTCCCATTGCTACCTGGCGAGGATGAAGCTGATCAGTTGGCTTGTATAATCGAACTCCTGGGGATGCCGCCTCAGAGACTCCTGGAGAACGCGAAGCGGTCCAGACACTTCATTAGCTCGAAGGGTTACCCGAGGTACTGCACGGCCACCACAATGGCGGATGGGACGACGATGCTGAGCGGGGGCCTCTCGAGAAGAGGGAAGCTCAGGGGTCCACCAGGCTCGAAGGAGCTAAAGCGCGCACTCAAGGGATGCGATGATCCACTCTTCCTGGACTTCATAAGACGTTGTCTCGAGTGGGATCCTGAACTGAGGATGACTCCTGGTAGAGCACTGAGGCACGCCTGGTTAAGAAGAAGGTTGCCAAGACCACCCGGTGAGAAAACAGAGAGCCAGCCTGTCTCGGTACCGACTCCGGCACCGGCGACCGGTCTTCGGACTCCAGCTTCGAGCAGCAGGAGCTCCAGCAAGACCAACACCATGAGTTCCGGAGGTCTCCTCAACAAGCTTAGACAGCTGAACGAGCACAGAGCCTCCACGATCCACTCAAGGCACTCTCAACCGAGTCTGGGCCATGCGTCTGTACCTACGAGCCATCCATCAGTTCAGCCAGGACACCAGGTCCAGCCGATATCCACGAATCACTCCGTCACCCAGAGTAACCATCAGACCCTGAACTCCGCCGGCTCGACTCATCACAATCATCAGCTTCACTCTCACAACTCGCACAGCTCCCACGACAGCCACAGCTCTCACGGATCCAGCGGCACCCATCGGTTCGTCGTCGCCAAGGAGGTCTACGGGGAGCTACCCCGGTACTCCGACGCGTGAGGCCACCCTCTCTCTCTAGCTTACCTACTCGTCTCGGTTATGAGTGGTAGACTCCCTATTCCAACGGCTTCGAGGCTCCACCATGGCGCATCGCTCGGGACGATTACGGGTTTTGGTAGAGAGGGAGGGTGGCCTCATGATCGGCTACAGTGACCTCACCACTGATCACATTTAACGATCGCTCAGAGAAACCTCGTTGGTCGTCGCGCAACTTCAGGCGTCGCGGCGCCTCGCGTCTCTTCCTCCCAAATGACTCTCTTGACATTGGCTCCGATCTTACAGCCTCACCGAGGCTGACTTCCTTCATGCTCGACTTGTTCCCGCGAGGGAATTAATATAACGTGGACTAGAAAAAATTTGAGAATTCGGATCAAGCCTTCTTCGACGTAAAGTTTCCATTGAAGTCTTCTTCTAAGATTTCTTCAAGACATTTCAACGACTCATTTACCTCGTGTCTCGATCTCTTATACAAATTTTCATTATTTTTCTCTGATCAAGGCGACGCGCTGCTCCGTATCTTATCCCTCTCCAACGGGGACCTCGTCTAATTGACCCTTATGCGGGGACAGCTCCTTATAAAATGTTAAAGCAAGTCAGCGCAGTTCAGCCGGTAGAGTATCCTCGCCGTTGACGACCTGAAAACAGTGCTAATATTAGTAACGAGCCGAGGCAAGGCGAAAGACAAAAAAGAGTCAATGTCTCGGCGAGCGTCGGTCGCTCGCGCGTAAATGGGAAAAACACGATTAAGAGACGCGTGGCGTCCCGATGCGTCGCGATAATAACGGCGCGCATAAAGGGGGATATCGGTAGAGCCGATGCGGACAAAGAGTAATAATAAACCTTAACAGCGATAACGTCGAATAAAATTGGGTCGAGAGTCGTCTCAATCGCTTTTCTTTCCTTTTTTTTTTCTTTTCGGCGCGTAATATTTAAATTGCGGCGCCCGTGCGCGTAACAAAGAGACAAACAAACAAAAATAAACAAACATATGTATAATTATGTCGTGATACGGAACAGGATGTTTTGTGATATGGAACTTACAATTAGACGTATTGTGGTTTATATTGACGAGTATAAATGCGCTATTAATGCCGACTAAATACTAGAATTTAAGGTTTTGTGCGTAGCGATATTTGTAGTCGAATTATCAAAGTATTGGAGGAAGGTTAAGTGTTGTGCAAAGAGGAACAAAAAAATGTTTTTCATGACAAGCGGACTCGGGGAAACGTTGCACGAGGGTCATCCCTCGTGGTCTCTAATCATTCTCATCTCGAACTGTGTAGTATCACTCGATTAATTATTATTGATACACCCCATACGTAGTATACCGCCCACACCTGCCATTCGTCCACGTCGATGTGTGTTCATGAAACAAACCTGGGAAACGATCCCACGTAAAGAAGGCGGAATCGAAAGTCCACCTTTTCGTCTATCGTTTAAATATAAACACTGTATCGGGAACAGTATTCGGTCTCAATTGCCGACGCGACGCTAACTGCCAGTAATCCTCACTGTAAGTCCCAAATCTTCTAACTTCCTCCCTCTGACACAAGGCCAAGCCTCCGGCCACGCTCTACACTATATTTTTAAACTTATTTTACTTCTATATTTTATAACCACCATCTCCTTTTCAAACTTCATCCACAATTTTCTCTTTTGAGTATTCATGTAGATTAACCTCGCGCGCTCCTCCCTTCAGTGTTCCTATACGGTGTGTTCTCAAGCTGCGATCCTCCATCAGGTCCTTGTATCTTTCATACAATTTTTCTTCTTTTCATACAAGCTACTTGGCTCTCGGTTTTCTACACTGGCGATACATTCGATCCCAATTATCTTTTAATACAGACCAAACGACATTACAATGTGATCTCGAGGAATATACAAAGAAATTGTAATGTATATGCATCCTTATCGATAGACGTCTTATCGCTGTAGTTACTTAATCTTTTATTTCTTCTCTATTAAAACTCGAAGGATCGCTCGTTCAACGCGTCCCACCGTCAGTGCCGTATAATTGATAGTTTTAGGTGTACATTAATTAATTAAAATACCTGAAGTAAGCCGCGGTTGCTCGAAGCTCGGGACAATTGACTCCACTTTGAATATGGCTGTGTTCCGAATAATCTTTGATATTCATAATAGCGATCTCCTTTGTATGGTACGTTAATTAAATTACTATATCGGTGGCGGTTTACTTAATACGATCTTGTCTCGAACGCCATATCTAATTGTATTTGAGTCAAGTGGATTGACAACAAGGAGCAAGAGGAGCGAGGCGTAGGGAAGATACGTATAGAGATTTAAAAGAACAGGTGGGGAGGCATGTGTCTGAGAAGAGAGAGAAAGAGATACACGGAGAGGCCATTGATATTGGATAAAAGATTATATTCAATTTTTATATATCCGCACTCCTTATCTGCCTACAATCTATCGATCGATTTTAATTGGCACTGTTATCACTTGACGGACACTGCGTAGACTGGGTACGCGTGGCGATAGGAATAGCGCGCTTTAATCAAACATTTCTACCCGTGCCTTGGCCCGTTACATACGCAAGCCGTAGAGCTACGTAACATCTTCGAGACGTGGTAACACTTTTAGTCCGTCTCTCTTAAAACGTACACTGTTATCCCAGTGTAGTCAGAGGAGTCAGCCAAGTCTGTAAAACGCAAGAAAGTTATCGTGAGAACCGGTGGTTGATTAGATAAAAATCAATCAATAATGTTATGCCTCGTCGACGAGTAATCCATTTGTTATTGTTTTCGCGTTACAATTGATTTATTCGAATAGGTACATAACCTAGCGTGTCAATTATAGTGTATTTTTTAATTATATATATATATATTTGTATACATGGTTATTCGGTAGTATCGTACTGCCTGAAGTTAGTCAGAAGTCGAATAAACGGGCTAACTTCAGTTTATGAAATACTACCGAGTGACACTGTATATATTTTAAAAGCACGAATTTAACCTGTTAGACAAATTTTTATTTGATACATTTAAAAGAAATACTTTTTCACTAAATGGCATCGAAAGCCAATCGGTCCTGTCAGAGATATTGGAACACAGTCATTCAATTTATATGGGGTGTCTCTCCAGTTCGATATTGTTATTGTAAGGGTATGCGCGTTGGTAGAATCAGCGAGGTTAGGTCTGTGGGAAAAATGGCAGAAGGGAAGGTGCATTTGCAAATATTTTTTTCCTGGGAACGAAATCGCACGGGAATTGTACCTGGACCGGACTGTACCATATATTAAAGAGGAGTTAACGTGGACGCGCGATTGCCTCGAATTAATTGGAGTAGCAACGACGTGAAATAAAAATGGAGGTACACTATGAGGGAAACCAAGTCGAGGTAGGGAAGAGGAAAAAGTGTAGAACAATTAAACTTATTAAGTCCCCTTCGGTTTATCGAGGCATAACGCAGCATTTATCTTGATCTAAATACCAGCGGTAGGATCGTCGGAAGGAGCGCGATTTTTTTATCTTCTCCATCTCTTTCTCTCTCACTCATTTTCTCATTTTATTTCACCCACTTGTTTCATTCTTTTTTAATACATGCGTACAACACCTTCTGACGTACGAAACGCCCCATCAAACTTATGGCTTATGCGATTTTTCTCGGAGGATTTTTTAATATGTAAAGGATGAAGTTAAGAAAAAGAAAAAATATAATAACGAATTTCTACCGCCGTAAATAACGAATTACTGTGGATACATACGTTCTATATGTATATACTGGTTATATGTATGTCCTTTGGCGTATGTATATGCATATGTATATCGCGCCATGTGTAACCGACGACTTGTTACTGACTTTTATTGGATACAAAGAGGAACAAAGATAAAGATAGATTAATGAAATTTAATATGCGAGAGAGAGAGAGAGAGAGGGGGGACAAGCTTATAGGAGTTTAATGATAGTTTTTTTTTTCTTGATGTAATAATTGATAAGAGGACAACTCGGCGCGAGAAGCGAAATTGGATATGACGACTATAAATGATAAGATTGAAGTACGAGGGATTGTGCGTTATAAATGGAGGCATAAAAGAAAAAAGAGAAAATATGAATACAATTGAACTGATGAGAGACTGTATTACGTTTCTATATGTATATGCGTAAGCGTTTGTATGATATTTCGTAATTAATTGTGATGCAGGTGAAAACGATTGCGCGGGGTGATTCAATGTTTCTTCGTATCGATTGTATAGCCTTGCGATTTTTCAAATTTCGCGCCTCCTCGCTCACCCGATCCGATCCGGTCTTTCTTCGTCCCGTTAGGTCGCTGCAATTTTCTGTCGTCCGATCGATATATCGAAAACGAAAATCCGTTGCCAACTTCACATTGGACTTTGTTTCCTTGACGTTTTATCATCTCGTATCCTTTTTCCTACGGTCCTCATTTTTTTCCTTGTCCATCGTCATCGAAGGTTCGCCAGTCAACCAATCTGTCATTGAAATTAGACCACAGGATGCGTGCTCTGCGATTAAAGTGGAAACCTAAGAAAAGGAAAAGGATTGCAACGACAGGAAAGAAGTTGAGCCACCCCGTGACAGGAAATTGGACAATTTTGTAATACCGATAGGCAAAGTAAAAGAAAAAGTACGGAAACAGCGTGAACGAGCGTTTGATAGGTAAGGGTGTGTGGTGGGGAGAGGATGTATGTCAAACTATTATGATAATTGTGACCGGAAGCCATCGTGTATGACAATTATAAAATTTGTCAAGAAAGTTATGTGAATGAGAGCAAACGATGCTATTCAAGAGAGAGAGAGAGAGAGAGAGAGAGAGAGAGAGAGAAAGTATGGATAAAGCGAAAGTTGGAGCAAGAGAGAATTACGAAATAAATAATAATAAAACGGTAGATAAACTACGTTTGAATTAAAACGATTAGATAAGCGATCAAGTAAATATTAATGATTATATAAAAATAGGCAGAGTAAAATTGGATAGATCGTTAGAGAGTATTGCTGTTTAGTGAGGACGAATGTATCAATGTATTTATTTTGATCGATGACCGATCGATCATTCATTAATCGGCGCTATCACACGATCCTCCTTAGTCATATTTTTTTTTTTTTTTTTTCCAATAATCAGACCGTAGCCTTTTTGCGTCTATCTGGATTATCACGTTTTTTTTTATCACCCTCTGCGTTCTATAGTCGGAAATCAATTATTTATTCATGTTTGTATCAGACTCGCACAATTGTCATTGGAATTGACTGTATAGGAATTATTATTACGCTGGTGTCTTTAATCTCGAATTCGAAGCGTATGTCAATTTTTTTACGCCACGCTTCAATTCGAGATCAAACGACAAGAGTCATACGATTACGCAGCGTATCCTGTCGACTTGTATTTCTTAACATTGCTTTTGTTCAAATCCCATTACAGTTATACGTACCCGCGGTATAAAACGCACTGGGTGAAAAATCAACCCGTATCCGTTATTCCTGCATAATTTATGGTCTTTATGAATACCGATAACAGACGAAACATATTAGGCATCCACGCGACAGGAACACTATAAAATTGATAATACGTACACTAAAAAACATTGAACATCCATATACGTTATTATTTATAAGATTCGACACGACTGTACTGTATTTGTTAGCTGTGTCGATTTAAAAAAAGAAAAGAAAAAGAAAATGCAAAAAAAGTTAAAAAGAGGCCCGAAAACACCTCCACAGGAAAAATCAGGGATTCGCTGCTCGGATCTTTTTCGAATTCTCAATCGCACGTATTTTCCTTTTGCTCGTGTCAAAACGCGCCTGGGATTTGTCCTATTTTAATCATAGACGATCGCGCGTCCGGTCGCGGACGCGCTTAAGCTTTTTAATGCAACTCGAGGCCGCAACCATTTTTTTTATTATAATTGTATGTAAATGTATATGTATATACACGAGTAATTATATGTTTCAATGTTGAAACGCGTAAATATCGTTCGCGATAATTGGACTGTAAAAGTATCTCGCGTTTACGTATATCCCAAGTAGCATGCCATATTTCATGTGGGCGTCTCTGCCTTCTGTGTCCCGGACTATGGAGGTTAACGGCTGTCGTGGCATTTTTGAATATTTGAATTTGCCGCGCTTCGCCGATAGCGCCTCTGGAACACGGGGAAGGAGTAGAGGGCGGTTGGGAGGGACGAAAGATCTTGGGTCGGGGGTGAAAGAGGGGAGTAACATGAAGTTTCCATTATCGCGAACTTTTCGCGTGGAAATATTCAACGCGAATTGCAGCCACCTTTGTAAAAATAAAAACGTAACATTTGTATTATCGCGAGCGGTGCTGGGATGCGCGTGGCTTTTAATTTTCTCGCGGAATTGATTTTTTTTTAATGCTTGTCTCTTTTTTTCCTCTTTCTTGGTTGCCGCGCTCGATTAATACTATTATCAGTTAATAATATAGTTTTTTAAATGTTACGCAAACGGAAATATGCATACAGAACGGTGCACGCATCCGCGTATACACGTAAACACGATAAAACTCTATCGACATACACACAGGATACAATTTGTATTACACGCGTACATTGCCTGCGGACTATTTTTACGTATCGACTTTATTAAATAAGTTTTAGGATATTACGACTCTTTAATTTAAGTGACAATGCAAAGTTTGATCTCTTAATCGTACGTACATTACTATTATAAATATTTACATAAAATATCGGTAATCGTGCTCGTTACGTCCAACCCCATTTTTACTACAACCCCTTTTTGACACTCGCGAGGAAGAGCAACGATAGAGTGGGGAAGAAAAAAGTGCGATTTGCTACCTGCACGCATCTCGTTTGTATCAAGCCAAACCGTATACGAGCGAATGTGGAACATAAGAATGCTGATGATGCGTGCGAATCATCGTTCTCTTGCGTAATCTCCGTGTTGCTTCTTTTTTTCTTTTTCATATGTTTTTTCCTCTCCCTTTTGCAAAACATACGGGGATTACCATGAACATACGATATTCGCCTATGAATCCCTTTTCTTATTAATCCACACACCCTGCTCCCTCCCCCCACCCGCCTTACTTCCTGGCGAATCCTAATATTGTCGAAGAAAAGGGGGGAGGGACCATCCTCTGTACCCCTGATACCCTCTCCGGTCCCATCGACCCTAAAATATAAATACCTTTTCGCTACGAGTCACAACAAGACGTGAATCTGATTTTTTAAAAAGTGCTCCGACTTGATTAAGAAACGAAATAAACGCTGCTTGCAACAGTTGACGTACGAGACTCATTTATTTCATGGTAGATCCTACAAAGTCATTGAACACTCCAATTAACTGCTGAACGAGGGATATTCGTCCAGCTGTTTACGTTACTTGATGCGACGTCAGCAAGAGGAATTGGACAGGTTTTAAATCCTGTAGAATTTAAAACTAGCAATTTTGTTTTTTTTTGAACGTAGCGAAAATAAGAGAGGCCTTAGTCTGATCGATACGTGGCCGAAGTTACGTGTAGCGAAACTAAATTGGGACCTAACACATGTAGGCCTTCTGCCAGAAATCTAAAATGTCGTACATACGTCATAACGAAAATCCCAATCGCGCAATCAATCCTTATAAACCGGTACGATAACTTTCGTTCAGTTTGAATATGTTTAGCCGACCTGTTTTTCATTTCTCGGTAGTTTATGATAGGTAGACTCTATTGCCAGGATCTGTTGCTGGGGACCTGCTGTCGAATTATTGATCGCACCATTCAGATACTCGACAGCAGGATGCTGAGACTCTATTATTTATTTATAAAATCTAGAAAATTTATCGAACCCCAACACACACGATAAAGTTCCTTACTTCAGTCTCGGTTTTCCTGGTGATTTTATCGTGGTAAGTATCCTTGAGGCTTGACACTTTTTACATCAATTGCCAGTCCAGTACATTTCTGCTGATCGAACTTGTAAACTAGGCTGTCAAAAAAGTATGATAAAAGGTTAGATTTAGTCTATATTCTTCACTTTGTTCCTCTGGAACAATAAGGCGGTATTTAACATCCACGTGAAGTCGGGATTCAACATCCGTCTTTTAGGATTGAACAGGTAAGAAATATTAAATTTACCCAACGATTGTCTGAACTGGATCCTATTTCCTTCGATAGTCCCATTACACAGTTATCCTTTTTCCATGTTTGATTTATCGTCGATTTATCATTGGCAACTGCTCATAAATCGGTGCCTTGTTATAATTCGTATATATAAGACATATACATTCTAAAGAGTCTCGATAAAAGCCATTGTCATATTAAAAGCAAGGTATGAATACGACACTGAAGGTTACGCACGAGTCTGCCTAGTGGGACGTCGATTAAATTCTCTACCCCAGTCGGATTAGTTCAGGAACCTTGAGCCAGTTCTCACCCTCTGAGCTAGTAGATTCTCGAAGAGGACGTTAAGGGTCAATTAATTACTTCATGGCTGATTTGTCAGTCGACGAAGACCTTCACGTCCGCCAGAGACCCTAGAGCCTTCATTGAGTTTCACACGGCAGCTCGTAACCAAATGAGTATCGAACAATGTTTAGAGCATCTCTCTATGCACGTATACGTAATACATATATTTCGACAGATATTTACATTGTAGTCACGTACGGACTTATGACAGAATAATATTCCCTTTGAAATATACTCGTGATATATATTAAACGAAAACTTGTATTTTATAACCTAAAATTCCAGATTCTAATATCGGGACCAATCGAAATACTAATTACCTGACATTGACTGCTTTTCCGGGTCGCGTGTATTTTTAATCTTCCACGCGACGTGTACGAGTCTGACGTCAAAGAGAACAGACGTCCACGATATCTTTTAGACGGCTGTTAGCTCCTGGTTACTTAGGCAAAAGGCCAGTCTGGAATCCGTATGTTGATCGACATATATTTAATTCCCAGAAAGACCAATTCCCTTTCTTCTCTACGGTTCTAAGGCAATCGTTTTATATAATTTTGTCAAAAGTATATGTTTCACATAGCTACCGTACTGCATCGTGTAACAATGTTCACAGTTCCTTTTATTCCACTCGCATATATCCAGCCTGTATATAAAATAGTCCATTTCTTTTCTAGTGGTATTCCTTGGCAGCTTCCATTACTAGAAATGTATTCAGTTCTAGTGTCGGAGTAAACGAGTTTATTCTTTACTATGCATATGTACGTTACAGCCTCGACTATTTCAAATGGTTTCCTCCACTGGGGGACTTGTGTGAACCGGTCTTTAACTCCGAGAGGAGATCGAACTCGTGTCACCGTTCGTTGTCGTGCTACCGAGTACTTATTTTCGGTCATACGAATTCAATGGCAACTAAATGTTGGCTTCGTGCCAGGTTTTAATCCACTTCGCTCTTCTGTTACTCCGGATTCTCGTTTACCGTCTCGTTAGATTCTTTGCTTACAGGAGGAAGTGACTAGGTGATGAGAATAAACAAGTCAAATAACGCCTAAGCTTGGGAAAATGTCGTTGAAAAATTAGATTTTATCATTTTAAAATCGTGGCATTGAAAAGGAAATGTGTGCGGAAGTTTTTGATGATTTTTAATAGTTTTAGATTTATATGATATTTATAGTATTCAATATATACATGCTCATTTGATTCGCGTCATTGAAATTTGAAATTCTTATTGTCGCTTGACTGTGAACGACTTTATTGTTAGTGGGATTTGAATTGACGAACGTTGAGTTTTATTCTCTTTGATATTCGAATTTAATTTATTATTAGAAATGGATAATTCCAATGATCTCACGGTTGAAATAAATAGTCCTGCTTTCATTCAAGCTTTGGAATCTTGCTTGATCGTTCGTGTATCTACAAGTCTGCAGATTATAGAGGGTACGTGTACAACCTGGAACGTAATTTGTGTCATTGTAAATCTTGGACTATTAACTGTTTTTCATTATGTCTGGGCTTTTCAGAAGGTAAAACGCAGATTCAAGTGTTTAAGGATAAAGTACGACATGGTATGGCTAAACGGAAAAACATGAAGAAAGAGAAACAGGAGGTCGAGGATAAAAAATCCATCTTGGAATCAGCTCTGAAAAGGTCTTCACAAAAAATCTACTTCCCTATAATCCTTTCACTAATAACACTTCCATTATCCACGTAGATTGGAATTATGCAACAAGAACACCTCCCAGAATCTAATGATGATAACAGCCAATGTCGATGTCGATAACAGATTTAATTATCTAATGGAAAAGGCGAATATTGAAAAAATCGAGAGGAATAAAATCATTTGGGAAAATTACAGGGTTAGACAAAATCTCATGATAACTAAAGAAAAAAGGTCTAATTGCACTCTCATAGCCCAGCATATCGTATTTTTTTCTGTAGGCTGAATTTGAGAAATTTCCATTAGCCGTAACTCGAGAAAATGCAAGAATAGAAATGGAGAAGATTCGGATTAAAGTCATGATGGCGAGATACAATTTAAATGAATTCATGAAAGCTGTGAATCAAAGAAGAATCGTCGAGCAGATTAAAATTCACAACGTAGGTATTGAGTGTGCTCAATTGTGGAAAAAGCGCGATGACAGAGAAAAGAGGCTCATCAGTTTAAATGAAGCGAACAAGGCACTCGGGGAGGAATTGATAAATATCCAAACTCAGGTTGTACAAGAGGTCAATGATAATAGAATACACGAAATATTAAATGATTTTTAATATCCTACAGTTAAAGACACTGTTGACAAAACGAGGAAGAGAAGCCAAAACTAAAATAACAGCGCGAATGCAAATGCCACCGCCATTTGATTTAAAATTTATGATGTCCATTTACAAAGCGTCATCGTCGACCTCATCAGTTAATGATTTACCAAGGATGTCACGAGATAAAGCAAAAGAATTTTCTGGTATATTAAAATTATGCACGGATAAAAGAAATATTTACAACGTTCTTCATTCTAGACACGAGTTCCGTGAATACTTTAATACTCGAAGAGATGCTGGAGGAGAATAATGACGAATTTATAGAGGAACAAGAAAATCCATCGTTATCTACGCCAGTGATAGTAACACCAATGGAAACACAAACTGCGATTGACAGTCCAAGTAAATCTCCCATTTGGTAGAACAATCTTATGAATTATATAACGAAAATTCTTGTCCCTGTTTATTATAGTACAAACACAAACTCCAATCCGACCTGTAGGAGTACACCGGGAAACAGAGGTTGACTTCGCGAAAAATCATAACCACGTGCGAATGGAAACGCAGTGTAGTGATTTACAAATGAAAAATGCACAAGAACCTCTTCGACAAGGAAACCAATACCGCGAAAGCATCTCCGGGGAAGAAGCAAAGCGTCATAGAACAGAAAGTAATGAGGAAAAAGATAAAGCTTGCGAGAGGGAAACCAAGAAGGCCAAACTTGTCCAGGATGCAACGAGTAGATCCCCAATGGCTAAAAAAGTCGAGGAAATAAAATTAGTACGTAAAGTGCCACCGTTGAAAATGATTATGAAAACTGTGAATTTTCAATTGCCGCAAAGACCAAAAAGTCCTGTGACGAATTCTGGGTCTTTGAAATATTTCCCTGTCAAAGATACAGAAATCAATTTTGAAGATAACGTTTCAGATGCTCTAGGAAGTATCGCTGAGTCTTCCAGAAGTAAAATTTTTATAATTTCTTTTCTAAATGAGATATATATAAAAAAAGAATTCATATTAAGTTTTCCAATATAGATGATCCATCCTTTTCAGGTTTGCTGGACTCGATGGTTGGAAGCGGTAATTCTCTTTCGGGTGCTTGCCAATTCACGCCACCTCGTATCACAGATTCGGAAATGGGTTCATTTTCCAGTACAGATTTTCGAGTTTCTGAAAATTATGACGGAAGCGAAACACCTTTTGCCTCTCGTTCAGGTATGATTAAATGTACCTTTACAAAATTTAAAGAACATTGTTCAATGTAGTACTCTTTCTATTATTTTTTATTACAGAAACGAGATTTTCATTATTTGACAAACAGGAGAGTCTAAAATTTAAAAACTTTCTCTAAGCATTATCTTAAAAGTTTTGTGTTGCAGTTCCGTTTTCAGTACAAAGAAAATAATTCATCCTGGATATTTATCTGTCTTCTATTTCAAAAGCTTCTCAAAATGTATAACCAATATTGTTGATGAATAAAATTCAAGTTTTTTGCAAACAGTACATGTTTTAAGTCCTAATCACGGTGTGGCTCAAAATATACACAGTTTATATAGGACTCAGCTTCATGTTCCAATATCTATGACCTCATTCTCATGAAAGCGATGGCTGCCCGGAAATCTACTGGCGTCGCTAGTTTGTGAATCTCTTATCAAATTTGTATATGGTTTAAATTTTCAAATCCGAATAGTCAATATAAACAAAATATTGTAAATAAAAGATAATTTCATAGTTCAGAATTACTATGCCGAAAGAATAGGGTTAATTTAAATATTTGATAAAAGGAAGAATAGAAAATGGATTCGATGCAGATGTACATTTGTGTGTGCCTATGCGTTTTGTAAGTCTTCTTGAAAATTATAAACGTTCAACCGTTATAAAGTGACAGTATGCTGTGACTAATATTTCAATTTTGAGGAAAGGATGTAACTAGTAATTGAGATGTAAAAATGAATTGGTCCATGTTAATTTGTATAAAGTCGTATCATCACGTTTACATCAGAATTATTAGGATGATAATATTACTCAATTTTGCCAATGCTGGTTTTGGCTACAATGGAGATACTGTTCTAAAAGATTTAGGCGAGAAGGAATATCTCTTAATGAAAGGTATGTGGTGTGAAGTACATTTTTAGTAATATATATTCATTATCGTTCCTTAGAAAAATCATTCCTTTTAGCCAAATCCACTTCACCACAACACGGAGCTTGTTGGCACAGTGCTCTAAGAGCAATAAAGAATAGCTGTGATAAATTGAATGATCACGAACATTCTTTGCTTGCTCTCCGACTAGCAAATTGTTTCTTAGAAGATTCTGGTCATACCACTTACAACTGTCACTTGAGTGAAATGGAAGCTGAAAGAAGGTTGAGATTATTTATGTTTTAATGTATCATTGTATTGGATTATTTAAGGAATTGATATTAATTTATGTTAGACTTTATATTTATATTAATATGTTTAACTCTTAGTACATTTATTTTCAGAGAGTGTATAAACAAAATGTCAGATAGAGCATTCAGTGTGTATAATGAATTTTATACGCATACCACGCATGTTTGTTTCTTTCTGAATCATGAAGTATGGCAAACTGAGACGGAGAACACTATTAGGCAGTTAGTATGAGTCATCTTTGTGTATACATATTTTTATGATTATCAAAAAAAGTTTGTTGCTGAACTAAGTATTCTTTCCAGCTTATATCAAGCTTCATCACGGATGAAAGAGCAGCTCATGGAAGCTTCGGAAGTGCAGGGTGCGATGTTGGAAAGTCAGAGAGAAGGATTGAAAATTCAAAATGAATTGTTAGATAATGGAAAACAACTTGGAACTGTCATTAAGTCATCTGCTGAAACTGTCAGCAGTATGGTCATAGATTTCAAGTAATTTAATGAAAGAGAAATTCTGTAAAATTCTTAATTTGAGTTCATTAACAGTGTTTAATATAATGGTATTTTCCAGAGAGTCAGCCAACGACCAAAAGGAACTTCTACATCAAATATTTTCTCATATACAAACTTTTCAAAATTGGATCATGGGCGAAGTTTCCTGGTTTCAGTCTATTATATATTACATGGTGAGCTGCATTCTCTGTGCATTATTTAGTTCAACCAAGCGAACTGGTGAAGCTAGAGTTACGTTGTTCACAATACTGAGTTTTAATGTTGTTGTTGAGAGAATGCTTGTTCAATATTATAATAATACCACGACACGTTCTGTTAACGACAAGGTAACAAAATTTCCAACAGATAATTTTTAGTCAACGAGACACAATTAACTTGCTAACATGAGATGTTTTTTAATATCAGATTCAACTAGTATATATTACCTGGCTATTTCGTAAGGCTTCCTTGAGCTTGTGCCTTCTGATACTCCTTTATTCATATTATGTGTATAAAGATGAACAAGTCGAAAATTATAAAGCACTCAGGCGTATTGAGCATCAATTGAATAATTTGTATGAAGTCAACCAGCCCATTCGTAAGTGTCTTAATGGATCATTTCTATGTAAACATTTGTAATTTTGATATAATTAGAATTGTTATCAGTATATAAGCTTGAATATTTCTTTTATTTAATAGGTTACTCAAAACGATTGGCTCTTCGGCGTTTGAAGAACACGCCAGAGAAAGTTATCTGTTGTGAACAGTTGAAGGAACATCAATCAGTAAGTATAGGAAAATCTGTTAACATTTCACAGTAGTTTTTGGATTGAATTACTGTAGTAATTCTTGTAATCCCTATTAATGACATAAACCTTTTTTATTAGATTCAATGTACAATGAATATACTTTAGATACAGTAAGATGTACACTCGTGTTACAGAAACATAATATATAATATCTATTATTTACTAAATTTTTAAAGCATAGTATTACACGTTAGGGAAGCGTTTCAAAAATTTATTTAACTGTAAGTGTGTCAGGTTTTTCTCTCCTGGTGTGATAATTCCTTTCTCCTGATCTGCCTTGCGTGTTCGTCTCTTGGATAAATAGTCAGAATAACAGACATTCAAATTGTTTATTTCATGTGAACACAATGACTCGTCAAATGCATTTTTCTGCATACAAGCAAAAAGTAGTGATATTTCATACAGGCATCCCCCTTCTGCAAATAATATATATAATACTCAATCTTTAATAATTTTTTAAATACAATCAATATAAAACTCACCAGTCTGCTTGTCATATTTTCCAGAAACTTTGTTTCTCAGAGCCATTGGCAAAATCGGTTGGAATGGTACTTTTTTAATATTTTGTGGTGCTCTCGCCGAGAGCAATTGAATGTTGGGCCTCATTTTCTATTAAAAAATTACGAATATGAAACCATAAATTAGAAGAACGTACATCCATATGCGTTTTAAATACAAAAGACTGTTTCACAGAAGTAATTGCATTAAAAATACTTAGGAAAATTATAAAACAATATATTTCCACAATTAAATATTAAATAAATCCATTATTCATTTCAAACCAGCAATACATAATCCAAACTATTTCACTAACCTCCAATTCCTTAGTAAACCGGCGTACCGTAGTGTACCGAAACTGACCGAAACAAACGTTCGTACAAGCGATTCATAGATGGCATTGCTATAACAATTCCAAAGTGTGTAAAGTTAATCCTTTTTTATCATTTTATCTGTCAATTAATGAAATTTTGAAGAGGTCACTCATTTTTATCACCTATTACTTATCAGATACCCAAATATCACGATGCTTCATGTTCATTCCAAAGCTATTTCCGCTACGTGCAGCTCAACATTATAATCAGATAGGAATTTTTTCACACGTATACCTTCTTTTTATATTATTTCAGCTCTTTTAAATTATCAATTATTAATAGTTACACCAAAAAATAGCCTCAAAAATGTACAATAAAAAGCATAATACGTTATCACTCTTCCTATGACCATTCATATAAGTTTGTACTTGTGTTAAAATCGAATTCTCCATCTCATACACCTGTTTTCTCTTATGTTCGTCAAGAACATATGTAATCATTTCCAACAGTATGGCCACTTGTTGTCAACTAGCTCTTAAAGGCAAATATGCATTGTATGTATGCCATCTCTTTGTGTCAGCATTATTTGTGTAACTTGGTGAAAGTCAATGTTGAAAAAGATTCGAAGGCAGATACATACAATCAAAAGTAAAATCCAGCCCTACCAGTTCGTCGAATGTATAACAAGGACAGCAAGTAGAACGTGGAGTTCACGATACGAAAGTCTTGTGGATCAGTGTGCGCGCACATGTTACTAGCGTGTGACGTTCACATGCTCTAACCTCCTTGCTGTTATAATCTTATCATTCTCTGTCGGATATCCAAAAATAAGAAAATAAAAGTGTCTTTAGAATCTTCAAGAACTCTTTAAAAAAATAAAGTGAGACTGTCAATCGTATGCAGTAACGCCAGTGGAGCAAAGGCATATCCTTTCATTTGCAGTTACTTCTGAAAATATATTTACATTCCTGAAAACACGAAAGATTCATGATGACGACTCGTGTTAGAAGTGAGTTTTTTCTACTGACTGGATTCACATTTTTCGTGACGTGTAAATATGTTGGGGAAGGCCTGATAAATTATTCCCTTTACATTAATCATATTGATCAATGATGGTCAATGATGGTGTTATTTCATTGTTGTATCTAAATAATATGTAATAGCATTTAGATGATTTTCTTCCAAAGAAAGGACGAAAATCAACGCCCACCTGGGTAACCTTATGTTGATTATAGGTTTCACAGTAGCAGTGACAGTCATGTCGTTAATATTTCCGTTTTACTCTCTTCAGTGAACCTTGTGACCACCTGATCTTACGATTTATATGAATAACAGAGATTAAAGACGATATGAATAATTGAAAAGACATAATAACGTTGAAAGACGCAGTGAATCATTGATGGTACACAGGATAGTTTTCTGTTTTTATACGACTCGCTGCAGGAAATATATATAAAAGTAGATAAGAACAATGGCGTGAGTTTCTTATCCACATGTATATAAAGTCATGTATTTCGCGATAAAGTGGGGTATCAGCTAACTTTGCGTTAACCGTGTCTTCTGATTAGTTTTGATTTTCACATTTCTATTTGTTAAACCTCTTGGATCTGATTGATAACAATTAAAAACGTTGCACGACAATGGAAAGTAAATTTATACAAGTAGCTGTTTGCGAAATATTCGCACATTTAATATATTCCCTGTTGCATAATTCTTTTATTGTTGCAATGCCTCAGGGTAAATGATTCCATTCTATTCGAAAGGCTGATTGTGCAGTGATTATTCGTTTTCCATGCTCGAGGCTATTAAGTATCGTAGATAAATGAACTTGTGCTAGAAATCATTTTCTTTGATGCTGAGACAACGTGCATCATAACGCGGCCATTTGTTCTCCCATAAACTTTATAACCGGAAATATTGAAGATAGAAATTATAAAAAATTATCGCACGTAAAAAAAACGTTCAAAGACAGTTTTTATTTGACTGAATCACTCGAGGTGGATATTATAGCTTTTTTGACTCACTACTAGCTCCGACTCGGTATCAAAACTATCAGCTCACGTTTCACGTACAATTCACGTGATGTAGTCATGCACTTAAACAAATACAAATATATTAATCTTAACCGATTATCCCTTCTCTTGTTTAAACAATCAACAATCATAATTATCCAGCTGGAATGATCGCCTTTGACCTTACTAGAGACAAAATGGCCGATTTGACCTTCACTTTGACATTATCAATGTTATCCAGCCTAAGACATTACGTGGTACAGAATATCATCCTGCACATACCTAATCTACAAATTCTTTCCGATTAGCTAGATCACAATTTAAGATTGTCAACTGACTCCAGTACATCCTGTCGCTGGATAAATTTAAGCGACTAACGTTAAATTGCTCTATAGCTACTAATGTAAAACTTTTCAAATGAAGATCGAGTCCAAGGTTTCGTTGGCTATTCACAATTGAATTATATAACTGACAGGTCAGACAGGATTTGTCTTATATTAAATTAAGATCAAGGCTCGTTCACATTTATTGTTATCCTTCCTCAGACTTCAGAAATGCTTCCTTGCCCTATCACCAATCGTAACTGAAGATTCTCAAAATCTAATTCCAACGTCCATACAACCAATGACTGGCAAAATTTATACATAACTAGTCAATCTTTCTATCAAAAAGAAGGGATACCTAATGATAATTATCTCAAATACCTGCAGACTTTGCCAACTAATCAGTGATACGACTTCCAGTCACATCTGAATGAGCTTAGCCGTTCCTTAATATCACATACTATACAGCATTATATTCTGCTTGATATAACATTTTTATTAATTCCACACAATTGGACAATCTTGGACCATCAAAGCGTTCCGATGTAACTTATTCGAAACTAATTATTGTTTAATCTCCGTTGTAATTCGTAAGTACATTGCAATTCACTAAGAATACCATTAGACGTGCTCAACTATGTAAATAATTTATCAGCCGTGATTTTCTTTCATTTTTTCGTATTACAGAAAAATATTTTTGCACAATATACCTACGGGTTCATATTAACGTTTTTGATTTTGTGATTCAAGAATCAGTTAGCTTGTGATATAGTCGTTACGTGACGCATGAAAAATTGTACGTACGTCAGGTTATTGCGTAATGAATTCCACCTCTCATCTCTATACAGAGTCAAGAACTACGTACGTTGTGCTCCTGAGACACAGCGAGGAGTCATTTAAGAATTATGGACGATCTTAAAGAAATTTAGTAAACGTTGCAAAATCTTATTGCACATGTTCTTCATACTGTGTAAAACTCATCGTGCGATTGTCGCGCGAACAAATTGTTATCGGTACTGTTACACAAGTTATTAATGATATTAATTCATATATTTACATATATGCTTGTCTAGGAGTAGTAGGAATTTTTATAAATTTTAGGCTGGGTAACAGTTATTGCTTTTCAAATCTATTATACAAATGATTTTTTATTAAGAGCCAATCAGTATTAACGTTTATCTTTTAATTTTAAATGATACTAGTTTGTTTTATTTTAAATATTACATACGCCTCCCACCTCGTTCTTTAGAATTTCGTAGGTAAACTGTCCTCTGTGGGGGTATCGCGTTTCATGCGTTTCCGAAACTATCTGGCTGAACCAGCCGAGCAGTTGAAAAGGCACTTTGCCTGTGATCGGATCGGGAAGCATTTTTGGCATCGTTGAAAAAAATTTATTTCAGTGATCGATACATTTACATCGATACATCATGCAGAGTAAGTTCTGATAGAAAACGTCATTTAACATTGGTCTTAATTGTTGAAAACTTCAGCAATCGAAATTTCGTTATTTTAATTAAAACGATCATCAGGAAATTATTCGACATTGCTTCAATCAATAATTCTCGATTTAGTAATTACCTCGGAAATTGGTTTCACGTGCAGTTTCAATCCTTGAAAGAATCTTCGTTAATGTATTGCTTGTTTGAATTATTCAAAGTAAATTTTAGACTTTATAAATTTAAAATGTCACATTGTATTAAACTATAAATCTAAGTGTTTAATGAAGTTTTTTTAAGCTCTAGCTTTTTCGTTGGACTATGCGGAAATAAGAACACACGTGTGCTTTAAGACAGTACCGCAGTAAGGATAGGGAATTGACACGTATGGCTATACACTTGGATTTGCAGTATAGCATCTTCAAATCTAGCATTGATTTATTGATAAGCGTCTGTTTATTTATGACATCATCATTCTATTTTATCACGTAACCACTCTATATTTTACTAATATTTCATTCATGCACATTAATCGAAGTCCAATCTATCTAATGACTCCAGGAAGCCACCTTAATTCTGTCACATACCCATTCCAATTCCGTTTAATCGATTTGTCAACGAAAAATATATGTTTTAGAATTTGTTTAAAAAAAAAATTCTTTTACAATGATTTCTACTTTGTCTCTACGTTCATTTGCAATGCAATAAGTTTTACTTGGTGTTGATGCGTGACGTGCAACCTATCAGTGCTACTTCCTCGTTCGAACTTGACCTCTTGTATTGGGGAAAAAAATGAATTTGCCTAAGGCAAAGCTTACTTAAACGTCTTTCTGGTTCATTGGCATGCTTGAGCTATCAATGATACGCTATCACGTCTTCCACTGCTGAGGTGCCTGGATCTTAAGTCATTTGTTTGAATTTCTAATCTTTGTATAAATCTTTATATCATTCGATTTTATGATCAACGATAGTTCACATTCTTGTTTCTAATTATTGGACTCTAATAAGTGGATATGCATCAATGTTATATTGTTGATATGATACAATATAATATCTGTTCTCTGTGTGTAACATGTTTTTAAGTTTATACAGAATTGGTTGGTCTATGATCATGAATGATTATGTAAAAATATGGCGTGAGCATGTACGGACGAAAGGTCTGTTCCTTATGTATGTCACCTGTGTAAACGCATAATTATCTCAGGCACGTCCTTAACATTCCAATGCTGTAGTTGTTTATTTTATTTTCAAGTTCAATAAAGATTAGAGATTAATTATTGACTGGAAATTATGGTTTTAACAAGCCTCTCATGTGTTATGATTTTTCTTTGGTATAGAAGCTTCGACCGAGGACAGCTTGGTGCTGATTAGGCAGTCACTGAAGTCAGCGGATATGGATCACCTGGAGGGAACCCATTTCGATGGATCGTTTCCTCATGTGTTCATCACTCTTGGTGCTTCTGTAAGTTTTAATTTTATAACTGGACAACAATCTGAAAGATAAAGTAGAGTTATGATGTTTAATGATTTTTTGAAAATTTTATTCAGGGTGATCTGGCCAAGAAGAAAATTTATCCGACACTCTGGTGGCTGTTCAGGGATAATCTTCTACCGAAGACTACAACGTTTTTTGGTTATGCTAGAAGTAAAATGACTGTTGCTCAATTGAGACAGAAATGTGATCCGTATATGAATCTGAAACCTGGTCAGGAGAATAAATATGAGGAGTTTTGGAAATTGAATCATTACGTAGCTGGAAGCTATGACAGCCGGAGAGATTTTGAATTACTTAATCAAGAATTAGAGCAATTTGAGAAAGGAGTCTCAGCTCATAGATTATTCTATTTGGCATTGCCACCTACAGTTTTTGAACCAGTTACTGTACATATCAGAAATGCCTGTATGGGTGAAAAAGGATGGACCAGGATAATCATTGAAAAACCATTTGGCCGTGATGACGTTAGTTCTCAAAAGCTTTCAGACCATCTTGCTACCTTGTTTAAGGAAGAACAACTTTATCGTATTGATCATTACCTAGGGAAGGAGATGGTTCAGAATTTGATGACTTTGAGATTTGGAAATAAAATATTTAGTCCTACTTGGAACAGAGATAATGTAGCTTCTATTCAGATTACTTTTAAGGAACCATTTGGTACCCAGGGTAGAGGCGGATATTTTGACGAATTTGGTATCATTAGGGATGTCATGCAAAATCATTTATTGCAAATTTTATCGTTGGTTGCCATGGAGAAACCCGCCTCTTGTCATCCTGACGATATCAGGTAATATATAAATTTAATGATGATTGATCCAAATATTATTATGCATTTAATATTTATGATACTTTTGATCAGGAATGAAAAGGTCAAGGTTCTTAAATCAATGAAGGCATTAGAACTTGAGGATGTAGTCCTTGGTCAGTATGTTGGTAACCCGGAATCTGATGATCCTGAGGCGAGACTAGGGTACCTCGATGATCCAACAGTTCCAGCTGGCTCAAATACACCAACGTTTGCCTTAGCCATACTTAGAATTAATAATGAGCGATGGGATGGTGTTCCATTTATTCTTCGATGTGGTAAAGGTATGCAAAACTTATGCAGCTCATGTAATATTAATATAATGTAATAAGGTTTAATGAATTTTACATTTTCTAGCACTTAACGAACGTAAGGCTGAGGTAAGAATTCAGTATCAAGATGTATCTGGTGATATTTTTGATGGTAAGCCTAAGAGAAATGAACTTGTAATTAGAGTGCAACCTGGTGAAGCACTTTATATAAAGATGATGACAAAGTCACCTGGAATCACCTTTGACATGGAAGAGACTGAGCTTGACTTAACCTACCGTAGTAGATACAAGGTGTGTACAAGTTGTACAATTAAAAAATTATCCTTGTCATTCTATTACTATGACTTGTAAAAATCTATCTATTCAATTTCATCAACATTTAGGATTTGAAACTACCTGATGCATATGAAAGACTCATTCTGGATGTGTTCTGTGGATCTCAAATGCACTTTGTGAGAAACGATGAGCTTTCAGAGGCATGGAGAGTATTCACTCCACTTCTGCATCGCATTGAGAATGAAAAAATTCAACCAATTCCATACCTGTACGTTATTGATGCCAATTCATATTTTAAGCTGCTTAAGATTTATAATTAAATGCTATGTGGAATTTTTTAAATATTTTTGTATCACAGATATGGTTCTCGAGGTCCTAAGGAAGCTGACGAGATGGCTAATAATAACAACTTTAAATACTATGGCTCGTACAAATGGGTAAAGCCTAACCATCATTAACAGGATGTGACTCTATCGTTAACATAATTTATAATGAACTACAGAGAAGGAACACGACTTTGCCTTACTAATACTTTGTTACATAACTGTGATCATATTTAATTTCGTATAATTTTGTTTCGGAAAACGTTTTTTATTATCATTACAATCACGTGTTGTTAAAAGAAGTACTTGCAATTTTACCAGAACACTTTTCTAACAACTTTCCAATTAATAGTAATGAAATGCATAAATCTGCATTGCCATATAATGTTGATATTTAAAGTGCATTTTCTATCCATGAAACGCTTGGATAGTTGATCTTAATGGAGCACAATGATATTTATTCCTGATAAGTGATTACGATGTTTGATAATCTTGCAATATTTTAAACACACGAATACTTTAATTCTACTGTACAAAGTGTAGTATAAGTTAAAAATTTACATTCCAACAATTATTTGAATACTTCTATATATTCTTAATTAAGTCCGATTTAATTACCATTTATATAGAACATGTTACTCTTTTTACACAATGCGATACTCAATGTGTTTATATCATTTTATAGCCAATTTGTTATGATGAAAGGAAACGATTTTGTTATCTGAGATATTTGATAAGTAATAATTATTATCTAGTGCAGTTTAATTTTTTATTGAACATTCCATAGATATATTTCGAGCCTTAAATAATTGATACAATATTTTCAGTGTTATGTTGACCATTACACGCTAATATTAATTGTTGTTCTTATAATTGTTGAAACTGAGATAAATTGTACAACAAAACGAAACAATGAAGCATGGTATTTAGTTGACTTCAAAAAATGAAAAAGCAGACATAAATTATATATTAAATTATTGAATATATTTTTGTATACTTGCAATCAAGCTATTCTGCATTAAAATGTTTTAAACATTTAAAAATGAAAGTATTTTGCAATAATACATATTGTAATGAAATATACATTTGGCAAAATAAATGCGTTTTATCTTTAATATATAATTTAAGAATGAAGTTACGAAAAATTCTTACCTCTTGCTTTTTGCATTATAAAGGAAAAAAGAAGAATTAAAGAACTTAATTTCACTGAACCCGCGAACATAGTTTTTCTGTTCGCAAATAAAAGGCAGTGCGCAAAGTACCAGTCGGTAGTAACGTGCGTTATGGCGGCAGAGTTTACCGATCTGTCAGCCGACAGTAGCAAAAGAGGCAGTGTTAATCCTCGAGTGTCGCTTTACAAGAAACCAATAAAGAAAGATAATTACAGACTAGAGGTCGACAATTACGATACTCCACAAGAAATTAGACGTCAGCGTTTATTGTTCTACCAAAAAAAGTTTGTTATATATTAACCTTACTATTTGCGTTGTTGCGATTTAAAAACCATGTTGAGATGTCATTTACTTTAATGTAGAAGTCGGGATGCCTTATTTAATGCCGGACGAACAATCCTCGAGGAGGTACTCAATTCAGACGAAGAAAATGAGGAAATGGAAGTTGATAAACAGAGGCGGACGATTAAAAGAAGTCATTACTATGCAAATCAGTTAATGATGTCAGAATGGATGTTCGAAGTACCACAGGATTATTTGGAAAAATGGGTGATGGTTCCCTGTCCTGTGGGTCGAAGATCGTTTGTGATAGCTTGCAAAGTTTGTTTCCTCGATTCTTTTGATTTACAATAATTAACATTGTGTTAATCAATATCTAAAGATGCAACAATTATATTTAGGGTGAAACGAAAGCATATAATAGAAGAGGCATGAGGCTTGGACGGTTTAAATCTGCACTTCCTGGAGGCAATTCCAATGAGCATAAGAGCAGTTGTACTATATTAGATTGTATCTGGATAAAAGAGATGAAAATGTACTTTGTTTTAGATATATTGGCATGGTCTAATCAGCCTCTTCTCAACTGTGATGTAATAGTTTACTTTATCCTTTTATCCATATTGTTGTATTCCTAATATCACAGTCTTGTATCTTATATTTTAGACAGAGTTTAGATTCTTTTGGCTGAAGTCACAACTTAATGAAATTCAAGAACTGAAGGAGCAAAATACACTAAGGAACACCTATCCTATTATTCCATTACCAAACACTTCCTGTGATTCGAATATTTATGAATTTTTGACAAGTTTATCTACATTACCTCCATTGGATGGACTTTTATTTTATCATCGAGAAGGACATTACACTAAGGGACGAACACCACTTGTTACTTGGTTGAAACCATTTATGCTTCCTGAAGTTCTTGGAGTTCTAGTACCTCCGCCATTCGATGAGAAACCTGAAGGATACATTGATTTTAAACATTATGTTTTAAGTAATTCGTCAAAAGGAAAAAGAAAAACATCTGTGGATAGCAATGTAAGATTTATTATATAGTATTGATAATTTTATTGCTCATATATACTGAAAAAATAATTATTGCATGTTACTTTTTTTTTAATTTTAGATGGAAACTGCAGACGTTGAATGAATATCAGTCAGAAAATATTATTGACCAAACAAGAATGTACAGGACATAAATAAGTTAATGGTTTATCATGAATGTGAACTACTTTAAAACAAAACGGATATATAATTTCATGAAATTGACGAATGACGAATGACTGGCAAAAACGATATTGTATTTTATAACGAAGCAAACTAAATAAAACAGCTGAAACAATAATGGTTCTTCGATATTTGATTCAATATACCTCTTTGTCCACGTTCTAACATAACGTAACTGCCATTTATGGGAATGAAAATGCATTGCTTTATCATTCAGCTATACTGTTGGTTGATCTCGAAGGAGTATTAAGATGTAGAGGGTAAAGATGCTCTAATGCTGATTCTTGCAAGAATGATAATACTCTGTTCATTGTCTCGCTGCTCATTATTTTCATCTGGAAACAATTAATAAGCAATCTATGCAGATAATAATCATTGATCATAATCATAATTTTATTGATATATTATTGCATACCCTGTTATCTGTTATGGTTAAGGATTTCATACTAATTTTATGTAATGAACAGAGTCCCAGCTGCAAACCAGCGACGCTTAACATATGCGAATGTAATATCTTGTGAAATTTGTCTACATCTTCTGTGTAAACTATTAAATCAGCTTCAATTTCTAATTCATTAATACGTTTTTCATAAACCCTATAAATACAATTTTGGTACAATAGAATCAGAATTAGTAAAGTTAATACATGATTATGTATACGTACGATTTCCATATTGTTACTAAAGTAGAAAGTAGAAATTTAACATTTATAGTATCGGTGAGTGGCAATCCTGGTATTCTATACTCTAATGAGACCTCGCTTGATTTACTAGTTTCCTCTTCATCACTCGCAGGTGTTAGTATGATTGGCAACAACCATAGTAAATCATCCTGACTGGCATCTAATGCAACTATCATACAGTCAAACATATGACCTATTATTATATGTACAGCTCTTGTACCACTTTGTGTTCCTCGACAGAGTAATAATGGTAATGTAACTGAATTTCTGATATTTGTTTCATCAAATCCAGATATCCAGGACATAAATATTCCTTTATAGATTGATTTTTCTACATCTGGATTTTCTACAGATTTTGCATTTACCTCCACCTGAATAAAATTGTAATATTTTGACAGCGCCAATAACTTATTATTTTGATAATTACCTTTAGTGCAAATGGATTTATAACATTAGGTGAAAAATTTGGTATGATCGTAAATTTTGCCTCGTACGTAACATTTTCTTGTGTTAAGTTATTGGCGATTTCCTCCCTCAGTTTTTTAGCATATAATTTCAGTTTTATTTCATTATCTTTATCAAATCCAAATAGAGGAGATACTCCCCAGATAGTCCATGTTTGTGAAAGCAGCTCTATATAAACAGATCCAAAAAGATTCTGTCGTAATTGTAAATATTCTTGCAAGCATCCTCATATAAAACAAGTTAAATTATCATATAACCTGAGCTTGCTATACTCCAATCAGTATCAGAATCTCCCGAATTTGATTGTAGCACCGAACGTCTGGGACCGACGTTAAACTGTTGCCTCGGAGCCTGTATTCCTGATGTACGTGATGTAAATAATAAGGTTCTTGTTGCAAGAAAACTTTCGTTCTGTGTAGATGATGCCATTCTGATATTTCCACTATCAGTATACAAAATGAGCCTCTGAAAATAAGAATAAAAAAAACGACAAAATTTTACCCTTGAAAGCTTTCAGATTTTATATTCATCATGTATTTCCACAGCATATTAACTGATTTTTATCGAATCCTTATATTTACCTCGTTTATATGAACAGTAGGTAACAATAAAGTTGGCGGTCTTTTAAAACATATCGAACAGCCTTGTCGTACTAATCGCACTATTGAAAAAACGAATTCTTATTGGTCAAAATTATTCCTTATGAAAGAATTGGCTACCGAGCAGTCTGATATTTCAGTAACACATTTCATTCCACAAATTTCTTATTTCAACACATCTTAAATTATTCAAGTTCCTGGTAGGTTTTAACAATAGTTCTGCTACGCAATATCGGTAAAATATCTATTAAATGTACTGGTGGCATCATACGCTTCAGTGCAGGCATTTGACATATTAAACTTACCAAGCTTACACTGTGCGCTCGAATTTAGGATTGCAAAGAAAAAAATACTTAGGCTATATCGGATGAGCTGTCTCGTTCTAACAAGTGTTGCTTTGGGAACCAGCGATAAGTAGCGGAGGACCTCTTCCCGCCAAGCTACACGTTCGTGATCGCAGTCAGCTTGGCTACGACGGGATCCGCATTATCGACGGAGGCGATAATCACAAAACTCTACTTTTGGATTCGCCACTGCGATTCAGCGTCATGCTTTTGGTATCGCCTGAAACCGTAGCCTTGTGGATCTCCCTACTTATCTCTGCAGATACTTGCATTTTGAAGATGAATTTAAGTTTATGCATTGAACTGCGTTGAGGAAAAATGGGCTAAAGCTGTGGAGATGTAAAAGATAACTTTAACTCTATAATAACCGAATCTCTCCATTTCACCGACTGTGGGTAGCTTCATAATTTAAAGGATTCATTACTCTATCACTATATACTTTATGCTCTACGGTTTTATGATCGATGCCACAGTTATCCTGAGTTAAACCGAAAACCAAGTGTCGGCATGTTTATAGCATCTCCCGCGCGAAACCAGTGGAAGCTCTAGTGTTAATAATACTGTAATAAGTAATTGGCTCTAGCAAGGTTGAGCTATTGACTTGTTCTCCCGTAGTTTGGATATGAGCACTTGAAGAACGATGACCACGGTGGAGGTGACGTTCCCGTCTGGAGGACAACAAGGGAAAATTCTGAAGTGGCGGGTTGCGGTGGGTACTATGGTATCCGCGGGCAGAGTCTTGCTGTTGTATTACTGCGTAGCGCCAGGTAGTGATGCTGCTAAAGGCGCGGAAAAAAAGCTCCGAGCAACGCGATTTGGACGTGTCATCAAACTCTTGGCGAACGAGGGCGATATTCTTCAGCCCGGGTATAATTCTTTCTTAACCTAAGACGTTACAAGCCACTGGTGCTCCGCATCTGCAGATACTTAGGTCCTGATGCTAAGGGATTGCTTACTGGGACCAGGCTATAGTTCTCATATTTTGATTTTGGATGTACACAATCAGGATTGCTCTTTATATCTTTGTAGCGTTAGCATCCCTTTGTGTACATCTGAAGTTTCCTTTGTTTCCTGGAGTATCAGCTTCATAAATTAATTTCACAGACAACCTGTGGCTATTTTGGAAGGATGCACACATCCAACAGTGATGAAGGACTTGTGCGCAGAATGTGGTGCAGACTTGAGGGAAGAAAATTTAGAACAGGATGGAGGGAAAGTTGTCAAGGCTAGTGTACCAATGGTACACAGTATTCCTGAATTAAAAGTATGCCCTGAATTAGCTGAGAAAATTGGCAAGGAAGATGAGCAAAGACTCTTGCGTGATCGTAAGCTTGCTTTGCTGGTTGATCTTGATCAAACAATAGTACATACAACCAATGATAATGTACCACCTGATATGAAGGTATATATAAATTTCTAGTGTATTTTTAAATATTAATTTAGAACTTATTTCATAAAAATGATATTATCTATAGGATGTTTATCACTACCAACTGTATGGACCTAACTCCCCATGGTATCATACACGATTAAGACCTGGTACACGTCATTTTTTGTCAGAAATGAGTCACTTGTACGAATTGCATATTTGCACCTTTGGAGCACGAAACTATGCACATACTGTAGCTGCATTACTGGATAAAGATGGTGTTCTGTTCTCGCACAGAATACTTTCCAGGGATGAATGCTTTGATCCTGCATCCAAAACTGCTAATCTCAAGTATGTCTGCCGTATTTTATGCTTAATTGTCTTCCATGCGACATACATCATATTAATCTTATATGTATTCGATAGGGCTTTATTTCCTTGTGGGGATGATATGGTGTGTATTATTGACGACCGAGAAGATGTATGGCAAGGATGCGGAAATTTAGTACAAGTGAAACCATACCACTTTTTCCGACACACTGGTGACATACACGCTCCACCTGGTTTGGGTAAATACGATATGCCTGATTTACCAGAAACTTCTGATACCAGTGAAACGTTCGAAAAGGAATCTCAGAACTCAAATACCGAGAATGGTGTATCCAGTGATGACACAAATGTCAATGCAGAGCTTGACACGAGTTTAAAAGCCACCGAAGAAGTAAAAGAAACAGTTGAGGAAAGAAATGAGACCGATGTACAATCTGAAAAAAATGTAGAACAATCGACGAAAGAAGAGACTGCAGCAACAAAAGAAAGGGAAAAAGCTGAAAAACCAATCGAAGAATTAAAGGAATTTTCTACGGTGAAAGAAACAGCAAACAAAGCAAAAACAAAAGAAAGTCCAAAGAAAGATGCTAATCCTGAGAAGGAAAGCATTACAGAAGATGAAGATCACGATGATTACTTGATGTACCTGGAGGACATATTGCGCAAGATTCATGCTGAATTTTATGCCAATATTGATAGTGAAGTAGGACGTAAACCTCTTAGAGAAATTATACCTCGCGTAAGAGCCAGAGTGCTCAAAAGATTATGCTTAACATTTAGTGGACTTATAGCCACACATCAAAAGCTTCATCAAAGTCGTGCTTACAAAGTAGCAAGATCTCTGGGAGCAGAAGTTACCCAGGTAAATAAAAAGACCATTGTTATGCTCTAGCATCGTAAAACGTAGATAATAATGAATTATTTCTTGATTATTAAATGAATAAGGATCTAACTGAAAGAACAACACATCTGGTGGCAATTAAACCCGGCACAGCAAAGGCGAATGCGGCTAAGAAAAATCCTAACATAAAAATAGTGAATCCTGACTGGTTGTGGACTTGTGCAGAGCGTTGGGAAAGGGTGGACGAGCGTCTATTTCCTCTAACAATGAAGGTAGATACAAGAACAGTTGTATATGAGGTAAAAGCATAAGATATTTTCAAATTTCCAGTTAAGAAAAGGCTAACTGCACTCGCCAAAAGTGTTGTTAAGAATATTTTTTGACTTGAACTAACGTTTCATTCCATTTCTAAGATGGATCTTCGGCGAGAGGATGGTTTTCGAGTCGAGTAGCTGATTGAATATTGCTGAGCCGACAAGAGTTCTTCCTGTTTTAGAGTCGCGTTATTAAATATCAATGGAATATTGAATTTCTTGACATTAATGAAAATGAGTAATGACAGGCACGTGGATCCAGGATACCGCCTCCGCACTGCAGCAGTCCCGACCGCATCGAAGAGGAAGAAAAAGAGACAACCGATAGGTTCGCTGACAGTATCAATCCATTGATGTCTTTTACCCAAGAGGAGATTGATTTTATGGACAAGGAAGTTGAGGAAGATATGAGTGACCAGGAAGCAGATATGCCTATCCTTGGTACCGAAGATTTTAGCAACAAGAGGGAACATAGAAACAGTTCAGATTCTATTGACTCAACAAATGGTATGTTTCATTCGTTTCCTTGAAGAAAGTTTGTTGTTATTTAGTATAATTAAAAAATATATTTTACTTCAGAGGATGATCAAGATGTGCCTCCAAAGAAGAGAAAAAAATTATCGCTGGACAGTTCCAGCGATGAAGACTCATCTTCTGAGAGTAAGGAACCATGTAAGGATGACAACGAAGACGAAGACAATGATGACAAAGACGACGACGACGATGACGACCCAGTTACACGGTTTCGACGTGGAGAAGATCTACCTAGTGATTTGGACCTTGGTGACAATTCTCAAGACTCTGTAGATTTAGATGCATTTGAAAATGAAGATGAGAGGGAGTGGAATGCGATGGGAGCCGCCCTCGAGAGAGAATTTTTGTCTGACTGATTTTTTCAGTGTTGTTTTTTTATCTCGATTTCATTATTTCTCTGATTGAAGTGTCAGTGACTGAATGAAAATGGATATAAACGAGTGTACAAAAGGCTATTACAACCATGGAATTTCAGGAGTCAATGTGAAGTACAATGGATGGTACATTAGATGAAATTATATCATAATAAAATATTTCTGAAATGGAATAGTTCTTTTTTTTATTTAAAACCAAAATTATTACTTTTAAACGCAATGGGATTGTAAAAGGTTGATAAACGAATCACTTCTAATTATATAATTGTAAAATTCTTCTATGGTGTAATCATAAAAATCTTTAGTAAATTAAACTTACTATCTTAAAATGAATAATAAGAGATGTTTTTGATTAATGAAATTTTATTAACTATGGTACAGACTGAATGCATTAATGAACTGCGTGAGTTTGAGGGTCATCAGGATCTTCGTGATATTTAACGTATCCCTCTTTATGACTGAAGTCAAGTTTACCTTCTTGACTACCTCGCGGTGGTCTCTTATCATAATCAAAGGCATTTTCTGATTTTCCATAAATTTCATGAACTCTCTTTATATCATCCCTAATTGATAAATATGTTAAGTTATTATTCATATATTTTTGAGTCTGATTATCGAACAATCTAATAAAATCATTAAATACCTGTATTTGCTAACGACAGATTTCTTTCCAGTTATAGGGTCAGTAATATCACCAAGGGGATATATAACATTAACTACCTATACGTTCACAAACATATCAATAAAATTTATATTATTATATAAAACTTGAACATATATAAATAAAAATGAATACTTCTTAAGTTACATTAAAACATGTCCTACTGATAAATAATAAGTTTAATCATTTTCTTTATACCTTGTGAGTAATAATACGTGTTAGTCTTGATGGCAGGCTCTGCACCAGGACAGTGTCACCCGTTTTACAAAGTTTCTCTGGATCGTGAGCATAAAGATACTCATGCTTATTGAAATACTGAAATGTTAATACACTGGTAGATAACCTTAAAATGCATTAGAATTGAATGAGGGAGTATGTTATGTTATATGGTGGAATGTTTACCATATTCAAATGTGCGTCAAAATCCAATTTTTTCACACGAATCTTCGCAGCATTTTCTTTCATTGATGGTACGCATTGTCCCAATAAAAGGGTCAATGCTTGCTTTCCTTTTCGGGTTGCCATTGTTGTTAAAAACGTATCACGCGGCGAGTACTTACCGACGAGACCGCGCAACTGCGGCTGTCTATGAATACTTTTAAATATCGTCTATACCTAAAGACCTTTATTCTTTTAAGCATTGACAGAGTACTTACGTTATATGTAATGTATTTGGATTTCAATGCAAGAAAACATTAGTTAATTGGTAATTAATATACGCTGTGGCAACTCACAACACGCGTAATATAATATAATAACTGTTCTATGGACTAGCTTATGCTCAACAAATAAATTGTACACTTGGAATTGAAATTACATTTGGAGCATTAGCTTTTCATTGTTGCGCGCAGCCACAATATTTGCAATCTTTTATTTTAGTAAATAATAAATACATTTTTTTTTATCAATTAAAGTTGCTAACGACTAGTGATCTTATTTTGTAGAATTTATTAAGCATGTAAAATAGAAAAAGTATGAGATAAATGGAACATAATTATTGGTCAATTCGATTCATTTCATATAATAAATTCAATGTTTTCCCTTTATTATTTCTTTCCTATGAAGAAATTTCATATAAACTTTTGATATCGTTTCCCCTGATTTTCAAGACATCACAGTTAATAATGTGTAAGGATTCACTTTAGTTTGCTCTAAGTACGTTCGAAATACGTTTTACTGTACTTGACACATTACTACCGAGTTGTTACTGTTTATGTATCCATGGATAACAACCAAATATCTTTTGTATGCAGTATATATCTGTCAATGTATGTATCAAATCAAAATCAATTTTCGAAAATGATCCTTCGACGTAAGGATGTCGAATTAGTTCGAAAAACCTGGAGATTAATGTTTTGAGTTTGCGTGATGTCTACGATTTTTTTGAAAAGTAAGTTTCGTAAACGTTTATTATTACTTTCAACAGGTTATCAAATTGTTAATAAGAGAGTGATATTTTCTTGACGTTATACAGAGTACAAGGTACTACAAAAAATTGGTGAAGGATCCTTCTCAGAAGTAGTGAAATGTCAGGATCGAGAGAGCGGAATACTCTACGCGGCGAAACGACTGAAAAAAATTTACCAGAAGTAATCGCACGAGTCAGGATTATTTTGAAAATAAATTGAATGATTTTCCATTTGCAGCATGAATGAAGTCTTAGAAAGTACGGAGGTAATAGCAATGAGAAAGATCAGTCGGCATCCAAATATCCTATACATGGTTGAATCCCACTGGTATATGAACCAAATTAATTGTATACCATAAATTAAAAAGATTCTCATTTACTATACTATATTTTTTATTAGTGACCCCTTACCAGGGAAAGTCACGCTAATATTCGAATTGATGGACATGAGTCTCTATGATATGATGAAAGCAAGAAAAGGGTAATAAGACAATCGTCTCTTATCATAATTTTAAAAGAATTAATTTCTGTTTTCCAATAGACGTATCATTCTAGAACAAAAAGTCAAGATATATCTGTACCAATTACTTAAGGGACTTGAGCACTTACACAGACATGGAATCTTTCATCGTGATATTAAGCCTGAAAATATTTTACTGAAGGTAATTTCCAACTTTGCCAACTACATATGGACCACCGATATTTATCAAAAAAGATTTATAGGGCGATGTAGTAAAACTCGCAGATCTTGGCTCCATTTGTGGAATTTACAGTAGGCCACCGTATACTGAATACATATCAACCAGATGGTATCGTTCACCAGAATGTCTTTTAACCACTGGTTTCTACGGTCCCAAAATGGATGTCTGGGCAACTGGTTGCGTTTTCTATGAATTACTGACGTTAGTCCTATCCCATTAAAATGTAACATAACAATTATCCATAACAAATTAATTTCACATAATTATTACAAGATATTTACAGTCTAAAGCCACTGTTTCCTGGTGCAAATGAGGTAGATCAAATAACAAAAATTCATGCTATCTTAGGCACACCTCACTCAAGAGTAGTTGCAAAATTTCGCAGGCAGTAATATTACCATTTCCTATTATTCATAGTATTCTTCATCTCTTCGCCATAGCATAACAATGACAATAGTTAACTGTACACAGCAAATCCAGAAACTGCGAATACTTCTTTCCAAGCAAAGCAGGTTCCGGTGTTTGTAATTTATTGCCACAAGCTTCTGAAACAGGCAGAGACATTCTTAAGCTGATGTTAATATATGATCCTGAGAACAGAAGTAACGTGAAGAGACTCCTGGATCATAGATACTTCAGTGACTTGCGGTTTGCTAGAACTGAAAAATAATGGATTATTACTTTTATTATAAATTATTTATTCTCAGAGAAAACGAGTCAACAAGGCAGTTAAATACTGTGACAATATCAAACTCATCTCATGATCCTCATCAATGGCGAAATCCAGTTCTTTTGAGTTACATAACGTCGGAACGTCGTCGCAAAACAAAAGTAAGCTTTACAATTTTCTGTATAATTTGTGTCTTACAAATAATATTCTTGTTACAGCCATTATTCATTCAAAAACCAAAACCTCGTAGCAATATGACCAAAACGCCAAGAGCTGTGGCATCCAGTCCTAATGCTATGCCCAATCTGTTGAATAAATTAAGTTCATCAAAAATGACTTGGTCAGATAAAAGCAATGTGACTATCGCTGATGATTCTAAAAGATTGGAAGAAACATGGGTAGCTGGAAATGTATATTCCTCAAGGAAATTACTTGGTTTGTTAAAAATTGCTGATACGAATGCAAAGGTATTACTATGGTCTTAGAGAACATTATTCACGATAAATCATTACATAAATCGTTTGACAACTACAGAATGATTTATATGAAGTATCCGATGGCTCGAATTTGAAGTTACCAACTGTAAAATATAGTAGTAATACCATTGCTTCTAAAGGAAGTGGTACGAGTACACCGAGATCAAAAAGTTTTTTAGTTAAAAATGATTTCTCTAATTATGGTAGTCAGTATAATTTTGGTGGATTGGATATGATGGATCATGGCTGCGAAGATAGAGTGCACAGTAGTGATCATAGAACTATTAATGAGGAATATCATTCTTATAAGAGGTACGATCACATACGATATGCCAAGACTATTAAAGCTTCTGCATTGTTTTCATTATTTATATTAAAATTTAATTTAGTTTTCTGCCATATATTGTTCCTCATAAATTTGATGGACGTTATTACGGTTTTCCTGTTGGTCCAACTGGATCAGCACCAAATCAAAATTATAATGCGAAGCCATTTACATACAGTGACAGTCATCGAAGAACAAGACTGGCTACTATTATTGAACAACCGTCACCTGATATCAATTCCAGAAAAATATCAGGTCAGATAAAATCACCAAATACAAAAAGTCCAGCCAAAAAGATAGCTAAACACGATATCTCAAGCAGTCCTAACGTACGTACGGTACTGCCAAAGAAACTTAAATCTAGTCCTAGAAAAATATACGACAAGCGTATCAGGCATGATACTAAATAAGAATAAAACATTTCATCAGACTAATAATTGATAGTTACATTTTTTGTTCAAAATTCATCCACGAGTCTTCCTTCTATCAAATTTCAAAGCTTTATTTGCTAGAAATGTACAGAACAGTGTACTTTACATAAAAATATTTGCTTCTCAAAAGAATTACGCGAGAGTAATACATCTAATTCACTTTACATTAAAGTATCGCAATATACGCATAGGATTTCAAGACTATTCACACACTGATCTTAAAATTAATGATCGGATGATCGTATCCGTGACAACAATGAATACGTCGTAATAGGAAGAACAAATGTTACTGTGAGTTGAAGAGTAAATTATTTCTGCAATGACAGATGTTCACATTGTGTAATAATATAGGTATTAAAAACTCTTATAGCGTATGAAATAAATGTATAAATGTTTTCTTATAATTCAATAATCGTCCTTAGACTTTCCATAGGGATTTTAATTACGCCCAATGGGTAGTGTAGTACTTAATTTTTATTATAAAATTATTGCACCTCTTCTTATCGTACTACAAGATGAGGTAGGTGTATGCAGAATTAAATTATACATTGTACTTCTGCAATTTCTATACGTATTTGACTGATGTGGCAAGGTACTTCATCATATCAAATCGATGAGGATAAAAATACTATTCATTTGTCGACATAGTGAGACAATATAGTTTTAGATCCTTTTCCATAACCACTTCAATGAACGAATATATCTTACCTCATCAATATCACACATACATAACACCATTAAAATTTAATTTATCATTTTATGAATTAAACTTTAGTAACATAAAAATAATGCTTTTCGTATTTTCTCATAAGATATAAAATGGCTAATTTTCCTTCGATTTCGTATCACTTTAAAATTCTCTAGAATATGTAGGCGCGTCATAGAAAATTATTCTTATCATGATTTCTCGATTCAGGGGCTATTTTCAAACTAAATTATTCCAATGGGCATCATAAAATAACAATTTTCTGTAATTTTCTATCTGACTAGATAGATAATTGAGAATTAATATTATACCGCGTGCATTCCATTATGAATCTTTTCATTGCAGAATTCTACATTGAGACTACTTTGTGCTATTATAAATTTTGCAAAATGTTCTCAGATTGTTAAAATTCCTCATTCACTATTGCTATCAGAATTGTTTATAAAGTGTATGCAATTACAAACGTTAACGTAATACAAGTCTATGTAAAAGGGATGCGCTGCAATGACAATCCTTGTTATCACCAACGGAAACAATATTTCTCATTTTGTAAAATGAAATATTACATTCTAATAAGTGAAACGCTTCCGATGGAAATCGATAATTTTATCATTTTTAATTGACCATACTATACCAGTTGTTTTTCTGGTGTCGATAGATCATATTCTAGCTGACCATTATTGTACACCAAGTGTTACAATATTAAAGTCTATTCCACTGCGTTACACTTGCGTATAATCACTTGTAAACAGCCAGGATTAGCATCCGTAAATCTGAGAATAATCACAATTTTTTTCATTAAATACATTGGCCGCCGCAATAACGCGTAACACACTTTTTAAAACGTACCGTATATTTTTAGCATGAAGTCTCTTGGAAACCGCAGGCTTAATTTTGCTCTGTCCGTTATTGCTGCGAGCACCACGACCAGTTATTATGTACAAATATTCAGATCGTTTGTTTTTTTTTCGCAATTTGTTTAAATGATAATCCAAAAACACTTCCAAAGCTTGAAGAGCTTCAGGTACAAACAGATTGTGCAAATCCAAGGTATTTTTCTCATTTGACAAATAATCCTGTGCTGCTAAAAATGCACTGGCAGCTGTGGAATTGGCTATCTCCATATTTTTTGAGTGTAACTTCGCCTAAAATAATACGATAATCCCACAGTTGAAAGTTTTGAAAAATAACATTCTTCCAAATACCAATACTTCATTACCATATTCGAATAGTAGGTAGCAACTTCAGGGTTTCCTTTTCTATGAGCATTTGCAGCTTTATTGAAATTTTCATTGCGTAATGAAAACTGTCGTTGTGCTTCTTTCCTGGCATCTTGTGCCAGTTGTAAAGCATTATCATATGTTAGCTGTTCAGTTTTACTTGAGACATATAAATCTGGATTTACAACAATAAATGGTGATGACGATTCGATTGGGTCCTTAAAAAATGAAATAAAATATAAATGTTGTTATTCAATTTACGATTTTTTTTACATAGTTTATATACCTGAGGCCTAACGCATTCTTGTTTGACTTTGTCCATTAAAATCTTTTGTTTTTTCAATGTATCAGGTTTATCTGGTTGTTGTCCTGTACTCATTTGAAGGACTTCCACAGTTTCTTTGAAGTGACCACTGTGAGCGTTCAAAATTTCGTTTAGTGTTTCAGGGTTGTATGTTGGGAACATTTCGTGTAGCATTTGTCGTGTTAAACGCGAAGCTAAATCATTTGATGTCTCACGTTTCATCTGCTCTTTCTGTGGCGTAAGAAAAAATATACTATTATAGTACATATCACTAATGATAAACATTCTTTAAGTGGACTTACCATATCATTATTATAAATGGCCAGAGCCATTTCCATGTCCATCATCTCGTGCAGATTTGGTGCTCTTTGTTCCTCTAATGCTCTGGCCTCTTCTTGTTGTACAGATTTTGCATACTCAGCATCTGTAAGAATACATATAAGACTAATTTTTGTCTACTCGGATAATTTGACTGAGAATACAAAAAAAATTGCATAAGATTATTACCTTTTGCTATCATTTGATCTAGTTGCTCCTGTTGGGCATCAAGTTGTCGTTGCATACTTTCCACCCATAATGCGTACAGACCTTGAGCCATGGACTTTTTAATTTGTATGACAGGGAATAGACCATCCGGTAATTCGAATTCGGGATCACCGAATTCATTAGCTAAAATTTGGATGAAGTCCTGTCCTAGATTTAATTCCATCATTTCACCTTCTTCGCTATCGTCATCTGTACTTTCAGTACTCTCATACTGTTCTGGCAGTGATGTAGCATTTTCTGTAGTCAAGAGGGATGATGACTCCATTGTATAACCATCGTCTTCTAGATTGGAAAAATCAGCAAACTCGATTGCCTCTTTATTTAATGTTTGCTGTTCAATTATTTCATCTGATGTAATATCTGGTTCTCCATTTTTCCATCTCTTTACCCTTAGAATATGAGGATTGTAACTAGCATCACTGATCTTCAATTTCTCCTCTATTTGTTTCTTCAGTACTAAATTTGCTTCGGACACTCTGTTCTTGTCTTTTTTTTTCTTCGGAGTGCCAGTCTGAGATTGAGCATTGGACTCACTATCATTTGACTCTGAACTGGTAGATTGTTGCTTGAGTCTATTGGATTTCTTGTCCAGAGTCATCTCAGTGCATGATAACAATTCAATACCTTGATTATTGGATGATTCCGGTTTTTGATATTTTATTCCATCATCTGGTATTCCTTCCAACAGTACATCGACAGCCCAATTGAAATTATAATTGCATAATTTTCCATATATCTCCATCAAATGATCTTTTGGGATGTTCGGGAACAAATCCATCAATTCTATGATACGATCCTCCGTATCATTTACAATTTCAATGTCAGGACTATCGTCACTACTTAATATATTGACCTCACCCGTCATAGAACTTTTGTCAAGCATCAGTTTTAATGGAGGTTGATCGACTGGCGTAAAAACCAAGCCCTCATTAATACTCCTATTAAAAGCGTCAACTACAGTATACTCACGCTCTGAAGTCCCACCTACATATGACACATTGAAGTCATAAGAGGAAGTATTAGTCGAGACATCTGACGTCATAACGCTCTTACTTTCCTCCTTAGATAATGGTAATAATATCTCATCCACAGGGAATGGTGATTCTTTCCATGTTATCTGCCTTATATTATCGATGACTTCATTATGCTTTTGTCCTACTGTAATAGGATCCGCGTCCTTAGTACTCAAAGCCATATCTTCATTAACTGATTTATCTACAGGGTCAAAGTCAATCGAATCAACTGTGTCTGATTCTTCTCCTTGTTCTATTAAATCTTTAAAGTCTTTGCTGTCCTTTTTCATTTCATTAGCAGAAGTTTCATTGAGGAGCTCTTCGACATTTAGTTTTTCATTGCCGCTATGATGGGTTCCTCTATCGAGAGCTTGCTTCAGTTTATAATATGGGTATTTAAATATACTTGTAAATCCTTGTTGTTTTTTATGCTGATTAGAATTCATACTGTGGGATGACTCTGGTACTTTTGAATCAACGTGATCGATAGTGTCGACAAAATCTTTTACACTCTTACTGAGACTAATTGTTTCGTCACCAAGATTCTCTTTTACTGTCTCATTAACGATCTCTTTGTATTCATCAAGATGATCATTCACATCCACTTCCTGTTGACTGGCTGAAATTTCACTGACTGTAGTATCTGTTTCATGCTCCGCTGTAAGGGTTTCTTCATTAGAATCAAGTGTTATTATGTTTTTGTCATCTTTATCGATAGGATTTGCTTCTTTGGAAGTTTCTAACACTGTTGGAAAGACAATTGAACCATCTGCTGTTTCTTTCCGATTTTGTTTCTCTTCAGAGTTGGAACTATTTTTGTCGTTAGATACTTTACTCTTGATAACTTCGGTATTTTCGTCCGAAGAATTATTTCTGGATACCAAGTTAGAGGAAGTGTCAAGAGACGATGGAGTCATCTCTTCAGTATCACTTTCGATCATATTGTCTAATGATGTTTTATTAACTTCACTTTGTCCAGTGCTATTATTTAAGTCGTTGGTAATTTCTTTGTCATCTTTAATCTCTTCAGTATCTGATTCACTGTGCTCATACATGTTCATTTGCGAAGTTTCGACTGGCACTTGAACGGATTCTACCAGCTTATCATTTTCTTCATTTTTAGGAATAAGACTAAACATTTCCACAAATTTATCAAAAACTGTACTAGGTCTGTTAGATATACTTAGACTGGTACTTGTGTCAGACTCCTGAATGTTTATATTAATTTGAGAATCTGATTTCTTGCGCTCCTGGACTTCATCAGTATTCGTGGATTCAATTTCTTCCTGCTTTCCCGTATTCCGTTCAATGTTATAATTATCAATCATCATTCTGCTTGACTCATCCAACATACTTGCTGTTTTGTGTGCGAACTTTTGTATCCATTCTGCAAATCCACGATCACTAGGTAGCATCCTGAATGCCTCATCAACTTCCATATCATGTTCATGGATTTTATCAACATCATCATTTTGCACTTCTTCTATTTGTTTCTCTGAAATTATATCATCAGCTGCAGCATTAAATAGTTGTTGAATTAATTTTGACGTAGAATTCGAATCAGTATCATGTGATTTTTCAATATTTTTACAATCTATTACTGTACTTTTCTCAATAACATTATTCGATAAATCATTCAAATCACTCTCCGTATTATCGTTCAATGATACCAACATATTTTCATTATCAATATCTTTAATATGACAAGATAAAATATTCTCTTGATCTGCATTAGTCTCATCTACAGGTTTTGACAAAGTTGGTTCGTCAGTTAAATCAATGATTGACAATATACTCTTATCAGGAATTACAACTTTATCAGAAACAGAAGAAGAGGGATATACACTGTGTATTTGTCTGCCATTCAGGAGGAGAGTAAAATCCCAACACTGAGACAAAACATTTTCAGTATTATCTTGCTCCACGCTAATATTATCTTCTTCTGGACTATCGCATTCAGTTATGCATATACTGCCTTTTCGCTCTGACCCAATGGCACCGAGATATTGTTGTTGTTGCATTTCCAACTGCTTGGAACTTTCAGTAGATTCAGGTTCCGATAATTTAGATATTTTGATTCCGTATTCTTCATCATTTTCAACGGTTTTCTCATCACTCATTTCAATCATTTTCTTATCCGATAATTTAGTCATGAACAATCCCATTAACTCGGAATCCTGTTCGTAATCCTGAATTCTTGGTCCAAGTACATTGCCAAAATCTGGGGATTCAAATAAACTTGTATATTTCTCTATAATTGAATCCTTAACCAAACAGATTCGATTATCTGAAATTTTCGAGCTGTCAGAATTGTCTGTTTTTGAGATCTCGTCTTTGCATTCGTTATTAGCCAATTTCAGTTCTGGTAAAATCTTTTCAGAAGTAATCTCTTGTTCTGTTATCTCTGTGTTACCGAATGGAGGAATTGATCTTAATTGTGGAGGGGTATTATTAGGGGAATATTTGAGTGCAAATTGTTGCAATAACTTACGGCCAGTGACATTTCTCTCGTACCTTTCCATCATTGCCTTGATTTTGGCCTTAGGTACGCCATGACGATTCTTCTTAGCCAATTCATTGACGTTCTGAACCCAGGGTGTATTTGGCTCCAAGACTTCAACTATATAGCCATATGCCACAGCCATGGTTACATATGGCTGCATTTCCCATGATTTCGTGTTTGTGTTGTCAATAATTATGGGACTTCTGCCTTCTTCCATAGCAATGCGAACTCTTCTTTTATTAAAACTATGAGCCTCTTGGAGTTTGTTAGAATCAAATTGATAAACACCTTGGCCGATCATTATAAAATAATCATCAGTATTAAAAATGTATGGTGCAGGATCCTCAGCTATTGTTGTGGATACTATACTCCTAGCAAGATACGATTTACCACTTCCGGGTAATCCCCTCATTAGTACTAGAATCTTGCTGCCCTGTTGAATAGCTGACTTAATTCTACGAAGTAAAATTTCGTGTGAATTATGCCGTGGAGTTCTCGGCGGTGATGGTGTGCTAATCATTCGCACTTCTGTGTGAGTGGTACATGGAGGACTTTGAGTAAAGGATGGCAAAAATTGATATGCGCTGATAGATGTTAAAGATGGATTTTGTATGCGATAATCTGAACTCTCAGCCTCGATCACTACGTCTGCATCATCGTCAGAACTGTTCTCTAATCCTGGAAGGCGATATTGTACTTTCAAACCACAGAGAGATTCTGTCTCGGATTTGTAAGTCTTTGTAGTGCTACGAAATCGAGCAACATTTTGAGGAGATGGAAATCTATCTGGTGTTTGTCGGAGTTGTTGCTCTTGAAGTACATTGCTTTGTACCAAGTCATTAGGTGCTGGATTCTGTGGATTTTTATAGAACTTCTCCGAAGTTGATATTGGCTGTTTATAGTTTTGCAAGTTACTATGAGACTTCTGGGAATCCAAGTCCTTGTTATCAAAAGTTTTTCCAGGGATCGGTGGATTTTGTTTGCTCCAATTATTAAAATCGAAATGTGGCATGGAACATTGATCAGATGGAGATACTACAGGTGGTTTTGGAAAACCACGAAATTCTTTTGGTATTGTGCCTTTGTTGTAAAGTTTATTAGGCAAATCTGGGGAAAAACGATTATACTCTGATAATCCAGGAGTATCATTTTTCTGTTTTAAATCATTTCTATTTTCATTTGGATTTACAATAGAAGAACTTTCGTCGGTCTCTGTAGATACGGTCTGAGAAATCGGCCAGTTCTGATTAAATTGATGTATCTTATTTGAAGAAATCTTATTTTCTATAGGATAGTTGAATGTTGTCATATTTTCATGTGTCGAACCAAAATGTTTCTGTGCTAAATCTTTTTTAAGTTGTTCAAATTTTCGAAATTCTTCTTGTTGCCTTTGTAATTCATTGTCGTTTAAATTAAGAAAAGTAACATCGTCATTAACATTACAATCTTGCTGATTTTTATCTAAATTCTGTATTTTTATGCATGAATCTTCAGTGTGCTTTGTTACAAAATTCGAAATATTGACATTCTGATTGCTTAAATGTTGGTTGTTTTGGTTTGCAATTACATCAACATTAGCCGATAATGTAATTAGACCATCAATAGATGGTTGCACTGAAATAGCAAAGAAATGCTATTATAATAATTAATATGATATCCCTATTGCATAAATACACTCAGATCATATGTTGTATCATAATTGTTAAACAAAAAGTTAATACATCATAAATGAGTTTCTACAAAACTTACATTTCCAATTGCAATTCTGCACAACAGATAATATAATGTCTGGATCCAGAACAGAGTGAAACATCTCATTGACTTGACTAAGTACCTTTTGCTGAGATTCTTTGATATTTCTTTTGTTTCCATTCGACTTTTTTGTATGTGAAGCAAACGGCGACCTCTGATTGTTCGACGCCATTGTCACTGTATCCACCTGGCATTGACGAATGGCCTTTATGAAATAAGGCATTAATTCGTTATTAATTAATATCAATAAATAATGTTTATCAATAAAAATGTAGTTTCCAAATAACAATACTGGCTTTCCATTAAGCATGGTGTGCATTTTGTTATAGACACTAGTTACGTACCGCATGCAATACAGTTTTCATAGGCAAATGGAATAGAAATCTGTAGTAATAATCAAAGAATTATAATAGTAGTAACAATAAAGAATTGACCAAAAATAACGGGAATCCTACGGACCAATAAGTCTATCGACAATATGAATCCAAAAGAATATATTAAATCTAATTATTGAAGGTAATACATTTGCAAACTTACAGAAATTTACGTTTGTATATTAACCGAATCAGCAGCTTGCTTGAGACGTTGAAAATGAAGCACAGAATGTCAAAGACGTAAATTATGAGGCGCGAATTTGCGTGAACGCTAAACTGACGTGATCACAAGAGTAATTAATGGACAGTAGTACCATTTGTGTAGACCGTTGGAAGAATTCCCTATGCATTCTTCTGCATTCACGATTCAACATTTTTTCAGTGCAACTGGCGACGTACGTTATTGTTGATTCGTAACTGTAAATTATTAGTAAAAATTCTGCATGCTTTATCTTGATACTATTAATACTATATTAATTGTACGTTTTTCTATAAATAGAAAATAAAATATACATGTAACTTGCGGTGCATGTATCTGACAAAGGGTTCGTGTAAGAATGCCCCCTTTTTTCTACAAAATATGAGTACTGCCAGTTATACCACCTCAATTTAAAGTATAACACGTAATTGTAACATTTAGCAACAATATTGATTTTTTTTTTAAATCATCAGTGTCCTGTGAGCAGGTTACTCAATTTTTCGATATAAAGGTTTTAAAGCTTGGCAATGCGATTAGATTTTAATTTTCCGTAAGTAATGTATATATATGGGATGACGAATATACTCGAAGGACAGTCATTCCACTGTTTATGCAGGTATATGAATCTAGTAGAATTTTCAAAAATTTTAGGAATTTTAACTAAGTGCTTGCCTGCAATCCGTGTTGAGTGAAGTGCAAGGTGTCGCTAGGGGCGCAAGCGAAAATCTCAAAAATGGTATGAGGGCCTCGTAGCGGCGTTAGAATGAAATAAAACGGAGCCGTGACAAAAATTTCATTTAGCAAAGCGCATCAGTGATAAACGTTTTAGGTGTAACGAGTTGAGCGTATATTTTTTTGTAAGCGTTGAAGCCGCTCGATTAGATACTCTGCGCTAGACATTACGCAGTCTCGAATCTCAGCTGTAAAAAATCTGATTTTATTAGGGAAATATTTTCAGAGCACCCGTTGCTCCGTTGATTTTCTGAAGAAGGTAGGGAGGGTCTCGTCGTTGATTTATGTTAATCACGCGTTTCGGGTCTACATCTGACATCGTCCTCTTCATAGCGTATTCGCAGTCGTATTCCTTATTAAAATGCGTATTGATTATTGGTTGAAAAATAGCCGCCTGTGCTTTTCTAAAATCTAGCAACCATTTGGCCTTGCCCCCTCTGGAACGTCGCGGTGATAGTCTCCGGTCAGCTGTTTTCTGTACGTCTCGATTATGTCACGTTTCTCGCAGTTTTCCTAGTGACGTTAACGATTCTCTTAAAAACAGGTGAGCAATCAGATCGGGAAAGTGGCAAAGCGTTGGGATGCATTGATGAACCTAACCTCACTCTTGTCTAACGTCGCGACGGAGGAGAGAGAGCAAGCTAGCCGCTACGAGACTAGCTACATCACGGACCAGCTCAGCTCCTTCAATTTATCCAGTGGTCCGCATCTCAATTATTTGGTGAGGCATATGTACTTTCAGCTTGGAAGAAATCATTTATGATCATTACATCTGCTTTGAGTGTTTGCATTACCTTCCTTGTTTTTTCCTAGAGGGGTGACAGATAGTCTGTGATTGTGTACCACTGTATATTCTTTGTTTCTTCGATAAACGATACATCAAAAGTCTACCAATTATAATTATCTTAAAATTTTATAAAACACTGTCACATTTTTTGGTACCAGTTTATGTGAATTACTATGCAACACAAAAATAGTAGGGATTTGTTTACAACTGTATATTATACAGAATCTAATGGAATCTTCTGCACTACTTATTTAAATAACTTCACGGTTAATTGGCTCTGGTGTTTTCGCTGTAATATTACAGACAAGCAAAATTGTTAGTAAGTATTGCAATGCAGTCACTGTTACGTGCAAAAGAATTATATCTTCATGTTCTCTTTTGTTGATATTAGACGGCCTGGGAGGAGGAACCCCAGCAAGCACAAGGATCTCACACAGTTTCTACTGCAGAACCTAGAAGACTCGGCGATAGTGAACGTGAACAGGGACCAGAGCAGGTACCGCTCGTTGTAGGGGGAGGGATGCCTCGCAGTAAGCGGAGAGCGCCCTCCAGCACAAACCATCACCATCATCATCATTCTTCTACTGATATGTCACCTAGTGCCCATGAGGAAGGCATGCCTAGGCATCCTTCGAAACGACTAAGACACACATCTAGGTGAGCCAATACACCACTTACAGTTATTTATTGCTGATTAGGAGACTTGCTTGTCTTAACGGATAAACAGTTGTAAAAAGTCCGTTAGACATTCTGTAAGATAACTCCAAAACACTGCATATAATTTATCTACTGTCAATGATAAGTAATAATTGTTAAATGAATAATTATTTTACATCACTGCTGAATGACTGAATCATAAACATATCGGTTGATCACAGTGATAAAATATGACAGTACATATGATTTTGAACCAACTAATACTACAATTGCAACACAATTAATGACAGTTACCCCTTATCATGATTTGTTTAGATAACAGATAATTTTAGTAGATAATGGACTGTAATTATCTAATAGAAACCAGATTAGATAAGATTGCACAAGCAGCAAGGTGAAAGTATTATAAGGCTTCCATTAAGTCAGCTGATTCTGCCATTTTTGTTAGTTTGGTGTTCAATTCTTATATTTGTCAGTAAGCGAAGCATCATTCATAAACTACCTCAACGTTTGGATAATGTGCAATTGCGTCCAGCACCAGTGACTCCTAGTAACTTAAGACAATTAATAATTCCGACTAATGAAAAAAATGAAGGCACTAATGTAATTATATTTCTCGGTTTGATATTCACATAATTCTCCAAAGCTACCATTTTCTAATATATTCAGTATTAACGTCAGTTATCAGTTCCTCTCGTTGTTGTCCAAAGTCTCATATTATGCTACATTTGTGTACAATATGTTTTATTGCTCTTGAATCATTCTGTTGCTTCTAATTCATACCAGAATCTGTGACAGATTGAAACATTCATTGAAGCTGTCCATTAATAAATCCAATTGGAATCCAACATATCAGAAGATACTTATATTACATCACAAAGATTACGCTCCATTGCTAATACAATACTTATCAATAGAGAAAACATAGTTTATCTTCTGAGATACTTCTCGTTCTACACAGTGATTATAAAAGTGATATGTGCAATGAATTTGGCAAATTTCAATAATCTACTGTGATTGCTGTGACACACAAGCTTTTCTGCAAGCCTAAGAAGATCGTGTAGTGTAATTGATCTTGCAAAAGCTCATACTAGTCTTGTCCAGTCCACAAACCAGCTTTAAGTTATCACAAGTGGTCCAATGTGTCGTCCAGTATTTAAAAATCTTATAGTGAACGCCTTGCAAGATACAAAAGGAAACAAAAACAAATGTTAACATATCAGTTTTTGGTTTTCAGTGAGTGCCAATTTTTTTGACTGACATTGTATAATCAGACTGTGGTGTATGAACTATTAGTTGACAGTATTTATATTCTTTATTGTATATTTATCTCTGTGTCCTACAAAACATTATTACGCATTGATACAATTTTTAGACTGAGTTAATTATTTTGCATTTCTGCATTTATCCCAGAGAAGAAGGATTGACGCGTGAACCTATTGTGAATTTATTGGTAGCCTTGACAACAGCCAGGTATTCATATCCAGCCATTCCTCCTTTAGCTGCACCTACATACGTTTTAACACGTAGACGCAGAGCGACGCCAATTCAAAAATAGACTGTCCACAGTTCTACTAGTCTGTCCTTCCCTGCCGTACGAGTTGGTCCAAATTTCAGTGGCTCTCGACTGCTCTCGTCGTCAATCGTTTATTGGTCATCATCACAGTCAAGGAGTAATCAAGCCATAAATTATCGATATTTGTGATCTAAAATTGAAACAGCTCTCACACTTTATTTGAATGTTCTCAACCGTATCTCTACTTAACGTTTAACTTGTTTTATTTAATCATTGTTGATTCAAGATGTGCGTCTGTTTTAATTGTCATTTCATTTTGATAACTGCGTCTTACAATTAAGATAGTCATTGTCCTCGGTGAGATTTAGATAAAAAAGAAACGTAGGTTACTCCACGCTGTAACCAATCCGTTTCAAATGATTTTGAAGAATTGTTCATTACTGTCCTTACTAACAGAAGGATGAAAATCATCAGATATATCTTCTCCGTGTATCTTTTATGGAAATAGTTTCTTATATTTTTTTTTTACGAAAGAATTCACTCTTGGCTTCGTTTTAAACGACATCGTATTTACATTATCTGGAACTTCATGAGTAATCAGTTGGCTGGTTGGAATTTTTCATCTGATTTAATTGCGACTAAGAGATCCTCTTACACCTACGAAATTATTGCACCACACGTACCTTAAAAATCTGTGGGTTTGACCTAGTGTGTTAGTTACTGTGTCAGTGACATAGAAAGGCGGTGTATCATTCTGAGAGTTCGTGAGCTTAAAAGAGCATCGTATCGGGGTGCAAGAATATAACGTAACAATCAGCTTGTGTGGTGTCACTTGGATTCGACGTTACGGAACTGTTAATAATAATTTTATCGATCAAACTGTAATACGCAAAGTGCGTTGAAAAAAAATATCCCAAACGAACTGTTGGCGTTGTGACAGTGTATGGATGTCGAGAGGTTTGTAGATAACGGATTAATTAGTAATTTTAATGAAGTAATTACTTATACACTGTATGCGAGGAACGAACGTTATAGTGTCGAAGAAAAATATTTATAATGCGGTCATACAGTGTGATACCGTCTTTTGCACGCATTTCGATATTTTGGTAATTCTATAAATAACGTCGCCATGGCACGTGGGGAATTCGGCTATGTCTGCATTTTCCAGAGAGTCCAGGAGACACTGTGACTCGGTGCGCGTCTGCACACCTAATCAGTGTAACGACCGCTTCCTTGATTCGTACTAGTTCTATTTATATAATAAATAGGAAAAAGTTATCGACACCTATTCACTGTGTTCGCGCTTCGAGTAAAAGATTCTTTTAATTGCGCAGTAGCTTCAACAATGCTCTGGTAAATGGGTTATATTCGTTAACGTCATTCTAGTCGTTTACTTACTCTGGCTTTTGTTATAGATACTCAGTACAATTTAATGCACTGTCTTTGCTCAAATTTATGTGCCTCGTGTAATTGTGCGAGACAGATATACTTATTTTCTGCGTTATCTCGACTTGGCTGACTGACATTTTTAAAGAGTTTAATTTTATCCTCTTGCAATGGTTCGCTCATTTCAACGATGCTCAGGATACCATATTATTTAGTTCTTGATACTTATAGAAAATTGTATGCTGCTCGTAATGTAAATAGTTAACTGATCTCTGTACTGTCCTTGTTTCTTTTCAGCGCGAGGCGATACACAAAAACGGAAGATGTCTCCAGTGTATCATCCTTTTCACAGAAGAGATGCGTCGCGTGGTTTAGGGAGTACACAACGCCGGATGATCCAGACACACTTGGACCTGAGGGAATGGAGAAATTTTGCGAGGATATTGGCGTAGAGCCAGAAAATGTGGTGATGCTCGTTCTCGCGTACAAAATGAATGCCCGTCAAATGGGCTTTTTTACACTGAACGAATGGCTGAAGGGTCTCTCTGAGCTTCAATGCGATTCCATCACAAAAGTACAACAAAAGCTCGAATACCTAAGAAACCTGTTAAACGACCCACATACGTTCAAGGGGATCTACAGATACGCTTATGACTTTGCTAGAGTGAGTGAATGTTACTTAACGCGTGATACAGAGTACCAATAAGATCAATTAATGAATAGAGACGGCTTACACGTTAATGGGGGAAACTCGTACACTGTGACATTCTTATTTTTTTCCTAGGATAAAGATCAACGCAGTATGGACATGGAAACGGCGCGAGTGATGCTACAGTTATTGTTAGGAAAGCATTGGCCGCTGTTCGCGCAGTTTGCACAGTTCCTAGACCAGTCGAAGTACAAAGTGATCAATAAAGATCAGTGGTGCAACATTTTGGAGTTTTCGCGCACGATCAATCACGATCTGTCCAATTACGACTTAGACGGAGCATGTAAGTGCAGTCGATTATACACTCGTCAGTCCCACTTGGTCTGTCATTATGATTCCTTCAGAATGCAGGGCCTCTCGTTGTTGGATACCATACATTTATTTTCTTGTCGCATTATTAATTCTCTGACTACTCTAATCGATGAGGCTGAATATGAAATAAAAATTGTGATATCACCTCTTTGTTGAGGAATACGTGAATCATATACAACGTGACTATTGTTTTTGTTTAGGTTATCTAACATTGTGTCATTATTGATTGTAGGGCCGGTAATGCTCGACGAATTCGTTGAGTGGCTGAAAGTGCAACGAGGTGAAGGATCGTCCTCGGCAGAAGCACGGGGTAGCTGAAACAACCGATCAAAACTAAACTCACTTTATTAAGAAGTTCTCCCCCTCTCTTCCTCCTGTTATCTATCGCCTATCCAATAATCCAAACCTAATCCTTATTATCCTTGAACATCGTCAATCTTTTTTGTTCTTCGATCTCTTCTCTATGCCTACACGTCCCCTCGAAATACATTAATCTGTTAATTAATTAAATTACTTTTGATTCAGAACTTCAATTTACGCCGTTTTAGTTATCGTTAGTTTTAATAGTGTTATATCCTTTTGTTCTCTCTCTCTCTCTCTTCCCGAGACGACGTAGCTTACCGGACGTTGCTTGTCCTAGTTAATTTTACCGTGTGTTCTGCAATTGACTGTGCTTAGAGAGACTTCGACGGGTATAAATAGAGGCCGAACCTTTTCTCATTATTATATGTAATTGTCATTTTTGGCATTTGTCGGTATACCAAGAAGCGACGAGCTATTAAGAGGGATCGTTAATTTATTTCTTGCGATTAATCATGGACAATGCTACATGAGTCGATACAACAGACAACTTTGGTATTGCAGTTGTTACGGGATGGATGAGTATCGTGCGACACGTAAGGATGTCCTTATACTTTGTTTTTACTTCTGCTCTCGCCCTGTTTTTTGAATTTTGCGAGAAATACAAAAAAAAAGACTGCCTTTATTCAGAGCTTCAAGTATATTTTTGCTTATGCAAGTTTATCTCCTATATCCGCACGATAATACTTAGATCCATTTCGGAGAATCATATTGATTCGATGATTCTAATAGAGACCTACAATGATGCATGCAGTCATCTCTAATCTTCTGGAGGAAGATTTTTTATCTTCCATCCTTAAGTTTTTTATTTCTCATTCATTTATCGAATTGTCATTGTCGACTTCTCTTGAGATGATGCTGGTGACACTTGATCGTCTCTTAATTAATACCCACGTCTCTTTGCTTCTCGCGATTACAAAGTAAACAAATTCTATGCACAGTCATGTATAAGATTTGCTGGTGATAATCGAAGAATGTAAATCAATTTAATTATTCGTTTTACGTAAAACATAATAGACCAGTGGGCCTCGTGCAAGCGAGCTTTGCAAGCTCGCAATTTTGCTAATCAGCAATTGTTGTTTTAATATTGGCTGAAACTCTTTAAGGATCAATAGAAGAGGCCCGGACAAAAGAAAATTGTGGTTTCGTACTAGTTCAATTAAATAAATTAATTTCTTTGTTTCAATGTTAGTTTACTTATTCCGTCACTCGCACTTCTTCGAGATCGTATTTCGCGTTAGATATTTTTAATTCCGATTAATTGATACTTTAATTTTGCAATATCTTTTCACCCGATTAAGAAACCGATAATTGTCGTCGCTTATTCATTAGCTAATTGATCGAAGCTATTTTTTCTGTCATTTTTCCAAGGGTGCGTTCACAAATCTTACTCACTTACTACTACAAATCTTTATTATGAAGAGGATAGAATGATCCTGGATTCCGCTCTAGAGAGGATTCTGAACGTACCACTTCAGGGTGTTCAGCTAAGTGACTGTCAACGTGACAGTACGTTATCGGCGCCGTTATCAATATTTATTGTTATGTATTGTATGGCAATCGATGCAATGAAATAAGCGAATACAATTTTATCGTATATCCTCGAACGTATGAGTAATTACATTTTTTTTTTTTTTTCAAATTACTATAATTATACCAGCAAATCATCGAGTCATTTGAACTTAAGTTTCCGCCATACTCGAAACCCTTCAGGATCCCCTATGCCTGTGACCCCTTTCCTCCCTACTCCAGTCATGTTATAAGTTCGTCTCGAAAATAATTGAATTTTTGTTCGTCCAACACTCAGGAGTATCCTTGCGCACATAGATAATATTTTTTATGAAGGAAAAGAAAAAAGGAAAGAATGAAAGAGAAAAGCGCAAAGTTTGGCGCGTTCTTTCGTCAGCTTTTATTTTCGAGGCAATTTTGTAAATTTCTGAACAGATAGCAGTAGGCAATATTATTATCATAGGCAATCGAAATTGTAATTGTACCGTAAACGTTATAACGTAGAGGGCTCTACAACTTTTTCGATGTAACATTTCCAAAATGAATTACTCGATAATCATTACAATTAAAATAATTAAACTCTTGGCTCGGTAATCAAAAGTTTGTAATTATTACACAGTGCGTACTGTCATTGCCTGCTGGTACCTTTTCAACGATAACGTGGAGTAATAGAAAGTTTAAGTGAAGAATGACATGTAAGTAATTGTCAAACGATTCTCAGCGTGTTTAGGTAATATAACTAATAATAATATTAATGATAATGAAATAATAATAATAATAATAGTAACAACAAATAATAATAACAATAATTGTAAATTGTACGTAGGCTGAAATATTTTGAATAGACCCAAAATCCCCTTAAATATAAGATTAAGAGGCTAAATGTAGGATAAATGAAGAAGTTGCAACGGCAACTGACTGAATTCGCAAACGTAATTATGTGCTCAATTCTCATTGTTAATAAGACTGTGCGCAAAGTTATCGCAACGGCATATTCGACAGACGTTATCACGTTCCAGGATATTTTTAGTTTTTGAAACCGAGTGAAACTTGGTCATAACCAGGAAGTATCGATGATTCTTCAAGAGAGTACGGTGGAAATTTGTAAAGGGCTAATAAATTTTCCTGATGATAATTTATGTTTCTTAAAAACATTTAATCATTTGAATTAATGCATTACCATGTATTTACATTCATTGATTATTGTACGAAATGTACGAGTCTTTATTTACAATAACGATCGGCTTTCATCTTGCTTCTTCTGTCTAACAAGGCTTCGTGTAGAGAACCTTCGACCTTCGCCTTTTCTAATTGCGTACGATCATCTTTGTTTACGCGTAATTTTTTATCTTGAAATTTTTGGAATTTACGTCTGCCAATACAAGGAAATAAAATATTAATTGTGAGTTGCAGAATCAGCGTTTTCGCGTAATACGATCATGGGAATACATACACATAATTTACTTCAACATCTGCTAGCGAGCCTTGCTCTTCTGTTGGAACATCCTTTGCGGAGTCGTCAATTCTTTGTGTCATAGTTCGTACACATAGAAATTCAGATGGTCCTGCTGTTTTACTCTGACAAACCACATCGTCTTCATCAGTTACAGAAATAAAACAGCCAGTGTTACCTAAGATTGCCAGTTTGCCATCCTGGGAGAAGAAAATGAGACATAACAGTTTAAAATATACACTGCAGTTGTAAAGAATATGATAGATGATTGAACTGGATGAATCATTAATACCTGAAAAATTGGTTCCCACTGTTCCATTGCACCAACCGCATCGCTTCTGCCTACTACTACTCCTTTCTTGTCTACTCCAAGATACTTTCCATACCCAGACTTCAATGCAATCTTCGTTTCACCAACAGGAAATGCTGTAAGAATTTCTTCTGGAGACGGACCATCCCCTTCATTATGAGGTGCACCAAGAGTGAAAAGTCCATTATCAAGAGCTTTCATGTAAGTTTGCTTCCCAAATTCTATGGTTACTGTTCCCGTCATTTCAGATACGTTTTTAGCTTTCCACCATCCCCCTAAAAAAAATAAATGATTCAGAAAACAAAGCTGTCAATAAAGTGAGGTAAAATTCAATAATTACACACAAATTACAATTACTTGCATTTTAACAGAGAATTACAAACTAGATAGAAATACTAACCATGAAGTAAAGCATCATTATCTTTATTATTGGCACTTTCGTCATCTTTTCCTTGTTTCTTATGTTTACGTTTCTTAGACCTTAAAAGAAAAACATTCCAAATCAATATATTCAATGCAGTATTACACAACAGTGAAGGAATTACATACTTCTTTTTATCACCTTTTAACACCAGTTTTCCAGTGCGAACTTTTTCGTATTCAGACATACTGAACTTTTATAAATACACTGCCAAAAGATCAAAAATTCCACTTCGAAACCAAATTGAATTATACAGATGATGCCCCTGCTCTGGGTGTTGCCAGATCTTGCCAGATCGCGGGATTTTTCTGGCGCACGCTCAAGTAGAGTTGAGTCATAGATATAACATTAGTTTCCACCGTGCTGAGGTTAAACAGAGTGGAGTTAACCAATCACGTATAGGAGTTATATGGAATTGACCGATGATGAAGCTGCCTAACTCTAAACTCTGCACGGTAGAAACTAAGCATAGAAATATAGGGATGTAGCAGAAACTGATATTATGGGCTGGCTCAAGAACTAGTGGAAATTTCTATTCGAGAGAATCTCTTATATATTTTGTGACATAAGGTATAGGTAAGCTCATGCGCAATTATGCGAATACTACATATGTGGGAAATGTTTATCCGTATACTAGCTGGCAACACTTCGCTATAGCTAAGGACTGTTTAGGACTGTAATTTGCCGTGACAGAACGTAGTTGTTGCTATATGAATAGCTACAACACAATGTGGATCTATTAAGTTACGAAAGTGAAAAACAAGGTTTATTTATTTATTAGAACGACTGTAGTAATAGCTCAAGCAAGAAAATAAAAAAAAAGAGATTCAGAGCTTTGTGCCAAGTTAAAAGTCAGACGGCCGGAGGCGTCAAAGGGCCTAGGCACCAGCTGATTCTAACAATACATATTCGATTAAGGACTTTGCAGACTCTTTTCAATATTTTATGTTTTTGTGAAAGGTAACTAATGTCAATTATTTTTACATTGGTAATAGAGGTATCAAGTGAAATTGTAGTTATACTGTAGTCCAGTAGTTCGGTTATCCTAAGTATTAACAATTAATTTGACGTAATAATCTTTCTTATGACCTGTTAATTAATCATGTAATTCATAAGTGATTGATTAGAATACTGCCTTAAGTTGTTAGTATATTTTATGTCATTGTAGAGTTTCTTTCTTTTATAATTGAAGTACATTTTCATATGCGATATGTATCATATTTTACCAGGATAGCACAACACAGGGATGCAGCCAATACAGTGTGCTGCATTAGGAGATAAAGCTGTGGGTAAAACATGCTTGCTACTTAGATACGCTTATGATGATTTGCCATCGGAGTATGATTCTACTGGATTTGACTGTTACGATGGAATTGTGAAACATAATGAAGAGCTATACCTCGTTAGCTTGCATGACGTAACAGGTAAGAATTACTATAGATTATTAACATAAGAATATAAGGATATAACTTAAATAACATAAGCTAAACAAAGTATGTATTGTGAAATGAAAAATGTTTTATAGGTGATGAAAATTATCAGACACTGCTACCTTGGACTTATGCAGAAGTTGACGTAGTCCTCTTATGTTTTTCTGTTGTAACACCATCATCCTTTCAAAACGTTAAACAAAAAGTAAGATACTAATTCTTTGAGTTTTATTACCATCAAAAATATTCAACCCATAAATACATTGCATAGTACAAATTACATGTTAAGTCATCATGAAGGAATAAACTTCTGCAAAAACCATTTACTAGCAAATTAAAATTATCATACTGAAACTATCTTGTAATAGATATATTTTTGTATTATTAGTGGCTGCCACACATACAGAATAATTGTCCAAAGACACCATTCTTACTGGTTGGGACAAAAATTGATTTACGGAATGACTCCAACATGCTCGAGACGCTGGCGGAAAACAATGAAAAGCCAATCACAACAGAACAAGGCAAGGAACTTGCGCAAGAGATTAAAGCTGTTAAATACGTCGAATGTAGTGCTGTGACGCGGGTAAGTTTCAATATTTTTTACTTTTCTTATGTTATACAATATCACCTACATTTGCATTTACAGGAAGGCCTGTGGAACGTTTTCAATGAAGCATTTCTAACAGCTCTAGGTTCACAATAACATGTGAAGAGGACAAAATATGACATTCTGTAGCGGGCTATTCGTCTTTTTATCTTATCTTAAAATAATTAGCTCGCTGCGTCCAATTTTGCAAGTTTCCTTATTCAAGTCAAATAGTGATATGCATATTTATAGGCGGCTAAATGAGTAGTCGTAGACATTCTACGGTCAAGTCATTTACAAAATTTCTCATATTATCACTTTTTCACCTTTATGTGGAAAACTAATTTTGTATTAGGTCCCTCCATGGAGATTTCTGGAACTACAACGGTTCTTAATTATCAGCGTGTGGCAGAAATATTAGAATTTAACTAAAAAATTTTTAGAAAAATGCATTTTCGCTACAAATAATTTTTCTAGTTTCAATCTTCCAATGGTGGCGTCTTTCTTTTTTTATTAGAAACCGTATACAGCTGTCGGGTTTCTCAAACCATGGGCCACTACCACTGGAAGGTTAAGGAATTCCGCCAGACGTTGTCCTTAAGATACTGTTTTAGTTCCGAACAATTCGATTAGGCGGCGTAAAATATATTTTGTATGAAACCAGCGGTTCAATTTTAGATTCTTAATCAATTTTTATAAATTTCTTTTTTTATAAATGTTGCCGTTGGTGCAATTAAAAATTGTCGAATCATTGACTGTAGAAAAATTCAATGTTATGTATAACTTGATGTACCTGGGATCGTATTCTTGAATCTCGACATAGATGTGTCTAATTGTGACACCTGCCAATATACAAACGTCGAGACGATAGGGCAAAACGTGTAGCGCATGATGCCAGCATAAAAAATTAAATGAACGCAACTCTCAATAAGCGTTTACTCGCGATATTTACTTATATTTATTTATTACAATGATACTACCTTATGACAAATAACATTAAAACATTATTGTCATACAAAGTCAATGCAATGTCATTATTAGTTTGTAGAGATGTGAATATTTCTTTACTATTAATTTAATCAGATGAATTGAATGTCCATTATCAATTATGAAAATTTGGATACCAGTATCAAGAGTCCACCTGTTATGACTCGATAATGAAAGAATAAGATCATGCTTTTTGAGATAGTCAAAATATATTTTCAAATATAACTAATATCTCCTAAGGTGCAAATATAAGACCTCGCAATTTTTAAGGTTTATATTTACTTAAGCTAGACCGTAAAGTTGCGCCAATTTTTAGTGCAGGACGTAGGATACCTAGTAATGTAACTTAGTTAATGCTCAGGGAATAATAATAATTTCATTTGCAATAACTTTACGAAATATTCTTCCTCTTCCCTTAACCTTTCAAAACGAAAGAGATATTCAGGCATACTATGGGCAGAGATGAGTAGGGAGATTGCCAATGAGCCAATTTTCATGGTCCAAGTCAGAGATGAGTAGGGAGGCAGTGCCCGGACTCGGAACGCTCATTCTTCCTCGAGCCGGTCTCCTATACTGGTTTCTTGGAAACATCCCTCTCATAAATTTCCAACCTTCTTCTTTTTCTATATTTATTTCTTTATCCTTCATTCTTTACTTTCTCACTCATCTCTTTCCTCATTTGTTCTCCACTTTTATAACTCTATTCCTTACTTTTCTACTTTTTGACTTCTTTATTTCTACCTTCATTTCTGATTTCTCGTTTCACTCTGTTCCCTCTCACTTTCCAGTGTGCTTGTCTTGCCTGTTCTATTCCTTTGGTCGGGTCGAGCATATTAATTCATGTAGTCATATAAGAGTAGTCATCCGGTTAGTGCAGCTAGCTTAAGACCATGGTGTCGGGGGTTGCCCTTCCGCCTCATCCGCTGAGCTTGCTTCGTGGTTGGTGGCCCAAGTTGTGGCCGCGACAGGACCTTATGGGTCTCCCGACGGGGGCCAAGTGCCCAAGGGTCAACGACATGTTGGAGCGTTTTTAGCAAAGCGAACAAATTAGACTAAATACGCGAGAGCTAGACACCTGGTTAGATTCACTATACGAAAGACCATGGCCGTAGATACCCTAAGGGGACTCATGGCCCCCGTCGGGAGACCCATAAGGTCCTGTTGCGGCCACAACTTGGGCCACCAACCACTGAGCAAGCTCAGCGGATGAGGCGGAAGGGCAACCCCCGACACCATGGTCTTAAGCTAGCTGCACTAACCGGATGACTACTCTTATATGACTACATGAATTAATATGCTCGACCCGACCAAAGGAATAGAACAGGCAAGACAAGCACACTGGAAAGTGAGAGGGAACAGAGTGAAACGAGAAATCAGAAATGAAGGTAGAAATAAAGAAGTCAAAAAGTAGAAAAGTAAGGAATAGATTTATAAAAGTAGAGAAGAAATGAGAAAAGAGATAAATAAGAAAGTGAAGAATGGAAGATAAGGAAATAAAGAATTAAAGAAGAATTAAATATGGAAGTAGAAGAAGGTTGGAAATGGATATAGAAATAAAGAAGTGAGAATACGATAATAAGAAAAAAATGATATAAATGAAAATAAGAGAGAAATGAATATAGAAATGAAGAAGTGAAGAAGTAGAAAAGTAAGGAATAGAGTTATAAAAGTGGAGAAGAAATGAGGAAAAAGATAAATAAGAAAGTGAAGAATGAAAGTTAAAGAAATAAGGAATTAATGAAGAAACAAATATAGAAAACGAAGAAGGTTGGAAATTTATGAGAGGGATGTTTCCAAGAGACCAGTATAGGAGACCGGCTCCAGGAAGAATGAGCGCTCCGAGTCCGGGCGCTGCCTTCAGCACTCCCCCCACTCTCCGGCTCCCCCACTCGCCGAGTCCTGCCTGCACATAATTTTGGGCAATTTCCAATATTTCTAAATACTCTTGGCCAGGATTTCTGATTTTTAAGTGTTAATATCTAACTTTATTGATTTAAAACGCGAAATTTTACGAACTAATACGTGAGACTGGTTCCAGGGCTCTCCGCTCAGGTGGCACGTCGATGCCGAAATAAAGCTTGGACTATGGAAATCGGGTCACTGACAATCTCCCTACTCATCTCTCCTATGGGTACTGGAGTGGGAAAATCATCGTAAAAGAGCTTCATACCAAAAAGAGAAATAGTCCAAAGCATTAAAAATATTGTAAACGGGTATAAAATTAAAATAATAAAATTTCTCAGTGATAACGGAATAATTTATTATCCGTTCAGCGAAGGTCACTTTAATATAGTAGAATTTAATAAAAAATTATTAAGAGAAATGAGAAATCACAGTTTACACATTTTTAATGGATATCAAGGTAAAGAATATTTTTCTAGTAAATATTTTATTTATCAACAACTACAAAATACACAGTACATAATCATATAATCAGACTACGATCATAACTGGGCTAAGCGGCAAAGTAAAAAATTAAAATCAAAAGTAATATTAAAAAATTGAGCGTCTAACGAAAGAAATATCTCGTAGAAGTAAGAGCCAACCTGTATCAGTCTGTGGTCGACTTTTTTTTGGACTTTTCTCAGAATTACGAGTGGATCTGTGCTATGAGGTCGCATATAAAAATCTGCGAGAAAATCATGTCTTTCTGATAGAAAGAAAACCCACAATGGATTCCTCACACGAATCATACGGAAATATCGCAGAATTCATTTATCGCTACGCTTTGATAACATTGATAATATATTGGGTATTTTATACAATAAATAATTGACTAGAAATAAATATATAGATTCGTAAATAAATACACATATATTACATGTACTTTTCCTTTTCTTCGTCTTCTTTTTTCTTCATTCACTTTACTTGCCCCCTCCCCTCCTCTCGTCTTTTGAATTCTTCATGAAAAATTCGCTTCCTTTTGGATTTTGCTATCGATTAGGAACAATTTACATATGAAATCTAGGCTATTACACAACTGTAGCTAAATGTGTTTTGGTCTTACGCCATTGAGAATCCGGCGTAACCATACGCTTAATACTTTGACTGTCGCTGCCACATTTAAATAATCTTATTATCTAGGATCATCGATTTTTCGTTAAATCTTACAAGACGTCCTTTTCTCTTTCTTTTTGAAATTTCGCTACACACGACACAGCATAAGACATGGAGCGTTGCACAATATTAAAAAAAAAAAACATTTTAGAAACAATAATGAAGTAAATTAATTTTGTCAGGAGTGCTTGAAATTTAAAATTTTTCAAGTAATAAATTTTTCAGTAAATAATATCTAAATTGATTATACAAAAACTTGTTAAAATATAAATTTTCATTAAATGCACGTTGTATAAAAATATTATATTTTTTTCAACCACGTCGTGTGCAACTTCAACTGTGAATCTTATTTGTTGTTCCTCGTCTTTCCTTATTCTCTTCTTCGGGCAGTGTCATCATTTCAATGGCGTCCTAGAAAATAATATTTGGCCTTGCAGCTTAGCATACTCTTTTTCCCGTACAAAAATGCCTAAAGAGATAATCTCGTTATTTTGATTAATTGAACATTATATAAAAATAAACAAAAAATCCTGCGTTCTCTCCTGCGATACGAGTGAAGATTTATGTCGAATTAAAATAATAATAAAGTACCTATATAATGACTAGAGTTACAAATTTAATACGATTTGCATAGGTCTAAATGAATAACAACGTTCTAAATAATGCGAGAAAATTAATTCAATTAAATTTATGACGTTGAAACGAATTCATTTGCAAAAAAAGTAATTCCATTATTATATACCACACAATCATGCCTGTAGATTAATAATTGGCGTGCGAATGAAATCACCAATACCCATTCGTATAACATTTCATCGAGTCGTAACGAATGAGATTCCCCTTGTTATTGATACGCCATTATCACTACTCGATAAAATCAATAAGAACGCATCGTTATTCATCCTCACAATTATCCATACACGTCTTGAAGAAAGGATCATATTGATAACGAATTGACCTTAACCTAAAATGCGATTACGACATATCATTTCCAAGTACTCTGTTATCGGCCTTAAAATTAATTTGATTTAGCTTAATTATAATTATAAGACTTAGAAGTTTCACGGTAGAAGTGTTTCTTTACATAATACATACGTAATACATTGCACCGAAAATGCCCGAAATAATAAATCACATCACCTTGCAATAAATCTCAAAGCAAAACTCAAGCCAGGGTGAATCGATTCTGAGTTATCCATTGAGTCTATTAAATGAATCTAGATTATCAGCAGAACGTATCTTTGATTAAGCTCGTGAGAGCCAATCGCAGCTCGATTTATGTTGGTTTCATTACCGTTTCATCTTTGACCCGAGTTCATTGGCTTTCAGTCTGAGTTTACTTTACTGCACCGACTGTGTTCCCGATAGAGAAGAAACTTTGAACGTTTTCCATTCAGTAATCAGTACCGTTGGGAGCTTCTTAAATTCGGAATAACCTAGTCTCACCGAACGAAATATCCGGAATGCGATTATATTCGCGTGATGCGAAAAGTTTAGAGAGATCATAAATGCCCCTTTTGACATCTCCATGTAATAGTGATTGGTCGATCGTCCAATAATCGTTAATTTTCGCAACTTTTAGACTATGACTCCTGGTTTATTCGACTGGTTATCTGTTATAGTTCAAGCTGTGACTTTGTTGTCCACGTACTCCTCATCTTCGTCGGCAAACTTAAACCCATCCTCACCCTCGCCAATGAGGTCGTAAAAGGATCCTTTAGGTTCTTCCTTCATATCGACTTCCACTCCGTAATCAGGACTTTGAATTTCCTTTTGCGCGATGACGTCCTTTCTGGCTTCCTTTGATTTATGCACCTTCGCTGGAGAAGCTAGTCTACCCCTTGGGAATTCTTTCAATGGAATATTTACAGGATTCACGATTTTTTGACTGTCGCAAATAGTATTTAGCTCGGTGATATCCTTATACCTGCGTTGAACATTGGGTGTCTTTGGCTTAGATGATATGGCGTCATCTTTCCTCTCACAGAAGTCGCGGTCCAAATCGCGAGATTCTTGGTGTTTGGTATCCTTTCGTATCTTGGAACTCTTAGACCTAGCTTCGTTACCTTCAAGAGCACGACTCCTGGACATTTCCTCGGAGATCCTGGTAGTTCCACTAAGGACTGGACTATTTTTTAAATGACTATCGGTATCGTTCTCTAGACGGCTTCTGACGTTTGCAGCCGTCCTGGTGGAACAGTCTGATTCGTCAGATTGTTTACCACTATTTGGATTCGAATTGGAATGCTTCCGACTTTTACTAGCTGTTACTGACAGTGGTGAACCACCAGGGGTCCTTGAACGATCATGATTATCATCTCGATGCCTATTTCTTGATACACCTGATGTTTTCGATCTCTCGTGTTCCTCTTGTAAACGATTCCTGGTCGTTTTGGGGGTGAATTTTGATTCTGATTTTTCCTTTGACTCCGACCTGTCGCCATCTTCTACAAGACGATTAGGTATTATGTCTATCTGTACTCCAGGATCTTCCTGAGCTTGTCGAGCTAAAGATTCCTCGCTCACTCTAACACGAGATTCCTCCAACAATCTGTGAATTGGAAGCAACCCCTCACTTAGTCTAGCTCGATATTCTGTAATGATCTCATCATGAAGACGGCTCTCGCCAGGATCCAATCTCCTAGGAAGAATTTCGTCCTCTGCACGGCGAGTACCATCAGGTCCCACAGTGCGATCCTCGCCTCTTGACTTCACCAGCATATACTCTGCGGCTGTCAACGCAGCACCTTCTGTATCTAATTTCACCCTGGATCCCAGTTCGCTTCTTCTATCAGGAATTTCTTCATAATAATGATCCTCCTCGATGGCTCCAAGGATTTCAGAATCTCCAGGGTCCAGTGGAGGTATCCAGACGAGGAAGGCAGGATCCATTCCTAGATAAGATCCTGGTGCTGCACCGGCATTTACCACATTGTAATCATAATAATCCAACTCCAGGTCCATGTCCGGATTGGCTAAGCTGAATTCGGACCCTGGTCCCTGAAGAAGTCTCTCCCGGTTACGACGATCCTTCGACTCCTTCCCGCATCGCAACGTTGAGATGTTCGAGGACGTACTAGCGGGTGAGAATCCCTGTACAAATTTAATCAAAACATTCCTCAATAACAATTCTACCCAACACCTCCAAATGTCGTTTCATTTGGTCGCTCGAGATTAGAAATGAATTAATTATTTCTTGCGCGACACGACTTTAACAAATATAACGACCTTCGGCCTCGAACGAGCAGTTCTTCTGCTTTGAATTCTGCTTATTATAACGCGCGGCAAATCAGTGTATTTTTTTAAAAAGCAAGGCGGTATAGTGGAGCGGGTACCTTGGCCTGCAGAAGGGTAGATGATTTGGGGTGAGGGACTCTTACGTTATTCACGCTGGTCGAAGCGCTCGTTACGCTGTAACGTCTGCTGCCTTCCGAAGTTGATGTTTCCTCTGATACGGGGCTTATAGGACCGACCGTACGAAGCCTGTAACACGGATATCACTATAAGACAAAAGTCACTGGAAATCTAGTAGAATAAAATTACTACAGTGAAATAGCTAGCTGTTAAATATATCTGAAGAACGTTTATACAGTATCGACTTTCTATTATACAGAACTAGTCGAGCAACCAATATATATATATATATATATATA